ATACATGCATGATTGTAACACAGTCTCATTCAGTGTGCTGAAGAAAAGATAGCAACATTATACTTATTTAACGAGCTTCACAGACATCTAAAAGCCCAAAAATATGAAATTTGAAAATCAAACAAAAGTTAAACTAATCAAACAAAAGTTAAACTCGCAGTTTAACCTTTCACCCCATGAGCATATTGTGAAAAATGGCCGTTTTCATTGGAAAGCCTCCTGTTACAAGTTCAAACTGCTATAAAACTATGAAAAATGCTTCAATACTGATGAAACTTGGCACAAATGTTGACTGGACCATAGCTTCTGTAACATTTTTTCACTGTTTCAGGCCTCAAAAAACTGTCAAAACACATCTTTATGAGGTAAAAGGTTTAAAGCACTTTTTAAAAGAATGGTATGCACGTACATCAAATGGTGTAAAAAAAAATCCCGAAAAAAAATATTGCCAGTCCCGTCCTTTCAAAAACCCTCAGTGGAGTGCCTTTAAACATTTTATGTTTAGTCTAATCTATGATTACTCTAAATACTGATGGAACTATTTATAACTATACAATTACTTATAATAAAAAAAATAATATAATTACTTTCAACAACCTGTATATATGCTCTCTAATTAATTAATTGAATATATACAAGTTGGAAATTAAATTTTTAATGGAAATGTTTTTGCTGATGCTAGAGAAATGAATTAATAGATAAATCAAGAGTGATTGATGACTGGTTGAGGGGATTTGTGTAAATAAGCTCTAATTCTGTGTTAACCTTTAACCTGCTGTAACCAAGGGTTATTATCCTTAGCAACAAATTGTTGTGTGACCCAAGGCTCTATACTTTTGGTAACACAATTTTGGTAAAATGATATTGAAATCTAAGGTTAATGCACACTGATCAATACATACATTTGCTTGTCAACATAATTACATTTGCCATACATTTTTGATATCTGGTCAAATGTAGATAAGATATACTTTTAGTTTTTATTAAGTTGATTTTTTTTTTTAAAAATCCTGTGATATACAGTTATTTTGCGACAAACTATAAAAGTACTTTTAGACAGATTTTTTTTTTTTCCTTTTATTACGTGTAAGTGAATTTATTGTGTATATGCATGTATATGTGTGTTTTAATCTGAATGAAAACCAATCAATCAATCAATCAATCAATCAATATCCCTGCAACTTTGAATAGACTATTCCAAAATCAAAGCACACTAATTCAGCAGATTTTCGGTTAATCTCCATAATATATAAAACTAGTAAAGGATAGATTGGATATATTGATGTGTATAACTTATTAATAACAACTATCAGAGTGCTGCAGAACTTGACTGCAACAATGTAGCAGTTTGTTAATCAGACCCAGTAAGATACAATATGGTTGTTGCCGATATACTGTGAAGATAATTCCTGTCACCCTGACAATAAATTAAGTAAAGGGAAGATAGATGATTTAATATCAGAGTGATTGATCTATAACAGATGCCAGATTATCTTATACTTGAAAAACAATCATTTCATCACTACTCCTACATTGAATGGAACTGTAACTGACTTGAAATATATCTATTTATCATGCAATACTACTAAGATCTGCAGCATAATTAAAAGTGTATATGCTGCCTATATTTAACAAATTTTTTGTGAGAAAAATCCAAAATACCTGTACAAAAGAAATAATAATGCCTGTGTAATTTTCTTTAGAAGCAAGAGTTAAAATCCTACTTAGAATAACAGTTTAATATTTTGTTCAGAAACATTTTATCCTGCTAACAAAGAGTTTCCATGTGTATCAAATAACAGAGACATTCTATGTTAAAACTCTTACCACAACTGACCAAAAGATTATGTAAACAACATAATATGCTACCTATTTTTCTGTTTGATATGTTTCAAAAGATATAGCTTTATATCAAAACAACTCTGGAAAAAAACTTCGAAAAAAATTACAATAACATTTTAACTTTCAAATCAATCCATTTATCATGATATTGTTTAATATGATATATAAACTTCTTAGAATGCACCTTGAAATAAACAAGTTTAAATTAATTTAAACTTTTGCAATTTAAACTTTTGTTTTTGTTTGTTTGTCTGGGTTAATAACCAGATTTACCTAGTGAAGAGTTGTGAGCTGAAAGTATTTAAAAATCCAAACATCTGAGCGATTAAAAAAACCTGCATGTTTGATGACATGATTGCATGAAAAATCATTTTTTTCCAAAATAAAAATGACTTTTTTTTTATAAAAACATAGCACATCAGATTTCTTTATGTGAAATAACACATATTAGAATGTCATCAAGTGTGATCCATCAAAAAAAAAAAAAAAAGATTTCTCTCGTGTTTCTTTTTTTTTTGTTATTTTCTCACAAAAACTAAAAGACTTCCTTCATATTTTTGTCATTTTTTTTTTTCAAACAAACATTTTATGATCGTCAGCTTTAAAGAAACTTCAAACAAATGTTGATCGTAACATGAAAATGTTACTCATGTATTTCTGATTTAACCTACTGTGTTCAATAATTTAGAACTGTATGAAGATACTACAAGAAATTAGACTGTAGCTTACACGCCCATGGTTTTTTTTATCCTTGATTAAAATATTTGTATAATCATGTATATAACTAATATCTCTTTGACATAAACAATAAACTTACTTTTTTTACTTATATAGGTAAAAATATGCAAAAATGTATTCTTGTTATATATTTTACATTTTATTATTAATTATATAACTATCTATAAACCAGTTCTCTTTTTTGCAGCTGTTATTACAATTCTATGATTTGACAATGAAACTCACAGATTTTAATTAACTGATGCATTCAACATAACTACTGTGAGGACAACTTTTAGATTTTAGAACATGTATTGAGTCTTCTTCCATGACTTTGTTTAAAACACCCTATGATAACCAGCAAGTCACCTTTCCATACAGTCAAGGTTCATATAAACTGCTCCTTGAGTGACTCATATTGCTTTAGGAGACACAACAAAAATATAAGCTAGGATATGATTGCTAGCTAATAATTGCTATATTTATGAAAGACAATCCTTGCCAGACAATAACATTATAAGTCAGCTTGAACTATTTCATAATATGATGATACAGCAAAAAATCTCCAGGGTTTTCATTATTTAGACAAGTGTTGTACAAATATTGCTGGACAATATGCCATAGATAACAGACACATGTTTGAAGTGCAGTTGCAAAATATGAGAGAACATGGCATAAAATATTGTAACTGTGTATAAATCAAGAAACAAACACAACTGTCTTGTAACTGAATAGACGATATTTGCCTTCTGACCTTTATCTTTACCCAGTCAGGACCAAACATTTAGTCATTATGTTTTATTACATATATCAATTATATAATGCCCCTATAATATAGTTCTATAGATATAAAAAAAAAAACAACCAGAAAAAATTAAAGCCACAATAACACCATTAACAGACACTTCTTGGAATGTTTTTTTTTTCCCCTGGCCTCATTGATAATTATTCAGTGATCATTATTATTTATTGGAAATCAACTTTCATGCATATCGTGACTACAGTAATCCAGTTCATTAAATACATAATCAATGAATACTCTGCGGCAGGAAATTACTGTTTTGGGAAATAATTTCTGAACTTTTGGCCCATGAAATCAAATGATTTAAAAGATACCCTTTTGTAACCATTTCTTCATTTATCTCACTTATATCTTAAAACTGCAATGCTAGGGAGTTCATCAGATATGAATCCTTTGGGAAATTATACCAAATCATGTATAAAATATTGAATTTTAAAATTAATGCTTTAAAACACAACAATGAAAATATAAGCAAAACTCAATTTAGGATTGGCTAAATAATAGCCAATATTAATACTTTTTGAAGACCTACTGAAAACATTGGTCAAAAACAACAACAACAAAATTCAGTTATAAGTATTTGTAATAATCATACTCAAGGTCAAGGGCAATAGATAAATTGATTTTTTTCCTAATACTTTTTCTCCAATTCCAATGTGGACCATAAAAAAGCAATTTAAAACAATAAAAACATCTGCACATCAATCAGGCTACATAAATCGGCAATCATCCCCTGTCACAGATTAGTTTGTCATCAATATCCATTATCTTTAGAACAAACACACTTTCTATGGCATTTATTGAGCATTCAGACATCTCACTTTGATGGCAATTATACGTTCAAAGAGGACTTTATTCTATTATCCTTATATCTAAGATATTTCACATCTAAATTCCCTTGAGGCCAATTTTTCTAATTTCGTTCCCATTATCTTTCATCATCAACTTGACAAAGTGTCACTAAAGCATAAGATTTTTATTGGTTCTATTCCTAGTGTTGACATAATTAACCTTTGTCTAAAGAGGTGAAAAAGATCAAATGAATGCTGAACTTCATATGTAGTTTACCTCATGGTAATAACATCAATCAGGAAATATATTTTTTTATAGATTTGTTATAATGTATTTGATACTAAACATGAGTGCTTTCACAAATGCTCAGTCCTTTAAATTTCACAATTCACGATGACTTATGATCAATAGATTCAATACACGTTTTCATTTTCTTATCTGACCTTGAACTTACAATTGTGACCTTGACCTTGACTAAATGCACCTGGATTTAAAGCACTGTATGCCTCACAATGTTAACAATTTGTTAAATCCATCTATGTACAAATCTATGTTGAAGTTTTCACTATGGACATGTGTTTTTCTCTCACCTCTAAGTGTGACCGTCACTTTGACCTCAAAATCTGCTTCATATGTGTAACAATAAGTCAAATGATGGTAAACATTTGTGTTAAGTAATACTAAGACCTCCCCTTGCACAACAGAAGATATGCTCTAGCCAAAACCTTCACATTTACTCATCTCTCTGGTGACCTTAACACCTGATGATTGTGAATATTCTATATATATAAACTACTCAGTTATTCATGCAACATATTGTCATATTTTTGTTAAGATTCAATCTTACCTCTTCACTCTCAAAAACATGACAGATGATTTTTGCCTGTTTTCTGCGTCTCATAGAATCTGTGTCACCAGGACTACCAATCAAGCGTCTACGTGCCATGATGACTAGAATTTCACCAATATCGGCTATATAGGAGATTGTTCTTAATGAATGGTCCATCATGATCTCCTGATGTTAAAGAAAAGTAATACAAATATTATATATAATGTTAGAAGCAACAAAATGTCCTTGTATGTCAGTTATATCAGGCAGAATTATTTACAAATCTATAGCTCAATGCAGCAGAGCTTCCTTACATCAATGTATTTAACAGTGTTTTACATGGTTAAACTTTATGTAATTGTTGATTAATTGGTTTTACTTCTACAGCAAATCAATCAGGTCATAACAGTAAAACAGATAAAACGGTTTATGGCATTGATAAAAAGGTTTACGGCAGTAACATGTAATGTCTTTCAGTATATTATAATAATATAATTCTATCTTTAATTTGTGGCAACTAAACAGACACATGTGACCATTGCTGACCAAATCTGATTATGGTCTGCACTGTTCACTATTCAATCAGTACTTATTTTGAAAATTCCTCCAAAAATGATTAATGGTTTTGTCCAAATTGAAAGATGGACAAGTTCATTTAAGATAATTATGTAGTGTTGTAAGGGTAAACATAATACATACATACAGAAAAGTATTATTATGATATAAGATAAAATTTGCATGAGAATCAGTTAAGTTACAAATAGTATTTAAGTATTTAACAGAGATTTTCAAATAAAATCACACACTATCCTATATTTAATGTAATCTTAGCAGGGTAGATTTTATAACAATAGAGTTCCCTAGATTATCAATGCACTGAAGATATTTTACCTTTGTGACAAAACCCATTTAAAACCAAAAACATGATCAATTTGAAACTAGATCTATCATTAAATGTGATTAATACACCCGCAAAACAGATTTGGAAATGAGGATGTTACTAGTAACAGAATACCTTGTTAAAGAATTGAAATAGAGTAATGGTTGTGGGCAAAAAAAGATAGTTGTGGTTCTTGTATGTTGCATTTCCTTTCAATGTGGTTGACCATTGATGAAATTTTATTGATTTACTCTGTAATAAGTCCAGAAAGACAAGGAAAAGGAACAAAGGGCAATAACTCTATAAATACTGAAGATGGAGTTATGGTTATTGTACACTGCACTTCCTCTCATTATGCTTGACCATTGTATGAAGTTGTATTGAATTCCAACTACCAGTTTTCAAGTTATGCACTGGACAAAAAAGTAACAAAGGGCAATAACTGTAATTAGTCCAAATAGTTATGGTTCTTGTGCACTGCACTTCATCTCACTGCCCTTGATCATCGTATAAAGTTTCATTGAATTCCAACCATTAATTTTCAAGTTATGCAATGGACAATAAAAAGTAACAAACGGCAAAAACTTTTAAATAAGTCAAGAAAAGAGTTATAGTTTCTGTGCACTGCACTCCATCTCAATATACTTGACCATTGTATGAAATAGTATTGAATGCCAACTAGCAGTTTTCAAGTTATGCTCTGGACAAGAAAAAAGCAATGGAAAAGTAACAAAGGGCAATAACTCTATAATTACTCTGGACAGAGTTAAATTTCTTGTGCACTGCACTTCCTCCTATCATGCTTAACCATTGTATGAAGTTGTTTTGAATTCCAACCAGTATGTTTTAAGTTATGCTCCAGACAAGGATAAGTACCAAAGGGCAATAACTCTGTAATTTGTCAAAATGGAGTTATGGTTCTTGTGCACTGCACTTCCTCTTAATGTGCTTGACAACTGTATGAAGTTGTATTGAATTCCAACAAGTAGTTTTCACGTTATGCTCCGGCCAAGGAAAAGTAACAAAGGGCAATCACTCTGTAATTAGTCAAGATGGAGTTATGGTTCTTGTGCACTGCACTTCCTCTCAATGTGCTTAACCATTGTATGAAGTTATATTGAATTCCAACCATTAGTCTTCAAGAAATGCTTCGGAGAAAAAAAAGCAATGGAAAAGTAACAAAGGGCAATAACTCTATAATTAGTCAAGTTAGAGTTATGGTTCTTGTGCACTGCAATTCCCCTTATTATGCTTGACCATTGTATGAAATTGTTTTGAATTCCAACCAGTAGTTTTCAAGTTATGCTCCGGACAAGGAAAAGTAACAAAGGGCAGTAACTCTGTAATTTGTCAAGATGGAGTTGTGGTTCTTGTGTACTGCACTTCCTCTTAATGTGCTTGACCATTGTATGAAGTTATACTGAATTCCAACAATTAGTCTTCAAGTTATGGTCCGAACAAAAGAAAGCAATGGAAAAGTAACAAAGGGCAATAACTCTGTAATTACTTTAGATAGAGTTATGGTTCTTGTGCACTGCACTTCCCCTTATTGTGCTTGACAATTGTATGAAGTTGTTTTGAATTCCAACCAGTAGTTTTAAAGTTATGCTCCGGACAAGGAAAAGTAACAAAGGGCAATAACTCTGTAATTAGTCAAGATGGAGTTATGGTTCTTGTGCACTGCACTTCCTCTCAATGTGCTTGACCATTGTATGAAGTTATATTGAATTCCAACCATTAGTCTTCAAGTTATGCTCCGGACAAGGAAAATGCAACGGACCGCAGGACCGACAGACCACCGGGTGACCAAAACTTCGTTTCCGGGGTATAAAAATCAAAAGTTTATATTACATGGCAGGTCTTGAATTTGTAACAAATTTGCAAATACCTTAAATAAGATATTTATACTCCTTCATATACATGAGTTCATAACAAGAACCTACCTGAAGATCTGTATTGAGCACCATTATTTTCTCTGTTGACACAAACAAGTCAACTTCAGTACTGGGTTGGTTCTCACCTTCAGGAGCCTGAAATTGAGATAAAATATTTCAAGATTTCATTCTAAACATTTCTTTCAAAACTTCATTCTAAACATTTCTTTCAAGACTTCATTCTAAACATTTCTTTCAAGACTTCATTCTAAACATTTCTTTCAAGACTTCAGCCTGAACATTTCTGTCTAATCATAAAATGAATGAGGTAAAAAAAAACACAAGACTCCTCCTAAAATATACAAAGATTCCTTGCAGCAATGTCTATACTGTTTAACTATATTTACTGACCTGTAAGTGATTTATAATAAACTTCAGAAATAGCTCTTATTTCAAACTGAGGATATTGCTTGTAATCAATAGTTACTTTAACTTTTTAAAAAGGTCAAATTGAAACACATTACTGTCTTAAAGCTTTTGTTGAAAGCTGAAATATAATTTTTGATTTTGCAGTCATTTAACATTAATAAATTTTGTCATCTTTAAGCACCTTATTAAATTATTTCTGACGAATCTTTAAAAAAAGATTGCCACAAACTTAGATGTAACCATGAGGTTATGATGTAGACATAGCTGGCAGTAATTACAGTACATATCTGGCCATTTTCTGCTGTCTCCATTGGGAGTTCTTTGATGTATTATATGCTATATATCCATGGACTTTTACCCCTAGAGATGCTTATTTAATCAAATTCCTACACAACCTACCTCTGGCTAAAATTCATCTCTTTATTCCCTTATGTTTTTTTTTACATATCTCTGTCACTTGGGAGATATTTAATTCTTACCATTCGACACAAAGCAATATAGGTTGGATATTAAAGTTACAAGAAATCAATTTAATTTTTTTTTCTACAACTAATATGAACAAATCTCAACAATCAATTCAAATGAGACTCATCAACACAAAGATTTGCCTAAAGAGTATAAAGCTAAAGTAGTCATCATATCAAAATGCAATCTTTTTCTTTTCTTTTTTTTTCTCTTCATATTTTAAATGAAATTTGGAATATCTAACAAGCAACTCAGTGCAAAGTAAACACTTAGTGAAGACTTAACGAAGACTCAACTTAATGAATAATGACAGTATCAAAGGAAAATATCATAACTTTTTCTTGCTCTTAATATGATTTTATTACAAAAAAGAAGAGCAAAAAAGTAAGTTTTATGGAAACTGTGAATATATATCTTTACCAGGAGGTCTAAAGTAATAAATAAATAATGACAATGTTAGGTAAAAAGGAGAGCAAAAAGTACTCGGTAAAAAAGTTCATTATTCCAGCACACCACACAAACAGTAATTTCGTTACTTAAAGTAATAACTACCAATAGATTAATTATATCAGTAAATGCGGAGGTAATTCCCTTGAAACCATTTATTTTCCCCTTACTTGTAATGGGATGAAAAAAATCATTTATACTTGATCTATGGCCAAGGCCAAACCTAATTACGTATGTACCATATAAGGGAATTAGGAAACTGCATTCAGCTACCAGTAAGTTCAAAAAGGCATTAGGTACACTTTTACAAAATATTTGTAACTTCTCCAATTGCAAGGTAAAAACTTTGAAGATATAATTAAGTTATAATAAATTGCATGCTACTTCTACAACAACAACAACATAGAAACTGACTGAACAAACAAGCTTAGTAACAACAATAAATCTTTGTATAGAATAAAAACAACACACGAAACAAAAACAATTATCCACTGTTTCAAAACTTTTAATATACATGTATATGTATAAATTCTTACAGAATATAATAGTTCTAAGACTTTCTGAACGTGAATGAGGATATAGCCTCTCATAAAGGTTGATGACGGATTTAAGTAATAAACTTGAAATGTCTCCACAGAACACAGATGAGCTTTGTCAATCTCTACGGAAAAGACAATTTGACCGCACAACAATTTGCTGTCAGTTTGACAGCATGACAGCAGTACAGTTTGCTGTCAGTTAGACAGCAGTATAAAGTATAACAACACTCTTTAGTATAACAGCACTATTTGACAACAAAACAGTTTGACAATATGTAAATCTGACATCAAGACAGTTCCACCGCAAGACAGTGTGACAAATCTATATCGCCTCACTCCCAACCACCTAAGTGAGGGTCAAAAAACAAAACAAAAACAAAAAACTACAGAGAACATGAATCATAAAGAAACCAATTTCTGTAAAAGGATAATGTTAAATGAAACACTATCATACCAGAAATAATTGAGACTATGCACTTACTTCTGTTTATATCATTTTCATTTTGTAAATGTTAGAGGGCAAATATATAGAAACACAGACAGGAAATTAATTTGAAGACAAATTTTATATATAAGATGTTTTTTAAATGGTGTTCATTTACCTTTGGCCACATACTTTACATCTATTGCCATCAAGTCAGGTTACTAACAACTTTTAGCCCAAATTTTAGCATCTGTTTAATCATATTGTGTCACACTTTATTCTTTATTTAAGACCACCACAATAAAATACTATGTGAATGCTGTTTTTGTGTAATTAAAGTGGAACGAAATGGGTTTTTCCACTTATAGTCAAATAAATGCACAACTCAATAATAGCTCTATTAACATTAGTTTTTCTAATCATGTCAAAAAAACATTGAAAAGAGAACAAGAATTGACATCATGGTTATTTTGTTAAATTAGTTTGACTCAAATAACCTCTTAGATATTGCAATATAATATACTGCAACCATATATTCTCCTTAACCAGGTGCATTGTTAAATGGACTACCGTCCTGCTTTGAATTCCAAAAATGTATCCATTTTTTGTGTGCTTAGATATATTCCAAGGACATAAAGCTCAGAAAGAATAGTAACTCTGTGCAGAAATTAGTATATTGTGCATTTTATTGTGCATGTTATGCTCAACATTTTATCCCAAAACTGATTATTTGGGCCTAAATAGAGCATTTTTTCACTATTTGAGGCCTTAAAAGGGGGAGGGGTGGAAAAGCCATCAAAACACGTCTATATGAGGTAAAAGGTTTACAGAAACAAGATTTCATAACTTAAGTTGAATTTATAACATGGATTATAAAGAAGTAATCATTCCATCTACATCCATGACCTTTCAGCATGTTTTTGATGAAATATTTTGCTTCCATTTCTCTTATCATATGAAAAAAAGTTATATATCTACTAAAGCTTATTAAACATACACTTGCATTTTATTCATACATTGTTCATTCATGAAAAATTAATTTATTAATGCACAATTTCTATAGCATATATATTACATAATATCCAGATTGCATGATTTAAATGAATGCAGTATTTCATAATTTCCCATAGGCAATACAAAATACAAAAACATTGTTAATCTATAATTCAGGCTTATAAATTTAGCCAATTTCTTTAATTGTCTCTCTATCTCAGAAATACAAAATGTACTTTAGTGTGGCAAACACTAATCTAATATTTATCCAGTAAGCGTAGGAGTAATTTGATTTGAAAATTAAAAAAAATTCTGAGTTAGGTTTTAAGTTGTCTGAGTTTAATTATACATTGTATATAGTTTTAGCTTTAATTGTGTTAATTTGAGCCATCTAAAATCTGCTTCCTGGAACTAACCAGTACCAAAGTCATATGTGGAAACAAGACTGTGACTCCTGTAGGGCTTAGATTTATCATAACTGTGTCCAACAGACAGACAGAATCTACAAATCCTGGGTCCAAATGAAAAACAGAATCTACCATTCCTGTGTCCAACAGACAGACAGAATCTACCATTCCCATGTCCAACTGACAGACAGAATCTACAATTCCTGGGTCCAACTGACAGACAGAATCTACCATTCCTATGTCCAACTGACAGACAAAATCTACCATTCCTGGGTCCAACTGACAGACAGAATCTACCATTCCTGTGTCCAACTGACAGACAGAATCTACCATTCCTGGGTCCAACTGACAGACAGAATCTACCATTCCTTGGTCTAACTGACAGATACCATTCCTGGGTCCAACTGACAGACAGAATCTACCATTCCTGGGTCCAACTGACAGACAGAATCTACCATTCCTTGGTCCAACTGACAGACAGAATCTACCATTCCTTGGTCCAACTGACAGACAGAATCTACCATTCCTTGGTCTAACTGACAGACAGAATCTACAATTCGTGGGCTCAACTGACAGATAGAATCTCCCATTCCTGTGTCCAACTGACAGATAGAATCTCCCATTCCTTGGTCTAAATGACAGACAGAATCTACAATTCGTGGGTTCAACTGACAGATAGAATCTACCATTCCTTGGTCTAACTGACAGACAGAATCTACAATTCGTGGGTTCAACTGACAGATAGAATCTCCCATTCCTTGGTCTAACTGACAGAATCTACCATACCTGGGTCCAACTGACTGACAGAATCTACCATTCCTGGGTCCAACTGACAGACAGAATTCCTAGGTCCAACTGACAGACATAATCTACAATTCCTGTGTCCAACTGACAGACAGAATCTACAATTCCTGGGTTTAACTGACAGACAGAATCTACCATTCCTGGGTCCAACTGACAGACAGAATCTACCATTCCTGTGTCCAACAGACAGACAGAATCTACCATTCCTGTGTTAAACTGACAGACAGAATCTACCATTCATGGGTCCAACTGACAGACAGAATCTACCATTCCTGGGTCCAACTGACAGACACATAGACATACGGACAGAATCTACCATTCCCGGGTCCAACTGACAGACAGAATCTACAAGTCCTGAGTCCAACTGACAAACAGAACCTACCATTCCTAGGTGAAACTGTTAGACACACATCTTAATCATTGATACTGTTAATTATTAAATAGGCCTATTTTTGAGTTTCACTTCTGGAGGAAAACATCAGATAAACCTTTGTAATTCATTTCAGGAACAACAAGCAGGTGCTAAACCAACAACTTTAACTAGGTTAAAAACTTCCCAAAATTTCAAATCACTCTGACAGCAGTTAAAGGAGCAACTAATTCAAAATCAAAGGTATTATAGCCAATCAAAGCCAAGAATATAAATTTAAATATACAAAAGATTTCTAAGTAAATCCTCTACTGATCCATCTGAATTATAAGACCTTTTAGCTGCAACTTTTAACACAAACCTATAACAACCAGTAGTGACTTCTGAAATGAAGAATCTGTTGAAAATAAGAACATAAAACAATGCAATAGTCAAGCAATAGTATCTTATCCAACAAGTGATAACATATAGCTAGAGAAAGATGGGCAAAGTGGAACCTAGAACTAAACATGAAGTAATAAGAAATCAACACAAAAATAATCACAAAGAAAAACAATTGTACAACATTTATCACACAGCTGTGGCTGCAAATGAAAATCGAAAATAAAATTGGACAGGCTAATTGAACTGGTTACAATAACACTTATTTCAGTGTCAAAATTATGCTGATTTCTATTAAATTGATATCAAGGTATGTATTTTAAACAGAAACTTTTAAAACCTTTTAGTTGTGGAAGAAGAATTTACCATCATCTGAGTAACTATGCCTTTAAATCTCTTCTTCAATAGAATGCATTTGAATTTTGTGAAAATTTACCACAACATTAACAATAATTTTAATCATGAATGGTCTGTTTATTCAGTATCACAACAACAAATCAAAAAAAAACATGTAGCTGTTTTACAATCAACTATCTTTGTGAAATACAAGCCAAAAAAGCTTTGCGCACGGTGAAAGCTCCACAAAATCAAGAGAATTCTAACCAGTGGTTTATCGTCGTCACTAAGTGGTGCTTCATCTCCTGATTTAGATGCCAGCTACAACAAAATAATACATCCTCAAATTTGAATTTTCTTATATAAGTCATAACAGAAACAACATGTCATAGAAATAAATGTACATTTATTGAAAATACCTGTCTACCAATCAATATGGCCAAACAGTATGATACCTCGATACTTCCATATCTTACCTTGGCATCTATATAAACCAACTTGTTAACCATTGCCAGTTTGGAAGAAATCCCATGGTAACATGTTACAAAATGAATGACAGACAAGACTGGTACCAGATTAAGGCTGAAGCTTTGTGCCTTATATTGTTGTAAAGAAGGAGGTACACTTGACAAAGGCATTCAATGCATTACTCTTAAAACATCAATATCAGACATAATTTTCATTAGAAAAAACCTAAAAATTTAAGTCACATTTAATACAACCTGTTCTAGAACACAGGACAACATCCATATAAATCTACACAAAACACACATCTACATATCACTCCATTAAAACTATATACTCACATACATGAAATTAAAGCAAATGAAAAATCACATGTAGAAAAAGCAAAATGAAAGTAGAAAATGAAAAAGTAAAATTGCACTATTTGATGTACCTTATAATGATGGCCAAAATGTATGTGTCCTACAGTCTGAGAAACAACAGAAACAACAGTTAGCAACAAATTACACAAACATACAAACATATATATGCCGACATTTTTAGCTGGTAATAAAACCACATTCAAAGCCAACTACTAAATTGTTCAAAATTTTATTTCCCTATTATGCTTATATTTGAAAGTGTACTGGAAGGTATAACTAATTACTTGGCACTTAAAGAATTATATTGTAATAAAGCAGTCAATTTGTGATTATTTTCTGAAAAGAGCAAGGTTGGTCTATATATCTCATCTAAGTGAATGAGAAAGTAGAAAAATATTTCCTACATAGTTCCTAAGGGCAAGGTTATTAACAGAGAAGAAAACATGCATAAATAGATAAAATCACACAAGCATTCGCTGTTATTATTGCATGTTTTTAAATATTTGACTCAGGCACTATGTAACAATATCTGAGGGCCTCATAGTTTATAATCAAATCATAACTATCAAATAACATTGCACTTACACATGGGAAAGATGAACCAATTTCTTTATACAAAAAAACAAATGGGGCATTACTGAATCTGATTTGCACTTTTATGCAAGTTTGTCTGAAAGCAACTGGGTTTGTGCTTGAGTAATGCGTCCTCGTGCTTTTGCAGATGTCAAATGCATGAAAAACTATGCTTTAACGTTCTTTTGATTCAAATATTTCTTTTATGTTCAATAATAAATATTGCCGAAATAATTCTATGTAATGGACTTGCACTCTTTTAAATATGGTACTTTATTGGTAATTTTTTGTCATATCAAATAAAATTGCAAACTCAATAGAATTATTGTCAAACTGCATGGATATTTGGCTTGGTTTCTATGTAATCGTGGCATTAAAGCTGTAAAATATGCAAAATATGCTCAAGATTTAGCCAAGCTTTGCTTTTTAAACATGATACTCTGTATGTAAAACCACTTTACTTCAAATAATATTAAAACAAAAGTTGTAATGGATCAGTGCACTTGGCTACTTGCAGTGCTTGATAGTAAAACAAGAGTCATATAACTATTTCATATTTGGTTTCAACAATCTTCCATATTATCAAACAAAATTTCAATACATAAATTGTATCCAGTATTGAGTAGGAAGCTTAAACTTATATGAAACTCTATCCTATTTCATAAGCGAGCAATTATGGGTCTTTGTCAGTTATATACAACTATGACCCTGACAGCATGTGTAAAGCTTCAAATTTGGTTATAATAATAATAATAATAATAAAGACTTTATTTAAAGAGGCAACATAGTTAGGCATGCCCAGTCTTCCCTATGAGCCTCTATCAAATATAGTACATAGTGTAAACATAGAACTTCATTTATGGGCACAACCTCAAAAAGGAACTCCTAACCACAAAATAAACAAGAGCTGTCGGTAGGACAGCATGCTCGACTATTCTTAGTGCTTGATAGTAAAAAAAATGCCTGATACAGTTACCTCCTCCTGTTTACAGGTTGGGGTCATGATGGTGAACAAGTGTGCAAAGTTTCAAAGCCATATGTCAATGGACTTTGAAAATATTTGAACTATTACAAAAACTTTAACATAAATTCTAAGTCGAAAAAGGGGCATAATTCTGTCAAAATGCTTGATAGAGTTACCTCCTCCTGTTTACAGGTTGGGGTCATGATGGTGAACAAGTGTGCAAAGTTTCAAAGCCATATGTCAATGGACTTTGAAAATATTTGAACTATTACAAAAACTTTAACGTAAATTCTTAGTCGAAATAGGGGCATAATTCTGTCAAAATGCTTAATAGAGTTACCTCCTGCTGTCTACAGGTTGGGGTCATGATGTTGAACAAGTGTGCAAAGTTTCAAAGCCATATGTCTATGGACTTTGAAAATATTTGAACTATTACAAAAACTTTAACGTAAATTCTAAGTCGAAAAAGGGGCATAATTCTGTCAAAATGCTTGATAGAGTTACCTCCTCCTGTCTACAGGTTGGGGTCATGATGGTGAACAAGTGTGCAAAGTTTCAAAGCCATATGTCAATGGACTTTGAAAATATTTGAACTATTACAAAAACTTTAACGTAAATTCTAAGTCGAAAAAGGGGCATAATTCTGTCAAAATGCTTGAAAGAGTTACCTCCTCCTGTCTACAGGTTGGGGTCATGATGGTGAACAAGTGTGCAAAGTTTCAAAGCCATATGTCAATGGACTTTGCAAATATTTGAACTATTACAAAAACTTTAACGTAAATTCTAAGTCGAAAAAGGGGCATAATTCTGTCAAAATACTTGATAGAGTTACCTCCTCCTGTCTACAGGTTGGGGTCATGATGGTGAACAAGTGTGCAAAGTTTCAAAGCCATATGTCAATGGACTTTGAAAATATTTGAGCTATTACAAAAACTTTAACGTAAATTCTAAGTCGAAAAAGGGGCATAATTCCGTCAAAATGCTTGATAGAGTTACCTCCTCCTGTCTACAGGTTGGGGTCATGATGGTGAACAAGTGTGCAAAGTTTCAAAGCCATATGTCAATGGACTTTGAAAATATTTGAACTATTACAAAAACTTTAACATAAGTGGTTACGCCGACGCCAGGGTGACTGCAATAGCTCTACTTATTCTTATCGAATAGTCGAGCTAAAAAACATCTTTTAGAAAAAGATTGCTTTTAAATGATGAAACCCTGTCTCAAGTTTTCTCAGTGTGGCAATACCACGTGACATTGACGTCATTTTCGGCATCATTTCCAAGACAAATGTTGCTCGATTCGGAAAAGAAAATACCCGTAAATATTTTATTTCTGTACCAATTTCTTTGGGATATGCACCAGTCTACGGGGAAAAATATAAGCTTTCCATAGAATATTGGATCTTCGTCAGTATATAAGCCATTTTATCAAACACTTTGCATAACCTTGGAAGTTGCTTGTATTAGAGTGGGCTTCAGTTGCAAGCTATTTCGTTTTCTGGCGTTATCTGGTCTACGCCATAATTTAAAAGTCAGGTTTACATCAACCGGGAGTACGGAAGGCAAAACTCTACCTAAATATGTTCATATTTTTATTATGAATGACATAAATCTTACATTTTTCTTCAATTGTCAATTCTGGCACCAGTTCCAAGTCGAAAAAAAGGACTACAGTTTAAAGCCGATTTTAGAATCCGTTGCAAATGCGAAGCAACATGCCTACCGTTCTCTTTCTACAATTTAGTTTTTCATTGTTGATCTTTCACAGAGAGATTGTGAAAAAAACTGATTGTTCCTTAAAGCAACAACACTTACTTGTATCGCAATAGTGCACGTCAAATCACGTAGATTTAGTCCTGTCGGAAAATAATGTTTGGTTTCGTTTTGAAGATGTTTAAAGTATTGCTCATCTTATCCTATGTAGTTAAATGTGTTTTATTCTATTTCACAATGGCGAAATTGATAAGAAATATATGTGCTCTCAGTGAGAGAAAGAGTTAATATAAAAACACGTTTGTATGATATGGAAAGGGTTACACTTTAACGCGAGTGTTGTTAAGCTAAAGGTATTTTTTCAGTTTATTTTTGTAAAGAGTAACTGACAAACAATGACACTCGTGAATGTGACGAACAGGTTCTTCTGTCCTCAAAAGAGAGACTTTTAAAAGGTATATATTTTTTCTGGAATTGTTGTATAATAAAGTTCTATAGAGTTTGATAAACTAAAACACAATTTGAACTTGGAACTTTGCCTTGTAAATCTGATAGAATTGTTACTTAGTTGCATTACTTATGATTCTCTATTTATCAAAAAGACCCAAAATAGCCATGAATAAGAACGAGAATGGACGCCATGTGGAGTAAACAAAGTAGAAAATAGTTAACAGATAAAAATTTTACAAACCAACATCCATCGATCACAATCAAATTTCTTGAAACAAAACATTCAACAAGACGGAAATAACAATGATTATCAATAATTATATAAATATTTACATTAACATCTGTAAAAGCAACATCGGCAAGATCTATGACTGGGGTCCATATGCCACTGATGCGTCCATTGAATAATTGATAGCTAACATAAGCTTAGTAAAATTACGATTACATTTGAAGAGTATATTCAAATTTTATCCTTCAACTGTCAAATGACTTACTTCTTTATTTACATATCAGATAATTCACTTATTTAGTATATGTTTATCATGTTTTAGATTTTGATGTGCGATCCTTTTTTAAATCTTAAAATGCTACAAAAAGCCTGTTGAGGACATTTGCAGGTCATGCCGCGTGCAATAATCTATGCATTTACAGCCAATGGCCACATCGATAAGAAATAGTCCCAAATAGCCCTATCGTTTTTATTCAGTTGAAAGAGACATTAATGTTAAAAAAGTTCTACTCGATTTAAATGTTTTCAAACCACAAATATTCCGTTCCCTTCCTCTCTTTACAATGTATATTGGTGAGCTCTCTGATAAAGCTGAGTTGACTGATATAATTAACTAAATTTGTCAGATATGCAGTTCATCAACAGAAATAAATGCAATTATAAAATAGATAGTGTTTAATAGTGTTCTTAAGTTAACGAAGTTATATCCAGTTCACGAAAACGGTTACCGTGGTTATCAAAACAGGATATAAAAATATTTTTTATCAACGAGTGCCACTGTGTTAAAAAGCTTAATCTATCATACTAAAAGATTGCTACAGGTTCTTTACATATATATACAAAGGCTCTTTACAAAAGAATAACATTTGACTTTAAAATTGCCGCGTCGAGGCGTAACCCTTTTTACATCATACAAATTCAAGTGATCCTGAATGTGCACGTTCATTGGACAGGCTAGCTAAGTCAATCAGAGCCTGAAACATTTTCAATTTTGCCGTTTTGGGCGATATTTAGGGTTTCTGTTTTCTATTCCACGTTTAGTATTGCTACATGACACAAATAAATTTTTCATAATCATTACCGTGAAAGAACAATAATTAAAGAGCAAATCAATTTCTTTACAAATACAGACAACAATTTTACTACTTTTAAAATCACTTAAATATCGCAGCGAGTAAAAATCATTTAAATATTCATTTGTGTTTATGTAAATCGTATAGAAAATAAAATGTTTTTCATGGTTAACATAATTATAGAAAGAGAACGGTAGGCTTCGCATTTGCAACGGATTCTAAAATCGGCTTTAAACTGTAGTCCTTTTTTTCGACTTGGAACTGGTGCCAGAATTGACAATTGAAGAAAAATGTAAGATTTATGTCACTCATAATAAAAATATGAACATATTTAGGTAGAGTTTTGCCTTCCGTACTCCCGGTTGATGTAAACCTGACTTTTTAATCATGGCGTAGACCAGATAACGCCAGAAAACGAAATAGCTTGCAACTGAAGCCCGCTCTAATACAAGCAACTTCCAAGGTTATGCAAAGTGTTTGATAAAACGGCTTATAAACTGACGAAGATCCAATATTCTATGGAAAGCTTATATTTTTCCCCGTAGACTGGTGCATATCCCAAAGAAATTGGTACAGAAATAAAATATTTACAGCTATTTTCTTTTCCGAATCGAGCAACATTTGTCTTGGAAATGATGCCGAAAATGACGTCAATGTCACGTGGTATTGCCACACTGTTACTGTATTGTGTAAGTTATTGTTAACACAATTCATTGTGGAAAGAAAGTTCAATAGAAATATTGCAATGGCTTTAGTCTTTAGACAAAATAAACATCTCAAACTTGTAAACTGTGCAAATGAAAACAGAATAACATGCAATCATCACACATATATTAGTATCTACCTACCAAGGGAATAACTCTTGATAGTTCTTTACATAGTAGCATTCCTAAGTAATCTCCCTTTGTGTTAATGTTTTTTATTAGACACCAGGTGGTATCCTACTTAAACAAAACTATAGCATGTATTTAATCCTTTGAATGCTAGTATATATAATAATAGACCTTATCAAATTTAAATTTCTTTATTCTCTTAAGACGTAATTGTAAGAGTAACATTTTGAGGTCAACTTTTCCATGTCATGTCATGTCAAGCAGCCTATATTGTAGATTATTATACAGGTTCACAATTATAGCCTGGACCTTTATCAATGACATCAGGTCTGACTAACAGTAATATTAGATTAATATTGTCCTAATAATTCAATATACCAAATGATAACTTTAAAATAGCTTCGCATAACACTAGGAGCCATGCATACATGATGTATGTGATAAGCTAAAAATATGCTGTGCTCTTTAATTTTTCAATTTTGCAAAACAAAAACAAAATTCATTACAAAATCATACAGCTCAGGCATGCAATATGAATATATTACTCAAACTATCCTTCTCTTTGCAATGGTCAATCTATATGTACCAGTAAATACCTGACTATCGATATCAACTTCTTTGACACAAACATGAATTTAACAATTTTTACAATCAAAATGTGCTTATTATAACATTAAACGGATAGATACATCAAGTCTACATATAAGCAGCTCTCACTGTTGAACTGTATCATCACTAGATATTCGTTCTTAATTTTAATCAGAAAGACTATAACAACGTTGTACAATGGTGCAAGGACAATACCAACACTTACCGAAGCCTGACAGGGTGCAATAATAGGTAAGTGGTTATTTCATTTTAATTCATTCATTTACTTCTATAAGAATAAATTTTACATCAAGTGTATTGAATGAAAATGGCCGACCCATAAACTATTTTTCGACGTCTGAAGACAAACCTTTTCATAAGAATGATTTTTACAATAATGTTATAAATAATATCCCTTTTACACATGATAGCAACCCAATCCTGTAGGGTTGTAAGAAGGAACTTGGTTTGAAAATCTATATTACCCACACACCATAATATATAATGTAAGCAAAACTAAAGCTCTTTCATAAGTAAAATATTTGCAAAACGATTTTATAAATGTTGGTAGATTCTTTATTCCCTAGTTAAGCTTTTCCTTCTAATTACCTGTGTAGCCTACCATCCAATGTTATACATACTTGAAAGGTTACCTTCACTCTATGTATACTGCATAAGGGTTATCGGTATACTGAGCAATGTGACATCTGAACTTCAAACTTACTTGAGAAAGTTGATCCTTTACTCTGTAACACACAGTTACCCTGCTGTCATCATAAGAATAAACCAAACATAACAATAATTTACCTTTATTCTGCCAACAGCTTCCTGAGCCTGCATCATCCTCATTGCCTTTGAAGGTTGACCCTCGGATATGAGCTGTGTCGAGCCAAGGTATCGCGCCCGAAACAGAACGCCCTCTATCAGAACTGAAGGATTATCAGGGTCATTGAGTTCAACTGAAATAAACAGACAATAGCACATCATTACAATATGCCAGTGATGAAGTACTCAAATTAACACTCCCATCCAAACTTGGAAACTATAGCATACTGTTATTGTGTGTAACAGTAGATGGACAGGAAGGTTTTTTGGTGATGTAAAATATCATAATTTTCATGTAAATCTATGGAAAACTACTTTTGTCTACAAACTGTGCAACAATATGACCATTTGTATAAGTGAATTGGTCCATAATGGAAGAGCTTTAATAACATCAAAAATTATGTTGAAAGTATTTAGTACCATACATGGAAACAAGCCATGGTTGAATTTTAGTTGTTGGTAAGTTAGAGATACATTATCTGACACTACATATTTTATATAGAAGATGATTAATTGTTCTAGAATAAAATATTACTTAAAAATGATCACATAAATGTTCATTTTAAATCACTTATAACTCTTACAAACATATTTTTTTTTCAAGAAATGTTTTTTTAATAATATCCAAACGATACATTTCTATTGCTTTTATTTGATTTGAAATAATTATGGAGCATGCACCCATTAGTGACCAATCTATTTTAACACCAAATAGATGTGTTTTTATCATGTTTCTTTTTTGCTGACCAAAAATTAGATCTTCCCTGAAGGATCAATTATAAATACTAAATTGTTTTCAAAAGCAATATTAACATTAAATATCAAGATGCATTCTAAATATTGAAAATTCAGATATCATATAAAATTTTACAAGACATCATTCTGTACATTTACTACTGTTTCTTGACATTCATCCATTATTAAGAAGACCCTGCTTATTCTAAAGTTCATAACATTAAATAATGCAGCTGTATTCCAGGCTATTGAAATAATACAGAAATGATCAAATTAAGCCAATATTCCCTATAACACAAAATTCACTGTAATAATTAATAACAAATAATGTTCTAATTAGAAAAATTAACAACATAATGAGATACTGTTTCAGGAATTATAACAAATTTCTACTTTATTTATTATGGCATACAACTTTCTAGCTCTAATGAAGGATAAAAACCTCAGGTTTTCTCATGGCACATTAATTCAGGCTCACAATGACACCTGGGTATATATGTTTATCTTCATTAAATTAGTATGGGAGCTGTTTTACATGAAATACCTCAAAACCCCTGCAAAGATCTGACTCCAAAACAATGAGCATTCTTTTTATTTCTAAAACATCCATACAAAACTGAATGTCATCAGTCAGGAAATATTGAGAATGTAATTTATTACTTCAAGAAGTGAAAAATATCATGCATACAAAATAAAGCTGTACTAAAATCTAGCAATACAGAAAACTTTATTTCCAACAGAAATGTGATCTACCCACATGCTTGAGATAGGTTTTGTTTTTGTTATAGCATTAAACTGATCAAGAAGGCCATGAAAGCTCTGTAAGGCTCATAATAATGATTGAATGTTGCATTATCTCCCTGACAGTATTGTTTTTACATATTTACTTCAGATGGCAATATAAATGTGAAATCTAGGAGAGTGCAATCCAAATATATGCTTAACACCAAGTTTGTCTCTTCACTTGCAAGGAGAAACCTCAGAAGATTTTCATCATTTAGCTTCAGCAGAAAGTGTTGTCAGTGGGAACAGATTTCAGAGAAAAGCATGCAAGAATATTATATTTTAAGTTTGATAATTATCCATATGACATGACGCCATGACAAAACCAACATAGGGCGTTTGCGACCAGCATGGATCCAGACCAGCCTGCGCATCCTTGCAGTCTGATCAGGATCCATGCTGTTCGCTATCAGTTTCTCTACTTGTAATTGGGTTTGTAAGTGACCAGCATGGATCCTGGATCCATGCTGGTCGCAAACTCACTATGTTGGTTTTGTCATGGCGCGGTTCATATTGGTTTATAAGAACAAGCTTTCTATTTCTAGCTTCTCTGATATCTTAAATGGGGCCAACAAGAATACTTTTAGCAATCTATATAGAAAACCATGTCAGGATCCACACACTAAATTTAAAATTACATTATATTCTGACCAGTGGTTTTACATGTGAAAATGTTTACATGAATTGTTGAGGGATTAACACAAGAGTATTCATATACCCTAAAAGCTCAATGTGAACCTTTGGTACCAGGAAGATGAAAAACATCATAATATCAATAACAAAGGAATCAGTAAGAAAAGCGAAAATTAAAAAATAAATAGAAAATACCAAAGCATACATTATCCCAACCAAGAAAGACATAAGCAATTTACCTGTTCCAAATAAAAACAGAAGAAAAAAAAACATTTAAAGAAACCAAGTGGGTACAACAATGAAATATGAAGTAAAAACCCCAATATTACATCAAATATCAATTCACTTACCATAGTTTATAAATTAGTAGAGTGTGTGTTTTATCCAAGTTGTTAATATGAAATAGCAAATGATAACTTTTATGTTGTCATAAAAAAATGTTAAAATAATTTAGAATTGTCATATTTAATGTAACACTTTTTGAAACAGTCTGTTACAGTATTCAAACTTTTCTACATAGATTAAGCTTTCATCTATGATTTAGATAACAAATAAACCAAACATAAAATTGATAAATGTATAAAAAAAAAATAATTCTATTTTACTCAGAAAGCAACATAATAATGAAATCATGTTCAACACAGATGATAATATAACTTTTGTTGAGAATGAATCTTTTGAGCCTTCAAAGACAAACCGTTAAGGCTTGACCTGGCTCTTCACAGGTAGCATAGGCACATCATTTTAGCCACTAGCATTTAAACAGATAAACAGCTTAGCTGTACATGTATCAAAATTCTTTACAATATTCTTCATGAGAATGCCAGCCATTATACCAAAACTCGATTGATTGTTCAAATAAAGAAATATTTTGATCAACATAGCATATCAACCTGTGCCACTGTTCACCATGCATTTTACTGAAATAGTTAATAGTATTTTGAAACTGTTAATAAGGGTGCCATTTTAGTCAGATGCATAGTAAAGAAGAAACCTTTCTAGAATTAAATAACAAAACTATGTCTACATTATTTTCTTACCTTCTTTAGCACGGGACTTTCTTTTCTCTGCCTGAAATAGTGACATCAAATCAAATTGTTAACAAAATAACATATAATTAAATATTTCAGAGATGTAAAAGCTTCTGAATACTTTTGTTTAGAGTGCAAATTAGAGTGTGAGGGCCTATTGTAAACATTTTGTTGTTCTTTTTTCAATTTTGTTTTTCTTTTTTCATTCATCTGCTGTCAAATTAAATTATACATCTGCTATGGAGTCTATCATTAAAGCGTATACTTAAGGTTCAAGTAAAGTATGATAATTTTATGAATGCTAAAATATATAACCAAGAATGAATAAAACTTCATCAAAAGAGATCAATACTGAAGACATACCCCCATCTCATCAAATTCAAAAATGCTCTATTGTTTTATACCACTCTCTTACACTGGTGAATACTAAATCGGAAATTTAATTTTTTTACAGGTAGTATGTTAGACAAGATAATTATAAACACAATGTATGACCTTTGTTAGTAACCTTGTCATATTAAAGTATTGTAAGCTGTTCTAATGACACACAGCTGGTAATGATGATGTATAAAAATTCATATATTAGTAACAGCTTTTTATGCTGTATACTGTTTACTTTCATAAATTGTCAAATGCATTAATCTCATAACAGGTGCTTGATTTCACAAATAAAAGAGCTTCTAAGAGTGGGTTTTAAATGCCATTTTTGTCTTTAGCTATGCATAATAACTATGTAATAATTTTATAAAATTTATAGAAATTCTCAAACCTCTAACTTATGCCTAGAAACATGTGCTCTTATAATTACAGATAATTTATTAATTTTTTTTTTATGCCCTTTATTACTTTGGTATTGCAGGAACAGACATACAGATGGACCACATCATCAAACCACTTTTTTATGAGAGGCATAATACAAACATTAATTGTTAATCAGATACCCCACTAACACTTAACATTTACTCAACATGACATCAAAAACTGTTGTTGTTTTTTTTTCTCATTTGCAAAGTACAATCTTTCAGCTTCATTTCAAGTTAACTAGGCAAAGGAGTTTGATCCTATAGTCTGAAACTTTTCCAAACAGCTTGATAAGCAAATGATCCAGTTACCTACATGTTAATTACATTTTGTGACTCAGATTAAAAGACATTGTTTACCTGAGCACTTCTGTTTACTGGTGGTTGACTTAACTCTGGTATATCAACATACTGGTTACCAACATACTGTTTCCCTAGCAACTGATCTGTCTCTTCATCTGTGTCAAAATCTACATAAAAAAATAAATCTTTTATAAATGCACAATTAATACCAGCAAATAAATCATTCTACCAAAAGAGAAAAATTTATTGCTAACAGTTCAACCTAATACTGTTTCAAAGACAGCTGATGTGTATTTGAAATCAAATACTGTTCTTAGCTTAATGAAATTACAAATGCCACTTGATGAGAAATTGTGCAGCCTGACAAGGACTCAAACTTAGAACCTTTGGAATACTGTTCCACTGCTCTACCGACTAAGCTTTCCGTCCACTTACACATCTTCTCCCCTAATTAAATAAGTTTTAACAGGTCTATACTGTGACTCTAACTATGCCAACATAACTTAAACTGAACTCATTAGCTGTCTATCTTAAAACATGTAATGTTACTAAATTTGAGTACCAGACTTGACTAGCCTTCAATTCATTAGTTTATTTAAGTTCTATGTCTTCATTGTGGAAGAAATAAAAACATTTACTTGCTGGGTGAATCAGACAAATCATTCACTTATCTTAATTGAAATAAGACATGTTTTTATTTTATTCTTAATATATCAATACCATTGCTTTCCTAATACATGTATTGTATTATAAAACAAACATGTCACAGATTAATGTCAGTAACAGGCTGTTTACATACTATAGGATTTAAAACAGGCTGTTTACATACTATAGGATTTAAAACAGGCTGTTTACATACTATAGGATTTAAAACAGGCTGTTTACATACTATAGGATTTAAAACAGGCTGTTTACATACTATAGGATTTAAAACAGGCTGTTTACATACTATAGGAATTAAACAAGTGTATAGCCTAGTCAGACTGCACAAACATGCCCTAGCAAATAATTTAGAAGCTAAAATCAGAATTTTATAATTCCACCCTTTATTTTATCTTTACTGATTAAAATTAAATATGTTCAATATCATGATAATCAACAAAAAGTGAACAAGACGAAAGCATGCAGTCAACGGTTAAGATTCATGATTCCATGTTAAAAATGCAAGAAGTAAGTTTTCAAGCACATGCACATGTCAATATTCCATGTAAATTCTAGTTTATTTTTCTATCAAAAATATGCATTTCCCTACCAATGTTTACAACAAATTTCTTACATAGACAAACAAATAAGGAAATTTTTAATGAATAATTTTGACCATGTCATTATCGTAACTTCAGACAAATTTGTAATGCTTCTTTAAACTAGAAATGTGTCCATAGGACACGGATGCCCCCACACGCCACTGTTCTGTCAATCTTATGACTCTAGGTCAAATATTTTTTGGACTACATGTGCCACAAGTTGAAAACTAACAAGAGCTGTCACAGGAGACAGCAAAGCTCGACTAATAAAATACTGGACGCAGTAAGGAGGACAAAACTATGAAAGAAAAATCAATTATGTATAATTATGTATTAAGTTATAGTAAAAAATAACATTTATTAACATAAATTCCAAGATCAAGGGGAATAATTCTAGAAATAGTCATGCTAGAGTTATGGACCTTGCCACACAACATTTGTGTAATGATAAGAAATATATATTTGAAGTTTGAAGTAGATACCTTAAAAAATAAAGAAGTTATTATATTTCTTAAAGAAAATCCTAAGTTCAAAGAGAGATAAATCTGTAAATATTGCTTCAAGAGTTATGAACATTGTCACATAAAATGTAATTGATGATAAGGAATAAGTATTTGAAGTTTGAGGTAGATACCTTTTAAAATAAAAAAGTTAAAGAGATAATTCTTGCAATATTGGTGCTAGAGTTATGAACCTTGTCACATAAGATGTGGATGATGATAACGTAAATATATTTGAAGTATGAAGTTGATCCCTTTAGAAATAAATAAGTTACAGTAAAAATAATATTTTGTATGGAAAATTCTAAGTTCAAAGGGAGATAAATCTGTAAATATTGGTGCTAGAGTTATGAACCTTGTCATATAAGATGGGGATGATGATAACGTAAATATATTTGAAGTATGAAGTTAATCCCTTAAGAAATAAAGAAGAAACCGTAAGAAATAATATTTTTTGAGGAAAATTCTAAGTTCAAGGGGAGATAAATCTGAAAATATTGGTGCTGGAGTTATGAACCTTGTCACATAAGATGGGAATGATGATAAGGTACATATATTTGAAGTATGAGGTTGATCCCTTAAGAAATAAAGAAGTATCAGTAAAAAATAGTATTTTTTAAGGAAAATTCTAAGTTCAAGGGGAGATAAATCTGAAAATATTGGTGCTAGAGTTATGAACCTTGTCACATAAGATGTGGTTGATGATAAGGAACATATATTTGAAGTTTGAAGTTGATATCTTAAGAAATGACAAAGTTATAGTGAAAAATATTTTACTGCACCAAAACTTTAATCTAAAATCTGGACGCGGACGCGGACGCCGACGCCGACGCCGGGGCGAGTAGGATAGCTCTCCATATACTTCGTATAGTCGAGCTAAAAATCAACAAAGGGCCATAATTCTGTTAAATTTGGTCGCAGCAAAAATTCCTTCCTTTACTACCATCTACACATTAAGGTTGTTAATCCCTGGAAGTTTAAGCAAAATCTGCCATCCGGTTTAAGAGGAGTTGCATTCACAAAATTTCAACATAGTATATAATGAAACAATCAAAAAAGGGCCATAATTCTGTTAAATTTGGTTGCAGCAAAAATTCCTTTCTTTATTACCATCTACACATTAAGGTTGTTCATTCCTGGAAGTTTAAGCAAAATCTGCTATCCGGTTTAACTTTAAGAGGAGTTGCATTCACAAAATTTCTACATAGTATATAGTGAAAAAATCAACAAAGGGCCATAAATCTGTAAAATTTGGTCGCAGCGAAAATTCCTTCCTTTACTACCATCTACACCTGAAGGTTGTTCATCCCTGGAAGTTTAAGCAAAATCTGCCATCCGGTTTAAGAGGAGTTGCGTTCACAAAATTTCTACATAGTATATAGTGAAAAAATCAACAAAGGGCCATAATTCTGTTAAATTTGGTCGCAGCAAAAAATCCTTCCTTTACTACCATCTACACATAAAGGTTGTTCATCCCTGTAAGTTTAAGCAAATTCTGCCATCCAGTTTAAGAGGAAATGCGTTCACAAAATTTCTACATAGTATCTAGTGAAAAAATGAACAAAGGGCCATAATTCTGTTAAATTTGGTCGCAGCAAAAATTCCTTCCTTTACTACCATCTACACATTAAGGTTGTTCATCCCTGTAAGTTTAAGCAAAATCTGCCATCCGGTTTAAGAGGAGTTGCGTTAACAAGATTTCGGGACGTACGGACGGACGGACTGACGGACGGACAAGTGCAACGCTATATGCTCCCACATTGTGGGGGCATAAAAAAAATCTTGACACTGAATAAAAAGTGCTCAGAAAATTTTCTTTAGAATCATTATGAAAATGATTTACAATTGACAGACTACAATTTTGCAAATACCATGCTTAGCTACAAAAGCTGTCAATATCTATCTATAAAAAGGATAAAAATTCCTCTCACACTCCCAAAAACCTAGACAACCATGTTACAGACATAAAGCATTGTGGGCTATGCACTTACAATACTTCCATATTTTTCATCAATGTTTGACAGGCCAAATTTGATATGTCTGGACATAAAAAACAAGTTTCTCCCCAGAAACTTGATAAACCATGTAAGGCATAGGCATACAATATCAACGAATGTGTACAAAATTAAGGTCAAACCTCCTTCTTTCCTGGACCGAACATAAGCATGTTTGGTAGTTATATCAGAATCACTATTGAAATCTTCCGAAGATCCTAGTGATTCGGAGTTTCTACGATCGCTGTGGCTATCCTGCGTGAACGTGTAAGAGTTTGTATCTCCGTACATGCTCACACTATCAATACGTAATTGAGACGTGTCATTATCCAGGTAATGGCTACGATTAGTGTAATCCTGCGAGTCGTCTTTTGCCAGCTGCGAGTACTTCTTTCCACGATTTCTGCGCGTGTAACGAACATCGTCATCGTCGTACTCGTCATCACTGTCGTAGCCTAAAAACAGACAAATCATGCAACCATGCAGAAAACAAGAATAACACAATATAGACTAATGGAAACAAAAAAGATTAAAAACATTCAAAAAAAGTAAATATATAAGAATGATAAACTAGCTTTCCTTTATACCAAAAACTGTCATTTCAGAAATATCTCATGCTTTATTATTAAAGGTTCATAAATGGAGAACATTTTAAGATGGAAATAAATGAATTCTTGAAAGTAAAAGATACCTTGTGACAGTGATACAGATGAATGCATTACAACCCATGCCAATGCCTGTCATACTGGGTTAACACGTTATTAAAAACAAAAACACTAAATAGCTGCACTTGTAATAATGCATATACAAATATTAAGTAACCTTTTAGCTTTCAATGTACATAAGTCAATTTCATTATATATATAACAGATATACATAAGACTGCCCCAGGGACAATTTTATTTTTCTGGTTAAATGGATCATTAAATATGTGTAGAGTTCAAAAATGAGGAGAGTGTTAAACAACTATATTTGCTAAAAGATCAGTCCACAATTATAGAAGTGTCCATGAATACAAATACGTTTGATGCTATTTTTGTTAGTTTCTGCAATTTAATCAGGAAATGGGAATAGGATCAAAGCATGTTCATTTCAGTTTTGCCCATAAATCTATTGTAACACAATTACGCCAGCAATATGTTTGCTGTAGTGTGAGTATATCAAATTAGTACCATCAAATCAAACATGCCAACAAGATAATGTTTCCACTGAACTTCGCTTTACATGATCACAATAAAGAAAATCTTTATATATTCAGTCTAAAACCTCTCTGTTTAGAATTTAAGACTAATCTTCAGGAACAGAAAAAAAATATTTGTAAACAGGTGCTCTTCATTTTTTTGCTAAGATTAATAAAGAACAATATGATGAACTTAATTCAGTGTTGTATATTTAAATTCATCTATAAGGCATCTTTATATAGAATCACTGTTTAAAATATATAATTGTATAACTAAATTGAATTTCTAGCCTAAAGACACAGTTGTACTTTTGTTTCAATTAAAATAACCTGTGGTAAATTTAATTTAAAGGTAACTCAAAAACTGAACATTGCATAATATATTTCTACTATAAAGCAGGTCATAAAACAAGAGAAAATGCACTGCAACACAGACAAGATACAGCTTTTTATAAATTATGGTCACCATTCTTTATAATTCTAGAAGTTTCCTCTACCTGTGTCTAGTAAATAGAGAATTTTCCTAGGAAAGATATGGTTAGTTATTGTTATAAAAACCTATATAGACATAATAATTGTCATAAACCATGAAGGAAAATACAATATATGTCTGCCTTAAGAGTTTTATAATATTCTCTATAATATTACTGTCTTGCAGCACTACAAACAAGAGCTGTCCGTAAGACAGCGCGCTCGACTTTTTTATTGCTTGCCAATAAAAAAAGTTTTTGCAGTAAAAGGCAATACAAGAATCTCTGTATTTTTAAAGTGAACAATGGCCATGAGCATTAAGATATTTAGTGAAGAATTATTAACCAAGATTCTAAGTCGATAAAAGGCCTTAATTTTTAAAACAAATCCTTGACAGAGTTACCTTCTCTTGCGTACAGATGGGGGTAATGATGTGAAATAGCATTAAAAGTTTCAAAGCAATATCTCAAAGGGTTAAGGCAATAAGTGGATTTTACCCATATTCAATGTATTTTCTAAGTCAAAAAGGGGCATAATTCTGTCAAAAACCTTGACAGAGTTATGTCCTCTTGTCTGTTGATGAAGGTCGTGATGGTAAACAAGTATGGTCAGTTTCAAAGCAATACCTCCAATGGTTTTGAAATAAAGTGAGGTGGTACAAAAAACTTAACCAAGCTCAATACACTTTCTAAGTCAAAAAAGGGCCATAATTCTGTCAAAAACCTTGACAGAGTTATGTACTCTTGTCTGTAGATGGAGGTTATGATGGTGAACAAGTATGGTAAGTTTCAAAGCCATACTTGTAATACTTCTGAAATAAAGTGGGGTGGTACGAAAAACTTAACCAAGGTGTGACGCCAACGCCGACGCCGACGCCGACGCCGGGGCGAGTAGGATAGCTCCCCTTTTCATAGAAAAGTCGAGCTAAAAATGTGTGTATGAATTACAGCACCAGTTAGAGACAGTGATTTCCCATAATGCATTATTTCATTATTGTTGTAACTTTAGAAGAGGAGAAAATCAGCTAGCAGACAGTTAAATATAATAACATTAAATATATATGTAGAACACTGAGGGAAATCTTGCAAATTCTCTAAAGTAAAATTCCATACTATTCATCTTGGTGGTGGTAGTAGTTTTCGCTCGGGATCACGGCAGTCAGCGACATTGAATTTACCAGAGAACAGTTCAGCCACCCCATTGTTCCTGGGCAGTCTGTCAAGCAGTTTACCAAGAAATGGTATTACTTCTGTACATGCCGGAGCAGAGGTACAGTGTGAAAAAAAGGATTTTATGATCAATTGCAATGAAAAAGACCTGCAACATCTGGGAATTGAACCCGGGATGCCCGATTCACACTCAAACCCAACTGAGCCTAGTCTAAACTGGACAGCTTTCTATTTAACTTGTTAGTTCCAGAACCATTACGCTCATTCCCAATTGGCTGGCACATACAGAGTATTAGTATCATTACTAACAGATGAACTCGAGGACACCATTTTTAATAAGATAACATGGATCTACTTTAATCTATTCCTATTTATATCTTAATAATCAATTCCAATTAAAAACAAAAATCACACCAAAAATAACTTTATATATTTAACCTTAAGGCCACAATCAAGAAATGATGCTAGAGGCATAATTACTCGGACTGAAATTACGGGCAAAATAAAAGATTCTAATTTCGAACTAATATCCTCCTTTTCCATATACGAATCTGACTATCTGCCAAATGTAAAACCATGTTATTAAATGGTGCCATATTTTGCCTGAGGAAGAGAGAGAGAGAATATTATATGTGACTTAAGATAGAGTGGTATCAGGCAACGGTTACTTTAGTTAAATATACAACACATTATTGGCCAAGAAATTTAAGATTGAAGTAATTTCTTAGACAAATCTCATGATTTAATCTTCAGCTCCGATTAGCTGGGATAAATAGTTTTTGGGGAATTTTTTGCTAAAGAATTTCAGAAATTAACAATTTATAAAGAAATTCTGTGTTATTTCTAGGAGAAAACAACAAAAAAATCAGTTATTACCATATTGCATGTTAAAATTTTATATTAATACTATTAAAACACCAAAGCCTAGCCTTACAAACTAAGTGGCATATTAGCTTTCAGTAATTTGTAGTAAAAATTAAGGCATAAATTCCCATTTCAGGAAATTTGAAGTTCAAGTCATTAGTGCTTCATGGCTTTTTTCGCAGACCCTTATCTGTCAAATGTTTAAAACTAACAGCTTTTTAACACCTATTTTTCCTGATACAAGATATTTGCTTCAGATTTTTTCTTTTTTTTATATTTTGTTCTGTTTTTTTCTTTCATGTTTTGTTTATTGTTTTCTTTGTTATTGCATCTCCTTATTGTTGTTTTTGAATGATTGGTTTTTGAGGGGTGGGGGGGGTGAAAGGAAGGGCTGTTGCTAAAACTGTTAACAGTTTGTTTCTTTTGTCATTCAATAAAAGCCTTTAAAATATGAGAGATGATGCATGAAACTTCTTATCCTACAAGTTTTTTTAAGATAAGTAAATATTACTCAAACCACCATATTTAACTATGATGAATGCAATACTGTTGTAACACAAGTTTTTTTTAAATTATGACATTGTTGCCTTGTACCACTGTGGATTAAATATTAATATGCCTTCTGAAATGACAGTTTAAGGCAATAAATAAAATCAACTAGAACTGCCACACGTCTGGCAAGGATACCACCACACACCACTTTGTGAATAGGGTGTTCAGTTTGACTAACAGTTTAAAATTAATTAGCCTACTCAAAGAAACATTATATTTTTTGAAGAGGCCAATTTTTTTTTCTGAGGCTATCAACCAGTTCCATATTCTGCAATAAGTTGCTGGGTGTGATTAGCAGTTGAGGACGTAAACTGTCTTCATTACTTTCATAATATTACCACAATCCAGTGTTTTAGCATTTAACCAGTTTGTTACCATAGCAACCAAATTTTCCAACACAGGAAGAAAATAAAACCATCATCTCCATATTACCAGGAGTGATTTTTTACTTCTTGTGGGTAAGTAATGAATCTGCAATGGATGCACAATTTCATATAATATAAATGTGTCATTTTTGGATGCATGTATCCTGGCTCATAGGAATGAGGCCATAATATCAAATTGTATGCAGGTTTTTTAAGGATTTTTTTTAATATGAGGAAGTTGTTTTAATGACAGTTGTTGCTGATATTTCACTTGTATTTACCATTCTTAGAGGGCATTTTTGTCTGTTATCGGTGTATGTATATTGCAAATCTGGCCTTGTTTGGAATGTACAATTGAAATTTATTTTAGTATATAAATTTGAACCAGCCTGTGTCAAACATCATACATTGTTCAGAAAAATGTTTGAAAAAAGTTATATTCATCTTTTAAGAATCTTTTTGAGTGTAAAACTATCAATAATACCACAATGAAAGTTCAGCCAAGGTTTTTAAATTTTAAAGACCCTGATTTTTGATGTTTTGAGCTTTTATAACAATTAGCTGATTTATGACATACAGTCCGACCCCGGTTATTCGACAACCCTTTATTCGAATACCCGGCATTATCCGAAGTAGATCGGCGTACCCGTTTTTATCTCTATATATAACAATGTAAATACGAGGGTATTATTCGAAATGCATTATCCGAATACCTCCTATTAAGTAAAATTTCGGTCCCGATTATACAATTATGAAAGAATTTCACACCTATTATTCGAAGCCAGCCTAATTATTATTCGAAGCCAGACTAATTGGCGCAGATCCACTCGCTGTGAAAAATATCCAAAGTCATGCGTGTAATTAGACAATCATGATAATAACTCTTTGTGTGTTCTTTAATCAACTTTAATTACCGAAAATGAAAAGCTATGCACCGTGTCCGATTTTGTTGAAGATGACAGCAATAATTTTTATACATTCCGTATATGTGAATTTGTCAAAACATCCAAAACATTTTTTTTTCATTAATTGTAACGCTACAATCGAAAATACCAGAGTTTAGCTGTAAATACCGTAGTGACGACACAGCCATTATCAAGGCTTTGTGCGAAACGAAACGATACACAATGTAAAATAAAATGCAAGTATTTATGTCTTCAATGTCAACACAATAATTTTTTACTATCTTTTCTTAAATATTTATTTTTCTCAATTGATTACAGGAAGCAAATGTGTTGTAAACGGTAGTTTTGCGATGATTGGTCAAAGTTGAGTAGTTTTCGTCTATCACAATATTTCAATTTCGATTATTCGAACCCATCGATTATTCGAAGTAAATATTCAGTCCCAGGCACTTCGAATAAACGGGGTTGGACTGTAATAAAAGCAAATGTACACATATTGGTTCATATATTAAATGTCTTACCCAAGTCCATTATGAAACCCTTGTTTCATTGGAAACATCAGTGCAAAAATTATCATTCACAACAAATATGTCCTACATTAAGTTATAAATTTGTATTTAAATCACTACATAAGTTTAATGAAGTTCATCTTGTATAGTGAATACAGCAGCATTTGGCAAGGGTACAAGCTGACTCCATTGCAATCTTTGCTGTTTGCAGGGGTATCATTATCTTTCAAATGTTGCTTAATCAAATATGATAGAAATATAATTCATTCAGTAAAATGAATATGTTGACAATTATTATTATAATGCAACAAATTCTGTAATGTAACTAAAATATGACTGAATCATAAAAAACTTGCACGTGACACACGTCCATCTAAAATGCCTGACAATATATTTATAAACATTTGTTCCATGCAAGCCTAATACATAATACAATGCTTAGATTTATAATAAAAAAAATCTTGTCTAAACCCATCAATATAAACATGCCAATATGAGATGAAAATGAAACTAAAAATTTATGAAGTTGATTTTTATAACAATGCGTGTTGATTAAAATCCCACTGCCGTTTGCATGACAAATCATTGTATATTTAAAATTTTACAAATTCACAAACTTACCACACCCCCAACCCCTCCCAAACAAGTCTGTCTCCCACAGTCACCCACTGTACCAATATATATAATCAATTAAACAAAGTAACAGCATAGGTCATCAATTACAAATCTCTGCCATATTCTGTCTATTGTGTTTAACATTCACCATGCTTATGTAACAGATTTGTTATGCTTTTAATTTGAACTGTCCATTTCAGTAAATGAAATTAAGATATCAAAATAAATAGAGCAACCATCAGTTCAATGTCTTATGTTACACAGAGACTGGCCTGGCTCTATACTGACAGTAGTGGTCTCTCATTATAGCCCACTAGTATTCAAATAGCATTTTAGACTGGGTATGTAACATTGAAATATAAGGAGTCCAAGTTGCTTCAATGCATAATGTTGAATTAGTAGAAACATGGGTGCAAGTTAAAAATATCAGAAAACCTGAAAGTCCTGAATTTGGTATCATTTCAATTAGCTTTATATAGCACTTTCAAGAGTAAAAAAAATTGTACCCATAATAAAAAATGAAAAAAAAAATTAAATATCAAGCTTCGTGGACATTACTAAGTTAAATGAAATTCAATTATAAAATATATCAGGATAGACATTTCAATATTGAATACCTGTTTCCTCAAAGATGTTAATTTAACATTATATATTTTTCATAATGGAACTTTGATGTAAGCTTTTTGGACAACCCTCTTATTATTAAGAAGCAAGTTCCTTCTAGGAAAATTTTACAAAATTATACCCAATAGTGAATAATTATATATTTCAGTAAAAAATGGCAGAATACATTATTTCTCTTCCCTGGTTAATGAATTGCCATTATATACCTAATACAACTCTTAGAGCACTTTAAGATTTCCTGCAAAAAAAACAACCCCAATTATTGACTTATAAGCGTCTTAACGGGAAATGTCACGTGATGAATGAACAATGATCCCACTCAATATGGTAAATGATCAATGCAGTAAATATAACATCTTCTCTCTAGACATTCTTAGTATTGGACAACATCAACTTGCATCCAATCTTCTCTATTTAACAAAGTTACAATGTTAATTACCTACCTTTGTCTCGTCTACTGTTCAGATTTAATTAATAACTGGCTTTTTCTTTCTCCATTTTTTTTTTGAAATCTGCCTTAAAAATAACTGCTTTGTCCCCTAAACATTATAATCCAGATAGGTTTGAAAGCTTATCAAGGTTTGAAAGCTTATCACTTGATCATTTTTTATTTTTTACTTTCTATTTTAGTGGATAGGAAACAATCCAGGGCATACTTTTGGCAATAAAACATTGCCTTTTACTCCAAACGATATGGAATGGCATGGTTTAACTTCATGGGTGCATCTCGCTTTCATCAAATCAAACCTTTACCATTACAAAGGTGATGAATGTTGAAAGAAAAACCCAGTTATAAATCAATGTATCCTTAAATATTAGTAGTGAAATCAATAAGCCTTGTTCTATTGTATTTTACCTTTTGGCGTTGTATATATTTTCCCATCATTCCTTGTATACTGTGTTCCTAGAAGGCGCTCCTTCTCATTTTCCATCAGATACGCTGAAAATTATCATTTCAAACTTGTATATAAATTGGTAGTTATGATCAAAACCATTGTAAAACATTATATATAGAAAACAGATATCATGCACTCTAGGCTGATGCAGTCATGATGTAATTAAGTAACCCTGCACTGTGAAATCAATTTGTGTAATGAATGGGTTTTTGATACAACAGTTTGATTGGATACAAATGTACTTATATATTTAAGACTTTTTCAGATAAATTTACATAATAACATCTATCACTGGTACCAATCAATAGCAGTATATACCAACAGAACTTTCTCCATTCTAAAATACAAATATGTTTAAACAATAAGGCAGTTTTAACTTTACCCTAATGCATTTATGTAATTTAGTAACCCAATAATTTTTACTGTCTATTTTATGGATTTCAACATCAAAGTCTTAAAATTATGGTAACAAATTTAAGGTATCTGGCTAGATTATACATAAAGACAAGCCAGTTTTATTAAGGTAATATTGGAATATATGGAAAATCGTGAGCTAAACAAAATTTAAATCAAAATTTTATTGTCATAAGGTGCTTTATCTAGGTGTGTAAGATAATATGTTTTATTTATCTATCTGTTTTAGTTACGATAATCAGCATATATCAAGAATATGCAAATACCCTGCTCATCTTCTTTCCTGCTCAGTTCTGGCTGTTTTCTTGTCTCTAAATCATCTCGACCATTCACTACCTCATATGTTGACCCTCCTTTAGGTATAACTTGAGTCTCCTCCCTGAATAAATACAATCAAAGTAACTTGACTGAAAAGATCAGTGCAGCCCATGATCAGTCAGACGTAAAGGCTGTTGTTATCTAGGTTTGAATTTGTTCTATTGGTAGACTTAATTACTGTCAGCAGAGTAATGGTTAAAAGCTACAGATAAATAAAATATAAACTGGTTAAAGCTGCATTAAATAAATATGAAACTAGAAATGTGTCATCATGCCACGGATGCCCCCGCATGCAGCCAAAATTTCAGATGTTATAATATTTAGTTCCAAATTTGTTTGCACAAATTATTTTTTTCATTTGCAATTCAAAGCCCTTAAAACTTTTCAATGTTAACACAAACCATTTTCATACAATGTTCAAGGCACTGAAATTATTCAGTGTTGACCTTTTGAAAATAGCATATTTCATATTTGTAGCCAAAATAATGGCTAAAAGTATGAGTGCTGAAACTGAAAGTTCAAAATTTTTCAAATATTCAAGAAAGATAAGTTTGTCCAAAATCATTGAACCACAACCAAAGTCAAACTTTAACTGCTTATTCCTAAGATGTATCTATATTATTTTCAAAGTGAAAGGGATATAACCATGACCAAATTTCAACCTGTCTTCCTTTGACATATCCGTATGTCAAATTTGAGTTGAATATGTAACACTGTTGGGTAGATAATAAAGAAACTGTAAATTTCATATTATTTTCAAGGTGAAAGGGGCATTACTCTGCCAAAAATCATTGAACCATGACCAAATTTGAACTTGACCTGCGCATTCCAAAAACATATCCATATGTCAAATTTGAGTTGAATGTGTTGTACTGTTGGGGAGATAATAAACAGAAACTGAAAATTTCATATTATTTTCAAAGTGAAAGGGGCATAACTCTGCCAAAAATCATCGAACCACGACCAAATTTGAACTTGACCTGCGCATTCCTTTGATGTATCCATATGTCAAGTTTGAGTTGAATGTGTTGTACCGTTGGGGAGATAATGAACGGAAACTGAAAATTTCATATTATTTTCAAAGTGAAAGGGGCATAACTCTGCCAAAAATCATCGAACCATGACCAAATTCGAAGTTGACCTGTATTTTCCCATGACATATCCATATGTCAAATTTGAGTTGAATGTGTTGTACTGTTGGGGAGATAATGAACAGAAACTGAAAATTTCATATTATTTTCAAAGTAAAAGGGCATAACTCTGCCAAAATCATCGAACCATGACCAAATTCGAAGTTGACCTGTATTTTCCCATGACATATCCATATGTCAAATTTGAGTTGAATGTGTTGTACTGTTGGGGAGATAATGAACAGAAACTGAAAATTTCATATTATTTTCAAAGTAAAAGGGGCATAACTCTGCCAAAAATCATCGAACCATGACCAAATTCAAACTTGACCTGTATTTTCTCATGACATATCCATATGTCAAGTTTGAGTTGAATGTGTTGTATCGTTAGGGAGATAATGAACGGAAACTGAAAATTTCATATTATTTTAAAGTAAAAGGGGCATAACTCTGCCAAAAATCATCGAAACATGACCAAATTCGAACTTGACCTGTATTTTCTCATGACATATCCATATGTCAAATTTGAGTTGAATGTGTGCAACCGTTACTAAAATAATGAACGGAAACTGATGATGACGGAATGACAGAATGACGGAATGACGGAAGGACGGAACAGGGTAACACTATATGCCCCAGCCATTACATGGCGGGGGCATAAAAAATATTTGCCGTCGGCCTAAAAACCAAGCATTCTACAGTTTCATTAGCCTTTTTAACAGTACAGTTATAAATCTCATGCAAACAGAAATTGTACTTCCGATTTCACCACAATGAGGTTGGAGATTTTAATGCTTATTACACTCATATTACACTCATTTTGGTTATCTGGACACCAAAATAAGATCTGGAGTTGATATGAACCCCATTTATTAATGAAATGATGCTAGTTCTGTTTGGTTTTTTTAATTTTTTAAATGCAGCTTTAAACTCCAACATGTGTACTGGTTAGAATTTGTTAACCACTATTATGCTGCATTGATAAAAATAACAACATATAAACTATTTCACTCTGAACTAGTTAAATCTGAACCAGTATTTAAACATAATTATTTTTTTTTTTTTTAAATGTATTTAATTAGAGTTACAGTGTAAGAAATAAGGATTTAAATCCAGTCAATCCACTAGGCTGGTCGGATTACCAGAATGGAATTTTCATTAGTTCACTAGCATTATTCATTTATTCAAACCAGTTGTTTATATTGCCTCTGAAAATACAGTAGCCTGGTCGGGCTTGTTACTGTGAAAAGTTGGTAGCCCGAGGAGAAATTTAGTAGTCAGGGGCTATAGGACTACTGCTAATTTCAAACACTGGAGTTACAATAAAAGTATAACATCAAGATCAAGGGTATTTTCCGAGTATATAATGTATCAAGTTTCCATTAATTGTTTTAATTACAGGATATCCATGCCATTATTACTGGTACAAATCTTTAAACAGATATATACTTCATCTTGCAAGACATTTTGCACAAATAACAACATAATTTAAACCATATGTAAATTTTAGCATTTAGAGAAACAGTCTATTGTAAGTAAGAAGTAGTAAAACAATGTAGATTCTCACCTACCATACTATGGGGTTATACAGATTAAATTTTTAAGTTTGTTGGCTTGATTGAAAGCATGACATTTTAATTAAAGGTGGTAAAAACTGCAAGTTATTCTTTTAAATAATATACATGTATATGTATATACCTGTATAACTATAACTGTTGTTTGTTTCTTAACAAGTTAATCACATGAGAAATCTGGCTGAAATCTCTTACTGATGGAATTATATTGCGAATACTACGAAACAATTGTATGTCTAATACAAAATAAATATGTAATACAAAAAAAAATTGTTTTCCCAGTCTAGAACCAAACGTGGAACATTCCGAAATTATTCTCTCTTGACTTTTACCAGACACAAAGCTTGTTTTATTGTCTGAGACTGAAAAATGAGAGAGTTGTACTTTAAAAATATACCCGTAGACAAGTTATAAAGAAACAATTTCACCTATTTTTGGAAGAAAAAAACACCCAATTTAAGCAATTCTTAACACATATTTCACAATTTACATCACTAATGATGACATTCCTGAGAGTGATAAATCTAATATTAGATTATATAATAATTCACACAAATAAAATTAGAATCAACAAGAGTGCCATTGTCACAAAATATACCCATTACAAATTTCCAGTCTCATTATGTTGAATATTGAATGAATTTCATTAGAATCACTTATTTATGATAAGTGAATTTTTCATATTATCACCTGTCTTTTGACCTTTATGTGTGAGCTTAATTGACCTTGGAACACAGACCTGAATTATAATTTTGCCTTTGAAGTATACATGTATTATGGTGTAATCTGTCACATAGTATTATAATTTCTACTAGTTTTACTAAAAAAAGTAACCTTTCAACAACAAGGTCATACAGATATCACAGGCATGTAGTAGATGTGTCTAGTAACATGCTGTTTATAAATGCCTTTATTGCCACTGTACATAAAATGTTCGTATCATTCACTCTAGCTGTTAAACAATGACATATACAAAATGTATACTATGAACAATGCAGAACCATAATTCAGTATGACAGATTGATAAGCTAATGGAAAAAATATGTTCCCTGTTTTCTCTCCCTGTCCAAATAACAATGGGTACAAATAACAATAAGTAAACAAGACTTGACATATGTTCAGACAAGGCCAGACTTCTGATTACAGCTAAGGTCAGATTTCAGCTGGAAATATTCTTATATATCTTAAAGCAATTTTTCTCACTAAAAAGTTACTTTTGAAAAATGTAAAAAAGGGCCCAAAAGCCATAAAGAATATTTCCTCCAAATTATGGAAATTAAACCTGAATTGGCTTTCCTTTATAATTAAGACAAGAGGGCCATGATGGCCCTGAGGTCGCTCACCTGTATATAGGCCCCCCCCCACCCCCGGGCCAATTTTTACCCAAGGGCTTTTATTTGTTTATTTGAACAGACTTGGTAGACACCCATAAGAAGATGTTTCATGCTAAACATCTAAGTTCTAGCTCATTGGCTTTTTTAAAAGAAGATTTTTAAAGTTTTTACTATACACATACAGTTAAAAACAATGACACCCCTGGGGCAGGGCCAGTTTTGACCCCCAGGTGTTTATTTTAACAAACTTTGTAGATATTTACTTAAAGATGTTTCATGCTTAATATCTAAACTCTAGCTATTTGAGTTTTTCCAAAGAAGATTTTTAAGTTTTTGCTATACGAATATAAGGAAAATCAATGACCCCCCCCCCCCCCCCGGGCGGGGCCAGTTTGGACCCCAGGGCTTTTATTTGAACATACTTGGCAGACACCCATTAGAACATGTTTCATGCTAAATATCTTAGCTCTAGCTCTTTGAGTTCTTTAAAAGAAGATTTTTTAAGTTTTTACTATATGCATATAGGGAAAATCAATGACCCCCTGGGGCAGGGCCAATTTTGACCCCAGGGCTTTTATTTGAACAAACTTGGTAGACACTCATTAGAAGATGTTCCATGCTAAATATCTTAGCTCTAGCTCTTTGGGTCCTTTAAAAGAAGATTTTTTAAGTTTTTACTATATGCATATAAGGAAAATCTATGACGCCCTGGGGCGGGGTCAATTTTGACCCCAGGGCTTTTATTTGAACAAACTTTGTAGACATTCACTAGAAAATGTTTCATGCCAAATATCTAAGCTCTAGCTCTTATGGTTCTTTAAAAGAAGTTTTTTAAGTTTTTACAATACGCATATAGAAAAAATCAATGACCCCCGGGGCGGGGCCAATTTTGACCCCAGGGCTTTTATTTGAACAAACTTGGTAGACATTCACTAGAAGATGTTTCATGCCAAATATCTAAGCTCTAGCTCTTACGGTTCTTTAAAAGAAGATTTTTTAAGTTTTTACTATATGCATATAGAGAAAATCAATGACCCCCAGGGGCGGGGCCAATTTTGACCCCAGGGCTTTTATTTGATCAAACTTGGTAGACACCCATTAGAACATGTTTCATGCTAAATATCTAGGCTCTAGCTCTTTGGGTTCTTTAAAAGAAGATTTTTTAAGTTTTTACTATATGCATATAGGGAAAATCAATGACCTCCCCGGGCGGGGCCAATTTTGACCCCAGGGCTTTTATTTGAACAAACTTGGTAGACACTCACTAGAAGATGTTTCATGCCAAATATCTAAGCTCTAGCTCTTATGGTTTTTTAAAAGAAGATATTTAAAGTTTTTTCTTTTGGTTGCCATGGCAACCAGAGTTCTGCATGGAATTAAATTCTTTGAACAATTTTTAAAGGTGACCACCAAAGGAACATTCCTGTGAAGTTTGGATGAAATTGGCTCAGTGGTTTATGAGGAGATGTCATTTAAAGCAAAAGTTTACGGACGGACGGCGGACGGACGCCGGACGAAAAGCGATCACAAAAGCTCACCCTGTCACTTTGTGACAGGTGAGCTAAAAACAAATGGTCAAGTAGTTGTAAATATGAGCATTTTTTTCATTTGTTTGTAAAAATGTAACTTAATCAATTTTAATTTAACATTAATATTGAATTTATAAAAACTCTTGCATCATATAAATTATGTAATGTCAATTATTACTGCAATAATTTATTATTATGTATTTTTTTGTTTATTATCCTCAGATGTATATAAGTCTAGCTGGTAATGAGTCCAAATATAACGCGAAACTTATCTTGAATATTTTTAAAATCAGCATGTACCACTTCCAATTCAAGGTCAATATTGCCCAAAATGTAGAAGAAAATCTCAAGAAATTAGACACTAGCAACAAACTGACAATTTTTTCTTGACGAAAGGACAAGATGTTTTCAATGCACTGTCAAAATTTGCTAGAAATATAAACTCCTTAAATTACCTCCACTAAGGTTCAAACTTCAAATGCCATCCAATTTGAAAATCTTAAAAAGATAAACTAGGGCATTTAAAACTGAAATAAATATTTTATAAATAATAAATTTACCCAAACTTAATCAAAAATCAAACTTTAGAGCAATTCTTATGCAGATTTGAGTTGAATTAAAGGAGTTTCTACACATTTCATTTTTAGGTCACTTTGCACAAAATAAAATGATTATTCTGGAAAAACTGGAGACAATGGAATGACCTGAAATTTCGCATACAATTTATTGGTATAGACAAACAATACAACAAGATTAATGATATCAAAATTTAAAAAAAAATATTTTGAGTCCAAATTTTCCGGGATATCCCTTTAAATTAATATGCAGCATCTGGGAGTTAAATACAATTCAATTGACTGTATATATATACACATAAAATACAAAGTATAACCTTTTTACATTGACCTTATCCTCTTCTTGCTAAGCAACGTAGGCAGGGGAGCATCAAGTCTGAATTTACTGATTCAAAAAAATTAACAAGTTTTTCTGTGACACAAGCAAAGTTTCATCTTTAATGCATTTGCATCTCATTTCCTTAGCCAGAGACAAACCAACTTATCAAAAATTAAGACATTTAATGCACTCTACTGGTCTTTAAACATTTGATAAATATTTTTCTTTTTCAGTTCCCCCAACAAAAACCATTTTCCTAACTCCTTAGAGAATTTTCAAAATCATGCAATATTCATTCATCAATAGAATGCACTCCTTAAAATACACAGAAAATTGTTATTTTTTGCCTAAATTGATCGGTTTATCTCTGCAGAATGTATACTTACTCTATAAAGAATACATTATACACATTTGTGTTAAATATTCCCATTTCAGCATCAAACATGGTGCTTTAGTTAAGCCATCAAATTACATATATAGAACAAAATGCTTTTCTCTTTGCAAGTCTAATTGCTTACACAAAATATCCAAACCAACTTAAAACATCTAAGAAAATAGAAAGAAAAACTGATATTCCCAGAATGAATCACCAGTTTGTTATAAATTTATTAGGAACCAAGAAAACTTGTACTGGGATGAAATCTTCTTGAAAATCTTATTAATATCTTTCCAAAATTGTGTTTTGTGGAGAAAAGCAATATTTATATACAGACCATTGACAATATTTATGTAGATTTTTGGACAAGAACTGTCAATAAATATAACTCAATATGGACTTGCGATGATAAGTGGTCATTGATTTCCCATTCCTAACTACCTATCCTGTCACAAATAGGCTGATCTAACCTTAAACTGGTGCTAAATCGAAGCTGTTTCTGATTTACATATATATTTGACTTTAGAAATTGATGGCCAGCATACTGACTTCACAAGAACTAACCGTTTCAGAAACAATGTACAGCAATACAGTGATGGCCAGGAGAAATCTGCAAAGTTTGGAGTATATGATGTGATGAAAGCTACTACTGAAAACTTAAACAAATAGCCTTAGATAGATAGATACTTTTTATTCCCTCAATATGTTAATTAAGTAAATGATATATTCCAAAGTACATGAACAAATGCACAAACACAAAATGTTCATAATTGAACACAAATAACCTGACAAAAATATTTTCTTTTTTGCTTCCTGATGCACCAATCAGCAATAACATTAAACTTAACAAAAAAACTTGAAATGTTTCTGAAAGACATGGACTGATGCCCTGGCTATATTATAAGGACAACAAAAAGAATATGAATAAAGATGTTATAAAAGGACAGCATAATTAGTATTTCATTAACTTTTTGGCAATAAAAGACTTTGAAAGAGTACATATCGCTGTTTTTTTTTTTTTTTTTTTTTTTTTTTTGGGGGGGGGGGGGGGGGGGGGGGATTTCTTCTAATATTTACAAGATCTTAATTTAGAACAACATGCAGAGCACAAATTTCTCAGTTTAGTCTGAACTGGAGCATAAAACTTGAAAAATAAAAGTTCAATAGATTTTTTTACAGAAGAAACATTTATATTGATAAAATAAAGCAATGATTATCAGAACTCCTGGGATGACAATGACTCATTATGCTTAACATGTTTCCCAACTGACTTAAAAATCTCTTGATGCAATTGCATTCGTGGCAGAGTTTTAGACCAGACAAGATTTTCCACCTTAGTACTGACCTAAGACCTCTTAGTGTGACCTTGATCTTAGAGCTAGGGTTTGGTCTTGCACATGATTGTACAGTGTTTTTTTTCTCTACTTTGGGAATGGTGCCGGTACCAGACTGATTGGGAAAAATGCGTTATTTTAACTTAAATTGGGAATTTTTTTAAGCATTTTTTCAGCTAGAAATAAGATTAGTCATCATGAATATAGATAGCTAACATTTTCCACTGTCCAGAGAAAACTATTGAGTGGTGATTTATATGAATATGTTGGATTGAAAGGATTTCAGAGAAATCACTTGGCCTTGTGGTTATTTTGAACAGCCAGTTTGGGAATTTAAACATTGGAAATTGGGAATTTTAATGTCTATTTTCTATTGGGAACAGTACCGTTTTAGGATAGTAGTTATACAAAGAAAAAAAAAACACTAATGTATGACACATCGTTTCACATTTTTGCCAAATTGCTTCAAGTTATGGGCCCTACAAGATTTTCTAACTGCTGACTTCCAAGTGTGACCTTGACCTTGGAGATAGAAGTCCAAGTCTTACGCATGACACACTGTCTTATCATGCTTCATGTTTGTGCTAAGTTATTACAAAATACCTTGATGCGTAACAGAGTTATTGGACAGACAAGGATTTTGCGGGGCAGAAAAAAAGATACCAGAACTTTAACTGATAGATTCTGGCACTGACCTTTTATTTGACTTACAAAACATTTAAGCACACTGACATGTGCTCTATTGTTAACTTTTGTGGGGAATTTTATAAATTGTAATCCACTAATCTGATAATTAGAATAAGACAGGTTATGGGTCTATGAATGTGTGAATGTTGATAGCTTTTTTAAGATTATTTGAGTAAATATGATCAAAGATTTAAAGAATCTTTTAACAGAATACAAAATATAGATGACTGGTACATAACTTCTCTATAAATGTATCACACCAAATTTAATTGTATGATCCAGCTAAAGTTTTTAAGAGTTGAAACCAACGAAAAAATTTACTTACTATGCCTTTTCCTTTGGTTACTGAACTTTTAAACAGAAGAGTAAAAGATAACTCATGAAGACCATAAACAGATTACTTTCCTGTTGTTTTTTTTTTTTTTTTTTTTTTTTTTTGCACAATATAATAATGATAGTTCATGACAATATGACTTTAAGAATTAAGTATTTTTCTCCCAAATTATAAAGTGGCATGTAGTATAATACAATATATTTTAAATGAATGTTATGTTGAGTTTGAGCCCTAACCTCAAAATCAATTGGGGTCATCTGCTAAATACGGCCAACCTCATCACTGAATGAACGGACACTAGACCAAAGCATTCCCGAGTTATTGCCCAGCCAGGCTTCGACCTGTTTACCTCAAGATCAATAGGGGTCATCTACTAGTCATGACCAACCTCAACACTAATTCTTAGGACTGTAAACCGTGAGTTTTCTATTAACTGATCTGACAAGCTTTTAGTTGACATAGCCATAATAACCATTATATTTGACCTGAAAATCAAACAGCCATTTTGGCCATGGGCAATATCCCAAGTTACAAAATCCAGGACTTACTCCTTCTCAAGTTAATGATCAAACAAGGACATACCATTGTGCTGACGGATCCCATCTCAGTAGGCTTTCTTTTCTTTTTTTTAAATGGGGCATAAAACCCAACAAAAACTTTGCTTACCTTTTGACCCATATTGGATCATCTTCTGTTTCCTCTACAGGGGTTTCCAAGGCAACACCCTTGCTTTTTTGAATAGCTGACTTTATCTCAGATATTGCATGATCCAATGCTTCTCGTTTCATTTTCAGATCATCCATAATGGCTTCAGCATCCATCTCTTTAGGTTTCACTGCCGCACACTCTAAACTATGTAACTTTTTCTCCAGTTCTTCTTGTTGTTTCTTTTGAAGCATCTTCTTTGGTGTGTTATGCTCTGATTTAACATCTTCTGTGTCACTAGTCTGACTACTGGACAATCCATCCTCTACATTTGGCATTCCAACAGCTTCATTGTCACCATCTGATACAACACTTTCTATCTCTACGCTATCACATTCTGTATTCTCTGGGGACAAAGTGAACAATTTACCATCCTCTCCTATAACAATGTTTTCAGGTCCATTTAGTGGTATTTCCGTTAACATGTCCTCATTTATACAGTTCTGTAAAGAATTAGACTCAGGACTATGTTGCCTGTTGTAACCTTCTAAGTCAGGAAGTTCTACACGTGAGCTTTCCCGCAGCTCATGTTCCCCTTCCACTGATCTTTGACACTGGCTATCTGACTCGGAACTACTATAAGCTAGCCTCATACCAACATACGAGTTCCCTTCTTGTATCCTAGAATACTTTACATATTCATACTCATTTATTATATCTGCTGGTGGTTGGGTGACTGCCACACCATTATGAGATATTGCACTTGTGGTTGACTCTTCAGTCTCTCCGGTTCCATTAGTCTTCTTACTTGCTGCATTTAGAGCTGCAGCATTCGCTTTAGAAACTTGTATCAAGTCATTTATTATTTGTGTAGCATTGCTATCCATTTTCATGGATGAACTTTCAGTGTTAGAAATTTTAGGACTGTTTGTTTGTTTATCTTCCACTCTACATGCCAGACCTGGTGACTGTTTCCTCATTTTTGGCATCGCACCATGACTATTGAATGAAACATTATCAATATGAATGTCTTTCTCATAATTTTTCACCTCTCCAGCAACTGGAATATTGTTACGGATTTCTAAACTATTTCTTTTTTTCTCTACCTGTTTATCCTCGCTGGGCGGAAGAGATTTACTCCTCCCCTGATCCCTCATTGTTACAACAAGCTCATGCTTTCTAAAGCTATCTTGAACAGACATAGGTGGATTCATGGAGCTAGATTTCACATACTTTAATTGATAATCCTTCTCTCTCATTTCAGGACCCGGATCACTTTTAACACTTTGAGAACTTTTCATAAACTCATAATCCTCTTTCTTGAGACATATATCTTCCTCAGTCAACTGAATTGAGATTCTTTCATTGATTTTGTCACTATAACTCCTAGCGTCCTGACTAGGTAGATTTATATCACCAGTTCGTGGAATATCATCGCTGTACTCGTGTAGGTAGGAATCAACACTGTCATCACTGCCACGTCTTGAGAGGTCAGCAGTTGTTGTATCTTCATCTAGGAGATTTTGATACGACACAGACGAGATGTCACTAGCATGATGGGAACTTCCTTCACTAAATCTAACTTCCATACTTAGATTATCATCTAAAAATAAACAAACAAACAAAATCCATCTCTACATGTACATCTTTTCCTAAATGTATTGTTCAAATTATCAAGCAATCTCTGACACTGTCCTGACAGTTTATTACATGTAAATTGCTATTGATTTATGTAATATGTATTATATATCAATTCACACCAGCATAAAGAAGCTATTGTCAAAAGATTTTTTTCTTTTCATTCTATACGAGATAATTGCTGGTAAAAGACAATTCTTTCTCGCTCTATAATTTTTTGCAGTTCATCTAATGCTTACGAGTCCCACAAAAAGTATTTACGATCTAAGTTTTGAAAATGTCCCATGAATGTCTTTTTCAAGTTTGTGAACCACTCTTCATGGTCTAAACATTTGTTTCAAATACTAGACTATTAGTTATACTTATATCACAAACAAATTTAAAATACAGAAGTTGAGAACAGGACACAAAAAATAATATATAAATTACCATTTTCACTGAATGGGGTGCTTGGCCGCAACCCTGTCTCTCCACCACAGGCACCCTCAATATGCTCGGCCGGTGTGTTGTTCACTGTTTGCACACTTTGTTGACTATTTTCTGGCTCAGACATTCCTTATAAATGAACCTAAGGCCAGTGGTTGGCAGGTATACAACCGTAGAAGACCTACAATGTACAAAAAATACTATTAATATAAAGTTAACACATCATTCTAAAGAATCAAAGAGCCTCCCATTACCTTTTCCCAAGTTCCAAATATAAGTGTTTATTTTCAGCAGTTATTCAAAATATCACTTTGTATAAACCTTGACAAGCTAAAAACCAATCAATGATAAACTTACAAGTCATGCACTAGAACTTTCTTCTAAATTAATGCTCTGCATAAAACCAGGACACTCGTGAGTGTTATAATAGTTGTACGTAAAATTACAATATTGTCAAAAAGACACTTGTCAAGCAAAATTTAATAGGTACCTTTTAGAGCTATGTGGAATTAAGGAAAGAACTTGCTGGCAAACCCTTAAAGGCACGATATGCTAGGCCGGTGCAAAAAAATAATTCAATAATTCTATTAAAAGACTTAAGCTGCATGTTACCTTTTTGTGTGTTAATTTTTAAAAAGCACAGTGCACTTTAAATAGCAAACATATTGTCATGTAATTTAAGCTAGAATACTGCACTAACAATCCATGTAAATTACCTTAAATACCACCAAGTATACTACCGTTAAGTTGCCCTTTACCAAGTTAAAAATTGGGTCATAACTAACAATAACTAAGAAACAGTTTAATTCTAAAAATAATATTACATGTATGTTAAAAAATATCAGGATTCCACCCATTACAGGTAATTACATAAAGGAAAATATACAAAAAAATATTTTACTGTGAATCGAGAATATTTTCCTCCACTCTCATTAAAAATTCTAAAACTATTAAAACTTCCATTTTCAACTGAAAATATGTTATGCTCATCAAATATTTAAAACTTTGTCAAGGAAAATCACATTCAATATTTCCTAAAAAGGGCAAAAACTACAAACGTATTTATGTGCACTTATGCTGCAATGCTGCAATATTTGACATCAGGGATTTTTTGGGGGGCTAATTCTATAGCCGATATTCAGTCATATTCCCAATTGAAAATATTCTATTTTTTCCCCCTATTCACAGGAAAAAATTCACAATTGAAAATAACAAAATAAAACTATTGAATAACCATTTTCAAATTGTAAATCTTTGAAAATAACGCCTTCTTCACTGTTATGGTGCTTAAATGTTTGAAGATGCCATCCTAGACAGTGATTCTTTGCATTCATTTAATCATTGCAAAGTCATGCTTTTTATCCCAATTTTTAATGAAACATTGCTGTCATTCCCATGGGTATGGTTCATGTTTCCAAAATCCTGGAAAAAAACCTAGACATTGACACCATACATGTATATATTCAAATATTCAACATTATTAAGTCCATGATAAAACCTGTTTTTCATAAAGTTTAAAAATGACGCACAAAAAATCAATAAATTTCTTATTTAGTTCTCAAATTGCAACATGATACAGGTAATGCTAACTTTCCAGAGCTATGAGATGAAAAAAGGTGACAGTGGCTAGAAAAAGTTAAGTTTCTTAACAGGTCATGGGTCAAATCTAAGATCAATTTCATTTCACACACATTAAATACTGAACAAGTAACACAATTGAAATATAAAAAAAAGTTGAAAATTACTTGGTCATCCATGTGGTCATTGATGGTCAAAGTTTAAAACTGTAATAACTAAACTTTAAAGTCCAGATTTGATGGCCATACCTTAAACAAGAGGGCCATGATGGCCCTAGATCGCTCACCTGACCCATCGAACTCATCCAAACAATTACCTAGACAAGCATTCTGACCAAGTTTAATGATAATTAAGTCAAAAATGTGACCACTAGCAGGTTAACAAGGTTTTTCCGTATTTGGGCGGTGTGACCTAGTTTTTCATCCGAAATGACCCATGTTCGAACTTGACCTAGAAATCATCAAAACAAACTTTCAGACAAATTTCCAGGATATTTGGATCAAAACAGTAGCCACTAGAGTGTTAACAAGATTTTTCTATTTTTAGCTCCTGTGACCTAGTTTTTCATCCGAGATGACCCATGTTCGAACTCATCCGAGCAATTACCTAGACAAGCATCCTGACTAAGTTTGATGATAATTGAGTCAAAAATGTGACCACTAGAGTGTTAACAAGGTTTTTCTATTTTTAGCTCCTGTGACCTAGTTTTTCATCCGAGATGACCCATATTTCGAACTCATCCCAGATATCATCTAGACAAGCATCCTGACCAAGTTTGATGATGATTGAGGCAAAAATGTGACTGCTAGAGTGTTAACAATCAAGTGTGGACGGACGACGGACGACAGACAACGGACATTCAACGATCCTAAAAGCTCACCCTGATCTAGCTCAGGTGAGCTAGAAAATGTAACATCTCAATTGTTAACAAGGTTTTTCTATTTTTAGCTCTGGTGACCTAGTTTTTCATCCGAGATGACCCATGTTCTATCACCTAGACAAGCATCCTAACCAAGTTTGATGATGAGTGAGACAACAAGAGCTGTCAGTAGGACAGCAACGCTCGACTATTCTTAGTGCTTGATAGTAAAAAAAGCCTTGATTAAAAGGTAAAATTTTCTAAGTAAAGAAAAATGCAAAATTTTTCGTTAACTCCATATTACAGTTATAGGCCTTGGAGAGAGTCCTATTATGCTCTCAAAGAAGAGTATAAAATTTCAACATGTTTCGCCTTATGTCAATGAATTTTTAAATAATTGAGGTATTACAAAAACTTTAACGTAAATTCTAAGTCGAAAAAGGGGCATAATTCTGTCAAAATGCTTGAAAGAGTTATCTCCTCCTGTCTACAGGTTGGGGTCATGATGGTGAACAAGTGTGCAAAGTTTCAAAGCCATATGCCAATGGACTTTGAAAATATTTGAGGTATTACAAAAACTTTAACGTAAATTCTAAGTCGAAAAAGGGGCATAATTCTGTCAAAATGCTTGATAGAGTTACCTCCTCCTGTCTACAGGTTTGGGTCATGATGGTGAACAAGTGTGCAAAGTTTCGAAGCCATATGTCAATGGACTTTGAAAATATTTGAGGTATTACAAAAACTTTAAAGTAAATTCAAGTCGAAAAAGGGGCATAATTCTGTCAAAATGCTTGATAGAGTTACCTCCTCCTGTCTACAGGTTGGGGTCATGATGGTGAACAAGTGTGCAAAGTTTCAAAGCCATATGTCAATGGACTATGAAAATATTTAAACTATTACAAAAACTTTAACAAAAGTGGTTACGCCGACACCGACGCAGACGCTCGGGTGACTACAATAGCTCTACTTATTCTTATCGAATAGTCGAGCTAAAAATGTGACCACAAGAGTGTTAACAAGGTTTTTAGCTCCGGTGACCTAGTTTTTCATCCGAGATGACCCATTTTCGAACTCATCAGAGCTATCACCTAGACAAGCATCCTGACCAAGTTTGATGATGATTGAGACAAAAATGTGACCGCTAGAGTGTTAACAAGGTTTTTCTATTTTTAGCTCCTATGACCTAGGTTTTCATCCGAGATGAACCATGTTCAAACTCATCCGAGCTATTACCTAGATAAGCATCCTAACAAAGTTTGATGATAATTGAGGCAAACATGTGACTGCTAGGGTGTTAACGAACAAGTGATGACGGATGACAGATGACGGACATTCAACAATCCTAAAAGCTCACCCTGAGCTAGCTCAGGTGAGCTAAAAAAATGCTGCCTTAAAAAATCTTCCGTTGGCACTTAAAAAATCTGACACAAGTCTTAATCCAGTTTATTCAGGCCATTATGTTCATTACACCTCAATTTGTTAACACACATCGATTGCATCATGCGTACCATATTTGGCAGTAGTGAGTAGACGCTACATCACTTGATACCTGTATACATGTAGACTGTGTAATTGAGGCAGAGTTGTGTAGAGTTTGTTTGAAGAGTACTGACTACAGGATTATAATTGGACTTAATCATTTCGCCCCTCTGGGTGTTAAGACAGGTATTATTTATCTGATTAACGGACAATTAAAAGGTGTGAAAGTTGTTTAAATCAGACAAAGCAATGCATCAGGACCAGACAATTAAGGTCGCTTGTCACATATGACAGAGAGTCGTATAATTCAGACCATTTATATAGAAAAATATGTTGGGAGGACTGAAACAAGGTCGGACAAGACAGGGAGTCGTTAAAATCAGGGGGTTGCTAAGGCAGTCTTGACTGTATTATCAAACAGGACATTGAAATTTTTAGCTACTTAAATTTTTATTGGGACACCAGAACTGACGGTAAGGAAATTTATCTCTACACCCATATTTTTATTCAGCCAGGACCGAGGACCGGTATCATGTTCCGATTGTTTGAATCATCGCAACTTTCCTACCATTTAATCGTCAGGGATCATTCTAGGGGGCGATTTCCGCGATTTCTCGCAAAAATATCACCAAAATCTCAGAGAAATTTGTGAAATGAGAGAAGATCTCGCACGGCAATTTGAGCCGGAAAATGTCTAAACACAATCTAAGGAATGCTAAAATTACACAAAAATATGATGAAAAATTCACGATTCCCATCAAGAATTTAATTTCAAATTGTTTATTAATGAAATCGGTGTAAAAAACTCCAAAAAGAAGTCCAACACTTTGAATTATTTAGCCTAAAATAATTGCCGATCGGAGACCGCAAATTCACCGTACAGAAATACCATATGATGGCTAACCTTTATCTATCTGTAAGTCGAGAATTTACACAAAACACTTTTAATTGATTTTAATAGAAAATTTTAGACACAGACTAACATAGAAATGGACATGTCAAAAATAAATCTACCGGTAAAATTTGTCTTCTAAATGTCACATCAACCACGGTAAATTTTGCCGTAAAGAACAAATTTAAAAATTTTGTTTTACGATTTCTGATGAAATAGCCGACAATAAATGTTCTTTTATTGAACAAAAATATTTAATTTTATATAAATGCAATCAGCAACAGCTAGAATTGTGAATGTTTCAGCGGAAAACAGACAAATATTCATTTGTCACATATTTTCGCGATGTCGTGATTAAAAAAAATTCTAAAAGGAAGCCGAGTGTTATTTAAAGGTGTTTTATAACACTAAAAATGATGTTTATGAATAAAAATTACTTTAGTTATTGTTTATATTTGTGGATATGGAGATATTTGTCATTATGTGTTCAGGTATATTTTTTTAATGGAGGGAGGTGTGTGAAGAGAATCATAAAGAAAACAAAATGAAAGGTTATAAAAATATTCTTCAAATCTCAAACAAAATCACTTCTGTACAGTACAGTGTTGTCCATTAGGAACATTGACTGCAAATAATAGTTGTAGTAGATATCCATGTATAATTCTTTTATATTTCAGAATAAAGGTGTTATATTTATTTTTCACAATTAGAATTTTATTATGTTTAAAAAATCACAAAAGAAAAGGCATAGGATGTGTTAAAAAAGTGAAAACAAAAATCACTGTAATAAACAGAGCTACATCTTCTTATATCCTCATTAGATAAACAATGTTTATATGTACAGTGATTTTTAAAAAGTTAGAAATTTCCATATTTTTAACCTCGCCCATCATGAAAATTAAATCTCTCAAGAAAATCTAATTTCTCTCATCAAAATTTCTCAAATGAGAGAAAATCTCTCACTAAAAATCCTGACCAGGATTATCCCTGAATCGTCATTATTTTAAGTGCAAAGTAACAGTAAGCAATATTGATAATTAATTTAATGCCGCTAAAGTTGTTTAATAGACAGGGAGGGGGGGGGGTTTAAGAATGGAATACAGTTGCTCCTTAAGTAACTGAACAGAATGTATAACGATCCTAGATTTTCTCTCAGTAACATTTTTGTAAAAATGTTAATTTGGACTTGATTAAATGTTACCGGTCTTTGACATATTATACCACACAACCATACACATGCAATTTTGTGATTAGTTAAAATGCATGTCACCTAATCTAAAAAATTTAAAAGCATCAACAAAGTCATCAAAGTATAACTATAAAATTAAATCAATATGCAAATCATGTTTTTTTTCTCAATTATTATCAATCATTCTATTTTACCAATTTTAATTTAAAAAGACATATCTTATTTCAGTATATATATGCTTGTTTTATTATCAGGCTTTCCCTTATGCTTAAAAAAGATGAAACAGTACAAGGGGACCTGGGGAATGAAAACATATCTACTTTGTTGTGCTGATTTACCATTTTCTTATTGGGCATTGTCCGGGTAGAAAAATGCAGTTTGTGGATGGACAATGAAATGGAATTGCCCATTCAAAATATATCTTGATGTCTCTTTGACAAGCCTAGTAAAATGGACTTACAACATGTAGGTTGCGCGATAACTCAGTTGGTTAGAGCAGTGACTGTCACTCCTGAGGTCCTGGATTTGATCCTGGGTAATATCCTTGGGATTTTTCGGAGACACTTTCAGCTACCTAGAGGTGTACTGGTAAGAAATCCAGGTAATCCTTGCATGTATCAGTGCTATACACTGGGCATGTAAAAGAATCAAGGGGTGTATTCAATAAGAGCTAGGGACAGGTTCCTGAATTCCCATGAATCTCATAGCTGTCTCTGAAGTCTAGAATCATGTCTACATCCTTGCCAGCGGTTTGACATTAATGGAAGATATATAGATAGAAAAAAATATTACAAAGCAATGTTTTATTAAATTTCGTAGGACTAGTCAGTCTACAGTCCAGTTCACTTGTAAATTGTTCTCAAGGCCAAAGAGTAATAATGTAAATTATGGGAATGTTTAAATTGGCAACACATTCAAAAGAGAGGATGATACAAATATAATATGAATCACAAAGAATAGCATGAATCTGATCATGACATGTACAAATTTCATTGATTATTGGTAAACAAAAATAATGACACACGTTGGCTTGAATTCACGTTTTTCTTCATGGAAAAGCAAATACAAGGACACTAACAGAAATAAGCAGAGAAAAACATGAAGACAAAGATTAAATTAAGCCATAGAGTTTCATACCAAGATGTTATTTTTTCGTTAAAGCTGAACAAATGTCATTTTGCAGACATCGAATTTCAATTCTGACGTGCTGCCATCTGCTGTTTCCGCAACCAAGGAAGACAACTCACTATGGATATATTAAACGCCGTTTCAATACGGTACATGTTTAAGTTTAGGCAAGAAACCGCTAAATATAGTCACAAAACCACTAAATAATTTTCTTCCCTATGTCAAATAAAACTCTGGAATTATTACATGCAACTTCATACAAGCAGAAAAGGGGATTTTTGAAGGGGTCGAACTACCGGTTCGGCGAACTTATCTTATATAATGAAATAGATTGTGGTTTCGGAAAACTTAATTTATAGTGCTAAAAATATCTATTGTATACTGGACACGTCAATTATCGGAGGTGTTAATTTGTGGTTTTTAACGCATTTTCATACAATTGATGACTAGATCTTTGAAGATTTAAACAATAATTTTATTCATTATTTATTTTAAGAATATTTTTAATTTTATTTGAATGTATGTATTTTGTGACCATGTACATTTTGTACCCATTGTTTTACCCATTTTACAATTGGACGCTTCGCATTTATCTTTGGATTGCATCTGACGTACTCGGAGGAAGGCAAGTGGACAATTCTTAAAGTTTTTCGGACTTAATCGTTGTTTTGGGGGGATCTTTTGTCTTGCTTCGTCGGGCCCTTGTAGGTGATTTCCTTTTTGTTATGCATTCCTTTAAAATAGAGAAAACACGGAATCCCTAAAGAACGTCAAGAACGACAAACTGAAAATGTTGCAGGCTCCGTTTGATTGAGCCTGTTCATGGACGGCGATGGAAAGCCCATTTAATCATGGTTATGGTGAACTTTTGAATTTCGAAACATCTGTAGATGTGTTCATGCGACGGTTATCATGGAACTTTTAATGTGACACTTTCGTGCCATTCCATGGAAAGCGGCTTATGGTGCTCAAGTGAAAGAAAGTGTGTGACCTAAACGAGAAAACAATCGGCAGAACTAAATATGACATTTTTAAAGGGGAACTTTTTGTCGTTGCCCCGTACTTCACTTCAGTGTTGTTATATTTTCTGGTCCTTCGGGAACATTGAGTCGAGCACTTTTAAGTGTTTAGAATTGAGTGGGGTTGTTACACTTTTTCATTATCCCTCATATACAGACTCGCTATGAGCGAATGTTTCCATGTTGAGAAAAATATTAACAACACAGCTCATGAATGCTTTTGTATATAGGACAATATTCTGGTGCCGAGTACAAGGACAGGAACCTCTTTAATGAAAGATATTGTGATGCAAGAGAATGCTTAATATCTGGATCACTCACAAACTTCCTATAAACGCTTTTTAGATAATCAGTTAATGTTCTTGTTTGATTGGTGATACCCTTAGTTTTAAGTTTATATTGTTTTGTTGTTTATTTTAAAAACATTTACGACTTTTTCTTTTTTATTTACCATTTTTTTTTCAAGCAATATTTTTCAAGAAATTCTAATCCCCCCTAAAAGACCTATAATGATCCGAGTTGCATAGGTTTTAGGGATTCTGTATTTATCTATTTTATTCCATGTTTGTTTTTTAGATTGATTTTGTAGTGCAAAACTAAATAGTAGTTCTTAATTTAAATTTGATTCTTGTTTTGTCCACAGGTTTACTTGGGCTAAAAGATCTTTACACTTTGTTTTTGATGTGCTTTTTCCCATTTTTTCTGTTTTTACATATCATTACTTTTGTTATCCTCATCTTTCACACTTTCTTTTTTTGGTGTTTTCATTTTCGTTAAGGCTACTTTTCCCATGTTCTTTCATAGTTGTTGAATCATTTTTTTAACCTATGGGACTCCTAAGTTGTGATTATATTTCAGTTGCAAAGTTTCATTTTTTAAAGATTTCTTTCAGCTACTTTTATTTCTTTGTTCTCTTTCGTGGTCCCTTGGATTTCAGGTTCACAAACAAACATTTTATTGACTTCAAGGCCACCAACCCATATAAAACGTTTCATGTGAGCAGTATATTCAAGATCTGATTATGAAACATTTTCACAATGAATTGATAACATTGAAATAAACAGCTTAGCAAAATCAATTATCAAAAAAATTCAATTTTACCAATAAACATAAATTAGATTAAATAATCTGTTATATTAAGGATTTTCATTTTTTTACAAATATATCTCTAGTTTTAAACAATATTATCGCTGCATCATATATGGCATACCACAGTACTTTTTACTAATGTACAAAGTTCTAATATTATCATATAAAAGACATAATATATGTATTGTATTATGTTTTATGCAATAAAATTGGAAACTGGTAAAAATAAAAGTGATATTCTGAATAAGTTCCAAAAAGCATTATTTTAAAGATATAACAAAATTTCCATTTCATGTTAATAAAGGGAGGTAATTAGAAATTTATTTTCTATAAAGTCTAACTCAAATTTTTAAATTAGAAATGAATGCATATATTTTAATGATTACAAATTATGTGAACAAATATTTGCAATACATATTTTACATATTCTTGGATGTTTAAAAATTGTTTAAGAAGCATAATTATTTACATATATAAAATTTCACTTAAGTGTGGTAACAACCTTAATTACAACATACGGATCTTTAAACGCGATGGTAAAGAACCTTTCATTTTTTGCGGATTATACTCTCTGTTCTCGTAATAATCTGTAAGAAGGGTAATCCTCGGAAGCGTTAATCCCAACAAAATTGCAGACTCGGTTTGATTCTGTACAAAGTTATGTATGTATGTATGTAGTTAATGTTTAATGAGGGTCCATCCGCCCGTAAGGGCACAAAATGCAGCTTGCGCTGTCGAGTACGGACCCCGGACATGTCACCAGTCATGTCCTTAAAGAGTTAATTTTGAAGCACAAAGTGGTGATAATTAACCTCCATGCAATTTCCACGGAGTATTAGAAGATATGAATTTTGAGCCAAAAGTAGGTTACTGTACGGCGGTCAATGAGAACCTTAATGTACAGTAACCTGTGACAATAGGAAAGGTGGTTAGCCCTGAAAAGGGCTGTTTGTGCCAGCTATAGGCCTGCTTTTCAAGCCGTATAACCGTGCTAGGGGCTCACGCACCCTAGCACACCATCCTCGTCGACCAAGCGCCTACTTTGTAGGGCCACTCCCCTCGGCATTAGTCAGGACACCGGCAGTTAACTTCATGAAGTCTATCTAGGTCGTGCCGCCTTAAACGTTACCCCGAGTAGAAGAGAACATGCGAATTTGCCGCCTTAAAAGTACACAATCCTTCAATCATGTGCCTTCTCAGCGACGTGCACGCTCCGAGGGGAAGTGTACAAAGTTATAACGATAGTTGAACCTAAAATATGTTAATTTTTATTAAAACTGGTGTATACACTTTGAAACAGAACCTTTATTCCGATGCTCAAGAGTTAGTACAAGCAAAAAGTGGATATGCACCTTTAATGAAAACGGCATTTGAAATAGAAAAATCTAGAAAGGATAACAGAAAAATATACTCGGAATGAAATTGAATATCGTTTTTTTGAGCGAATCTCCTAGCACGATTTGTGTGAAAAGCCTTGGAAAGCTTTTTTTATTTTTGGGTTATATTGCACCAAAAAGAATGGTTATTCTGAAAAAAAATCGAAAATGTTCTTGCACTCAGACCTTCATCAAATGGTACACAAATTTTGGGGAAAAAAATTCAAGCCCCAAAATGTCGATGATCCCTTCCAAAGCGAAATGTAACGGCATGAATTACATAGAAATATTTTAAATTGAATTGAACAAATAAACCAATACAGTTTGAAGTATATAAATCAAGAGAATTAAATTAAGACTTTTCATTTGATGAGGCAAAATCAATTCTAAACAGTGAAAGCTTATTTAAATGAAAAGTTTGTTTACGAAATAACCCATTACAGAAAATAAGAATCTAAGATTAGAAATTATAATTAATTCAAGGTAAAGAGAAACGCTGTGTCTCTGTTTCTTTCTCTTGACGACGCACCTCATTTTTAACAACATTTTCCTTTCATCAAGATGAAAACTCTGCTTGTGGTTTAATATTTCAATAAAAACGATGCTTTCAACGTTCTGGTTAATTTATTTCTCTAAAAAAATCCCCTGTATTTAAAATTGCATCTGTTTCACTGCCGTGAACTTTTACCGAACAGTACATCTAGGTGGTTCTACATAATAGATTTCAACTCGCCTAATTTTCTCACGTTGTACATAAGTATCATTTCCTAATTTAAAGCTACATTTTCATTGATTGAAAAATTCGGCATACGTAATCCGTTAACAGAGGTTTCATTGTTAAAAAACAAGTTATTTTATCATTAACCATGGTGTAATTCAAGTGCTCACACTTCATTAGGTATCATTTGATTAAGACGAAAGAGAAACCCGTGCTGTTTCAATTAAATGTTCATTACAGACAGTTATAAGGAGTGCTGCTAATTGAAAACATTGTTTTAGAAAACGGATTAAAAACTATACAAGTAACTCAATTTAATGTACAGCTCTGTGCCAAAATGAAAACCGATTTCAAGAAAATTCTCATAGGATTACATTATGTATTTATTTTTGGATTTCTGGAAGTTTCATGTGAATTGTAAGTAGACAATTTATTCTATCAAACTTCAAAAAAAGTTAAGAAAAACAAATGGATGAATCACTATTTAATAGATGTTTTTGTATTAAACTTCAATATAATTGTAGCATTCCCGGTACAGAAAAATTTTGCAGAAATAAAGAGATTTTAAGCGAAAAAAGTATATATATTTTTTGAAGTAGTCAAATAAGTTGCAGCGTTTTGAAATTTAGTTCATTACTTTTAACATTGCTCCAGTATATATGTGATATCCCAATTTTAAAGTTTGTAACACTGTACTTTTATTTTTAGTGGGTATATGTTGACTTTCCCTCAAACATTACAAATCGGAGCGGGTGAAAAATTTTGTCTTCAACTCTACAATATCTCACAATCCGTCGATCTTTATTTAAATATATCGTGCTATGGAAGGTCAGTGCAACACCACCCAAAGACATTTACAGCAGGTACTAATAGTAATTTTTATATTGAATGTATAATTATATTTCTGAACTCTTTATAAAAAATCAATGTGTACTTTGTTAAATGCTTATGCCGAAGAAAATATAGATTCGCTTTGTCAGCAGTCCATAAAATAAAGTTCTAGCGAAAAGCCAACCAACATCAACTTTGTAGCCCAAACTTACGGTACAGATCTGCGGATGTTTCAAAATTCAAAATTGTACCAATTCATGTTAAATGTTGAATTCTGCTTAAGTCGGTGCTAGGGAGCGTGGACGGTAGTTTGCACTTGACAGTACCGTCCATGAACAGGCCCTGCAACATTTTCAATTTTGCCGTGTTGGGCTTTCTTTAGGGATTCTTATTTTCTCTTTTTTGTTAATTGTCCGCCCTCATGTTCTATATCAAAAAGATTGTAGAACGTAACTGTTAATTTTGGATTGGTGAGAAATTGTTAATACTGCAAAAAATCATAGTTGATGTAGCATACAAGCCATGTTTTCTAGTTAGGTCAAGTTCAAAGACCTCTAATACATAAAAATATGCATTCCTATTTATAAACAGATTCACTTGCAGGTTTCCAACGTTTATATGTAAACAGTGAACAGACAGCAAGAAAAGTAGAGTGAATTATGTTCTGGAACAATAAAACAAAACGGAATAATAAAAATTGCATAACGTGAAAGTGAACAACAAGTACTAAGACATGTCAGGATGTTTACATATCCATTACTACACTCAGAGGCACTTATAACCCGACACTTACATTTTTCGGTATAAAATTATAAATTGGTTATTTAATTGTGAACGGATTTTGTTCAAATTTGGACCATACAAAATTCAACATTTTGTACTTACTACTAAGAATTTTATTTACAATTCATTGACAAGAAAATAGAAAAAATAACAAAACAAATAGGCTACCGTAAAATGAAAAATCACTAAATGGTATTAAAAATCGTAACAAAATGAATTATCTCTGAATCCAACTAAATCCGCATTTTAACCAGTTCTAATACTTTGTGTGTCCTCCCATTGCTTTAACAACTTGTAAACACCTCTGTCTCATGGAAATGACGTTGTTTCTCATGAAAGCTTAGGAAATATTTCTCCATTCCCGAACAAGGGTTTACTCGAGTTCCAGCAAATTGCGATGGGCTACTTCCTTGTTGCTTTCTCACACGCCTGTTCAATTCATTCCACAAGTGTTCGATGATGTTTTAATACATCTGGTGACATGGTAGATAAAAGAAGTTGTTGAATGTTCTGTCGCTGCAATAACTATCGTTAATTTGCGCTGTATGTGCTGTGCACCATCATGGAAGAATACCATTCTGCCTTCGAAGCCGCTAGATCAAATTATAAACATGAGATGAATTAAACATGGCATGTGAGAAAGTGGCCATTAGCCCCTAACAATTTGTTTAAACTCAAACAAGCCCTTGTTCAGAAATGGAGAAATATTCCACAAGCCTTCATGAGAAACTACGTCATTTCCATGAGACAGAGGTGTTAACAAGCTGTTAAAGTCATGTGAGGACACACACGTGTTAATTATAACCGGTTAAAAACATAGGCATTTTGAGATTTTTCATTTTACAGCAGCCTATTTGTTTTGTCATTTTTTTTTCTATTTTCTTGTTAATGAATTGTAAATAAATGTCTAATAGCAAGTATGATATGTTGAATTTTGTATGGTAAATCCGTCAACAAATAAACAATTTATACCGAAAAATTATAAGTGCCTCTGAGTGTATCTATAGGAAAGCTGATTACATGGCAATATTTGCATACTTTATAGCGAAGTAGCTTTCTGTCCATGATTTATAACTACGTCAAAAATTGGAATTAATTTGAATTTAAATATTTCCAATGTATAAACAGGATTTTTCAAATTTAATTTGAAAAAAAAAGAACAAAAAAAACCAAAAAAACATTGGAATGTCCCACTGCAAAGGGAACGGACAAAAGTGCGGAAGGGAGAGGTCTCAAAGTTGGGACTAGGGACGAACTAATCGTCAGGCAATCTGGGTCAACTCGGCCCTAAAACTAACTTGATCCCTATGTCATGGGCTGTAGTAAAACAAAACTGAGGCGTTTTAAACTAGTAAACTGTTCACAAAAAACCCACAAATAGCCACACAATCTAGAATACGACGATTTCGTTTAAAGGGACAATCGATGAATCGCAGTATATTTCACTGCTACCAGCTGTAGAAGCATTTAACACGTTTTAAATGGCGTGAAAAATTTACCATTCACGTGCATTAATTTTTTTTACCGAACTCAATAGAAAACTCTTGTTACGGTAACAGTCCGTAAACTGGTTTATAGACAATTCCACCATGGTTCCCAATTTAGCCAGGATCCAATCTACTAATTTGGATTCTTTTAAGTTTAACTTGCGGGAAAGTGAAATGTCAAATCTTTTAAATGTATTTTCTTTGATATTCAAGTCACAGGAAACAAAATAAGGTTAAATTTGAAATAGATTTTTTTTTAAATAATTACGATTCGTTCCACTTAAGTAACGACTAACCCCACCAACCACCAAGACTGCAAGTTTGTGTCAGATCTAGCACCTGGACTGGATCCATCCATGTCAATCACAATGTCAATAAAAACTTGAAAATTTTAACACCGATGCGGCATCCATCTAAATTATATATTTTTTGCTCAAACCATTTTCAGACAAATTCCAGTTAGGATGGTCCCCAATGGTACCAATGTTCTTATTAATTCCAGCAAATTGTACAAATAAAAAGAACTTGTATTTACTATCCACACACTGCCAGTTTTCAATCACAACCACTTTTCAATCACCCCTAGAATTTTTTTATTTTTGACCTTATTTGTCATGTAACCAAACTGTAAGCACATCTTGTATTCACCTTGACTAAATTCATCAGCAGCAATGTCAATTATGGCAATAAAAAAAAGAAAATGCTAGCATTTTAGTTCAAAATATGTAAAATGTGTGTTTTCCACTAATCCTTTATTTTCCAAGTTACAAATCGCAATAATTTTCTAAAAATAATTGATTTACAGACTCAGTTTTTTGTCAGTGCAGAAATGGATATTAAGTTGGACAACTGTTTCAATATCATGAATTCATAATGTATACTGCACTTCAAAAGCTGTAATTTTAATATGTACATATTTTACCATACAGTTCTTAATTGGAAGGTAATACATCAGTAAAGTAACAGTCACTTAACCAAGGAAAACATTCTCTGTGATAACTTTTCAGAAAGCAGTCACTAGAGTGGGGTCATATAGACCCTAAGATCCTAAAAATTTCACAAGAACATGCTTTATCTGTTATGCAAATTGAAATGTACATCCATACCCCAATTGTGACAGCTTTACCACTGCAAATAGATATCTAGATTGAAAAATGGCATTGCAATTAGGTTAAAATTGTTTATTACCATTTATCTGAAGTTAAGTTTGTCAAAATTTCTCCAAAATACAGAACTAATTATATTTTAACATTGTATGACAATTTTATGTGATACAGTTTATATTTTGTTAACTGATTGAAAAGTGGTTGTGAAATTTTGAAGAACAGGAAAATGGGTCAGTAATGATTTGTCCTCGATTCATAGTAATAGTTCAAGTAAAATTTTAAAAAGTTGGTGCATTTATTAGCTGAAATGATAATATTCGCAGAATTGAAAGAGAATTTTTTTATATATAATTTCACTGTCAGTTATTGTTGAAAAATCTGTTAGCTGATCGGAAAGAGGCAGTACAGGGATATATTATTAAATTGTGCTTAACTGTCGCAACTTGACTTTAAAATACACATGTCATACATAAAGTAACGCAATGATTTAAATTAGAAACCTCTATGGTCAGTCAGCCATGTTTTGAGTGGGAGCTTAAACGGAAAGCACTATGGTACCGTGGTATGTTAATTGATGGCCATTTTTGGCTTCAGTTTAATTTTTTTTTTTTAACAGAATATGACGTCACTACAGTTTCAGGAGATGACCTTCACTTGTCAAAACATGAAGTTATCAGTGTAACTGGTGAATATGGCGTAAAATAAAAACATATTTTAAACACATACGGGCAGCTTTGGATTTTCCTATCATTAACAGAAATTTATTTGAAATGAAAATATTTCTGACAATTTCTATCCAAATTCAAAAAAGCAGCACTTCCACTTTCACTTTAATGGTGGAAACAGTATTTGGTGGAGTTCAGTGTGTAAAGAACAACATTTTCTGATTACACCGGAATGGGCAAGGATGCGGTACCCGCGGTGAAAACTATAATATCAAGTTTCAATAAAGTAAAGATTGCATACTCTGCAAACGATATAGGAAGAGAACCTGGTTTTAAGATTGACATTAAACTCATTGCTAATTTGAATGAGTTTGAGAGTGTTTCAATAAGCTTACAACTTCCAACACATTTAACACAATCAAATAAATTTGCAATTACTCATCAAATGTCAGTGAAAAAGATTTTTGATAGTCCTTTTTTATAACGGTTATAAGTATTCTCAAACTTAAAGTCTGTATCAAAACTTTGACTTTTTGAAATGTGACTTCTTTATTTCATATTCCAGGACAGTCTAATTGCTTTGTGTGGAGACTTCCACATTCCATAACTGCAGGATCGTGCAACATTGAGGTCAAAGGAGAGGATGGGAAGAAAGATGGCTATGTGTTCACACAAAGCAAGGAGATCCAGATTGTGGATACACACCAGATCACATTTATTCAGACAGATAAACCTGTGTATAAACCTACAGATAGAGGTACAGTCTTATTTTTTTGCTAAATAAGTGCAATTCTGCTTTTCAACAATGAGACTTATTACATAGTCTTTATATCTCTAGCTGTTTGTTAAATTTACAGTTCAATGCATTGTGTACAAACCAACAGAGGTTCTCATTTATCTTATGATGTGATACTATAAAATCAATGGAATACAGAGTTCAGGCAGTGAGATATAAGGTTTATTCCATGGACAAATACACTTAAATTGTAAAATGTGGGTACATTTACCAGTAAATTAAGCAGAACCTATTCCTCATTTTGTGAGGCATTTATATAGAGTATATAATTCTTTCATTTTTTAAAGCACTTTCAGGGAAACCTGTAGAGACAAAATTAAGTATGTTTGTGTTTTTTTTATATTTGTGATACATAGAATACTACTCAACATTTCTCATTTAGAGTGCACAAATAATGAAAGGTAATTAAACTATCAGTAGCACCTGCTAGATGAATCATCATGCTTTGATTCAGAAAGAAGGAGGTTTTGCACTTTTCATGCTTAACCTAAACTATGTTGATCAATCCCAAGTGGTTGTTTTTAGCTTTATTATAATTATATCATATATATCATAACAAACTGACCTTAGTTAATATCACCTGCGTGTCAATTTCAGCATCACACTAAAAAAGCAAAGCAAAGTTTTTTGTACCATGTAACTGTTTCACTTTACTATTTGAGATTTTTTTAAAACAACATTACCTTTACTACCAAACATTAGTACAGTACATAACTCTGTCATGGATTCTGACACACTGTTTTTGTTAATGGACATTTTTTGTTTTCACCCTGTCTAAAATGTGTTTGGCTAGTCATTTAAATCAAGTCAGTTATTTAATTTACTGAAGCTTTTTTAAAACCATATATCTTGAAAGTTTTATTATCCATTTTGAAGTGAGATTTATTCCCAGGACTTGGTATATAAATATATTAGGGCTCTATGTCTGCAATTAATTTAGGCCAAAAAGCCTGTGATTTGCAACTTTTAAATTTAAAGGTGAAATAAAAATACCTTGTCAAAGTCATAAGTATAGAAAATCTCACACATGATTTCAATGAATATAGAGGGAGTTTAAGTAAATTTTGTTATTCTCCTTTTTTACTTACTAGAATTTATGTCTAGATGTGACAGGTTATTGTAACAATGATTAGTCAAAATATCTTGACATTCCAATGTGAAATTTAGAGATATTTTTGTTCTTTGTAAGAATCTCGCTTCTAGAGTATTGCTCATACATAAAATAGCTAAACTTTCAGTACAGTTAGATGGACTAGTATATAATATATTAGAAGCTAGCATGTGGTTTAAATTTTCATTGTAGTTTTATTGCATCCTTATTCTCAAATTCATAAAACAGAAACAGACTTCAGACTCCCTCACTCCACCCTATTTTCTCAAAACACCAGACATGAAAATATGTAATGAAGGATATGATGATCTCTATATCAGAAAGATAGACTGTGATATTCTAAATACAGACTGATTTAAACATTTATTCATGAAAACCACAAACATTCGCACAAAACAGGAGTCCATAACCAATCTGATAGGTCTAAAATCAAAAATGAATTTCATGCTTGTGTCAAAATGTAATATGTGGTATTTTGTTAACAATTAGACCATCCACATTACATGTATATGTGACTGAAGCTCATATATTATGTAGTTGAGTTATACATTATTTTTTATTTAAAATGGTCTCAAGTCAATAGTTTTTCAAAAGTTAATAATGAATGAAATGTTTTTTGTCAAGTAGCTTGATTAGTTTTAACATGTCTATGATTATTCATAATTCTTTAATTATTCTAATCATATTCTAGTTACAGTACATATACATGTATAATAATTTTAGCACTCTGCATTATATCTTTTGGCCTATTTATAGCTTTTTTATTTGTCTATTTCAGTGAAATTTCGCATACTTACTGTCACTCAAGATCTAAAACCATTAAAAGAAAAAGTAAGTATTACAACTCCTGTACATACCCGCTTATAATGAACATCTTCTTGTGAGACACAGCCCTAGTTTTATTACCTCAGAGGGGTATATGTACATCTTCTTGTGAGACACAGCCCTAGTTTTATTACCTCACAGGGGTATATGTACATCTTCTTGTAAGACACAGCCCTAGTTTTATTACCTCACAGGGATATATGTACATCATCTTGTAAGACACAGCCCTAGTTTTATTACCTCACAGGGGTATATGTACACTGTCTTGTAAGACACAGCCCTAGTTTTATTACCTCACAGGGGTATATGTACACTGTTGTGTAAGACGAGTCAAATTTTTGCCAAAAGGCCAAAAAATCAGCATTGATTCAGCTCACAGTGCAAAATCAGCCAAAAAGTCATCAATTCTCTCTCAAAGTTTTCTAAAAAAAATATTAGAATTATGACAGAAGTCAAAATAAAGTTATTTCTATTGCTTACTTTTTGTTAATTCACTTACTAATGGCTCATTTTTCAATATTTGTATTATATCTATGAACTGTATATTTTTGCCTTTATGAAAATAAACTTGAAACTTTTCCTCATGATAATACAACTTCAAGAGATTGTGTGGGGGAGGATTTGTCATTGTTGTTACAGCTAACATTTCATTCTGGATGAAATGCTTTCTGACAGCTTAATTAATTTGGGAATTTTACATATTTATTGCAACTTTGTAATTGCTGCACCATTTTAGAAATGTGATAAAAAAAATTCTTTTAAATTAATATTGTGTAGCTCCAAATTGAAAAAAAATCACACCATGGAAAAAGTTTTTTTACAATAAGGCAAGGTATAAAATTTGACTTCAGTACTTAGTGACTTGCACATAACAAATATTTTGTTGGATAATTTTCACATGATTTTCAATAGATGTGGGGAAGTAAAAATGTGTAACAAGTTTTTTACACATTTTTGTTACATAGAAAATGCTTTATAGAAAATAACTTTTTACCAGACCAAAGACATAATATGCATACATTGAACTGTTGTTCATTTTTTAGATTTTTTACTTGCAAACAGTCAAAAGTTGACATGTGAAAAATTCGGAAATTACTAATTAAATAATAACTGTCTGATGCTTTTATGTGTTTATTCAATTTTGTGATTAAAGTAATCACTTTCATCAGAAATTATTTTGATACAAGTTCTAATACAGTTATGGCAAAGTGTTGCACTGAAACCAGACCCTCACTATTGTTGCACTGAAACCAGACACTCACTATTGTTGCACTGAAACCAGACCCTCACTATTGTTGCACTGAAACCAGACCCTCACTATTGTTGCACTGAAACCAGACCCTCACTATTTTTGAAATGTTAATTTCCCTTACGTCAATGTGGATTATTCTTCCTGTTAATTCAAGTGTACCATGTAACTGAAAATCTTGTACTGTTACATAGGTAACAGTACTTTTTCACAGTAAAAATCTAAAAAATAAAAACCTATAGAAATAATTTCCCAATGAAGTATTTGTTCAGGTTAATGAAATAAATAGAACATAGGTTTGTAAGAAACTGCAAAAATATCATCCCTCATAAAAATGTTTCCCTCAGCATTAGCATTTTTTACTTGCGATGATATTTTTATTGTTACAAAGCTATGTTACATGTTACTGAATTGTGTTTTGTTACATTTTTGTTAACATCTGGTTAACATCCTGTATTGACGACCATCATCTTTACTGAAGAGCTGTTTTTAAGTAGCTAAATTTTCTGCATACTATAACAATATCAAGTGGCTTGTTGTACTATAAATAAAACAGATCATTCCCTAATAATTATCCTTGATGAGAGTAACTGGCAGGTATATGTGGGGGCGTGGGGAATTACTTGCAATTATAGTGTACCACCCTATTTATACATGTAATTCTTTTTTTCTTGTGGGAAACTGGTATTTGACTACATTATTATCAAATATTAGACAGTTTGGAGACTGAATAATTAAATATTCATCTGTATTCTATTGTTGTTGATATTGGGAAGAAAAAAAAACATTATTGAAAAATTAAAAACTATGTCAAGTGGAAATGTATTTTTTACTTCTTCTGTGAAGATCAGTTTTATAAATAATGAATGAATTTTTTTCTATCGTTAAAAATTTTGATTTTATTATTATATTATCATTTTGTTATTTAATCATTAATGATAAAGGTAATAAAACATGTATATCTATTGTTAGTGTTTGGAGATTTGAGATAATATTTTACTCCAGTTTTTGTGCCTTAACAAAGGTCTGATAAAAAGCTTAATTTAAGCAGGAAAAAAAAAAAAGTCTTTTCTCCTCTTTGCTTCAAGATATTACATAATAATTGAAAAATATTAAGTACATGTAGGTTGAATTAATGTTAATTGATGTAATATCGAAAGTTTAACCTGCATGAGGATCTAGCACCTGGATGAGGACTTTTAGGTTGGTGCGACATAATTGCTCACCAGTACTAACTAGTTCAATTTGGGTTGTTTTAAAATGTCTTAAGCTATATATCTGCTTCCACAAAAAACACACACACACACACACACACACACGCACACGCACACGCACACGCACACGCACACACACACACAAACAACATTTTTTTATTTATTTTTTATAAAGAATACTTCTGAAATATATGTTTGAAAGAAATATGTTTGTATATTTCCTTTGGAGTGAGACTGGCACATGCCAGAAATCATTGCTAACTGGTTAAAATCCTACTTTAAATAGCAGCATGATATTTTTTTGCTGAACATTTTATTCTGTTTATGTATGAATAATTCTATTGAGAATCAACCATGATATATTGAAAACACCATTATTTTACTGATTATAAAGATTTTCAAGATATTTGATAAGATATAGCTTCATTAATTAAAATGCTGTTGTTAAATAAAAAAGGAAATACCTGTCCATGTTTGTGACATAAATAAGATGTACAAGCTGAATGAGGGCATAACTAAAATTGATATGAAGATTCCCAATCTCATTAAAATCATATCCTAACTGTCGCTTCACTACCATACGCTACATAGCGAAGAGTAACGGAGCGAAAACGATGATCTGATTTTAATGAAATTGGAAGATTCCTTGCTTAAAAGGACTCCACTGAGTTTTACCATTTAATGTTGGTCTTAAGGTGTCCGCCTGGTGAATTTTCGTATTTTTTGTTCTATAGTAAATTAGCCACATTTGAGGCTTAATTCTCAATTCCACTGGTCTTGATGAATTATATACTGTCTTCAACTTTAAACATCAATACTATTTAAGTCAAATGAGGCCCAAAATATAATATGTTACTGGCCAGGGACCATCAACCCAACACTTTTTGAACATTTTTCCATACAAACTTAATAATTTTAAAGCTAGAGATCTGAAAATTTGACACAGTACAGCTAGGTTCTTCTCCTAACTAACAAACTAGTTTGTTTATTTCTGATTATGTTTACACTTACATCTGAGGCCCATCAATGAGGGTATCAAAATTACCTAAATTGTCCGCTTTACAGTACCATGTGTTCGGACAGATATGTTCATGACATTGATTCAATTCAATAAAAGCTTGGGGTTTTTGATTTTTTATTTTGAACATGATATACAACATTTCAGCAGCAAATCCTGAAGTTTTGTTTACTATAGCTAGTATAAGAGATCAGGTATTGCACTCTTGATGTCTTAATTTTCAACTCAATGTTCTTGAAATAGACATAAAAATATTACCATTAACTAATATTGAAATAAACTTTATCACTTAATTATAGAAGAAACATGCTTTTATTGTTGATATAAAGTGACTGATTAATCAACAACCACTGAACAAATATATATATATATATATATCAGGCATTTTCTGGGCCGTCCGGGTTTGCTGGTTGTCCGGATTTGGTGGTCCCCAACCAGTAGCCATCTACTTTTTTCAGAAATCTTCATTTTGTTTTAACACTGTTTAAATTCCCCACTTTGATAACTCCTGACTGCTGGTGGGTAGTACATTTTAACCCTTCCGCCAACAAATGAGTTCCTGGAAAATACACAAAAAACAACTTTTAAAGTCATCCTATATAATAACACACAAAAACTACACACATGCAATAAATACACTTTAATTATGACCAATCAGACAAGAGAGAACTTAAATTGGGCCACTTGAACTACTTTCTAGACTACCACAGGTTGTGTCTAATTCCGGGTTGGGTCTAATTCCATACTGTGGTGAGATCTTAACCAATAACTTGTTGGCAAATTTTCAGATGATTCCCTCACCCTATTTTTCAGAATAATCATTCTTATTGTGTAAAATGACATAAAAATGAAAAATAATCAATACGACTAGCACTAACTATCAATTTTCAATTAGTTTATATATTTCTCTATGGTCCTTTTCATTGTAAATGCTTCACTTGATCTATGTAAAAATAAAACAAAAATTTTGACCTCAGTGGAGCACTGTAACATAGCATTTCCTTGTCAAAATGCTTTTACAAAACATTAATTATTTCAATATCCAAAAAATTAACTTTTACATTTTTAACAATCATTAAAAGAATTTCAAGTTGCATAAATATTTTGATAAAAATTACTTTTAGATTCTCAGCTGATAAATTTTACAACTATAGTATAAACATGTCATAGTGGTCAATAAGGAAATATTATCACCTTTTGATTTTAATACTTTATGGCTTAATTCTCAATTTCCTAGTCTTTTATCAAACAAGCCATACTTGATTATCTTTTGACATTTATTACTAATATAGCTTAAGGCTTAATCACTATGACAACTCTTTCTTAATTTATATTGTTGCTTTTTATATTTTAAATTAGTCTTATATAGAATTTCAGACATATAACATCAAGTCTTAACTTAGAAAATAAATAATTAAAATTAACTTAAGCAAAATTCAGGTGCTAGCTGTGAAAATATATGTGTGGACTATATGATTATTTTGTATTTGAGAACTTTCAATGGGCTATAAAGAAATAAATGAAATAACATCATACTGGACTTTTGAGTTATAAAATAAGTCATCATAACAAAGAGGATACTGGATAATAATAATACACCAGTATCCCACACACACCTAACCAACCGAGGGTTTCCGTGTAGGGCGCTCACTACGCCAGCGAGTATTCCCCAAACGACCCCAAAGCGAAGGCCCTGCCGGTGACCCTTGGCTACAGCACCTTTAAACTTAAATCTTTTCAGTTAGTCTGTTTATTTGATTTGTATGATTCTATATCTGTTGTATTGAACTCTAAAATCAAAATAAATTTGAAAGTAAATGACCTATAATAAATTATGTCCACATTTACATACATGTATTTTATAATGTTTATTTCAGATAGATAGTGTTATAATTCATGATCCAAATGATTTTTACATGAGACAATGGTTGGATGTACAACCAGAAGCAGGTAACATTATTAGGATATTACATTTATTTATAATGTAGTGTTGGTATATTATTTTACTCATATCAAAAAATGTTTTTGTCATGTTATAAATTCATTCTTTTTTTCTGCACTTCCATATATTAAAAAGGATTGCCACAAAAATAGCCTATTGCTTGACTTTACATCTATACGAACAAATTATAGTTTCAGATCTGTAACAGGGTACAAATTATTTTGCCCATGTTGCCAAATCAAAAAAGAAAAGGCTAAATAAATCAGATTGTGAAAAGAATAAGTGATTGCATGATTGATTGATTGATAAAGTTTTTTTTTAACACCAACACTATAACTGTTATATGGTGACTTTTAAGTTTTACTAGTAAAGGAAGACCTCTTAAGTCACACCCCTCTTTGCATTATTACAGGCAATAGTGGTCACCTGGTTAGACCTGATGACATTGTAAAGATTAAAGTTGTTACTTGTATGTATCATATAAACTAAAATGAGCCGCGTCACGACAAAACCAACATAATGGGTTTGCGACCAGCATGGATCCAGACCAGCCTTCGCATCCGCGCAGTCTGATCAGGATCCATGCTGTTCGCTATCAGTTTTTCTTCTTAATATAGGGTTTGTAAGCGAACAGCATGGATCCTGATCAGACTGCGCGGATGCAGGCTGGTCTGGATCCATGCTAGTTGCAAACCCATTATGTTGGTTTTGTCATGACACGGCTCAAATCATTTCTTAGTTCATGGTGACTGTATCCTTCATAATAATACATGTATGATTATAATTAATAGAAAGTTGTGACCTTTCGGTTTAAGGTGTCTGCCTCTCAAGCCAATAATTATGGATTTGAGCCCTTTAGAAGAGATCAATACTGTATTTTCTGATACTACAATGGCACTGGTCAGAAAATAGACAAAAAAGTAGTTCAAATAAGCTACAATCTTCTTTCACAATGTTGCATATATATTAAAAATCTTTAAACTAATTGTGATTATATTTATATTACAGGATTGGTGAGTTTAGAATACAGGTTATATGATGAACCTGTTTTAGGTGACTGGAAAATTGTTGCTGTTGTGAATGGCAGGAAGACAGAGCAGTCATTCAGTGTTCAGCAGTATGGTAATAAAACTACTTTAGCATTATTTTTTTCTTATTAATCCATTGTAGCTTTTCTATTTGAGAAAACTATTCAGCCTGGCAGGTACAATTTGACGATCTCACATCTTCCTAAGCTGTTTTAGCAAGCTCCTATCATTAATGTTTTACAACAGTGCAGGCCTACAAGACTCTACTATTATAAGCTAGATTATGTATTTTAATATTTTGTCTTAAACTTTAAATGGACTATTCCTTATTCGTAACAGGGAAAATCCATTATACAAATTCAGGAGGTTAAGGGCTAAATACAATGTTCCTAAACTGGCCCAGTTTGTTTGGTATGTCATATACACATGTATCATGTAACTATACTCTATTGAAATGTGAATTTGTTAGTTTTACTCTTTTGTAGTTCTGCCAAAATTTCAAGTGTACATGAAATTACCTCAGACCTTGACAGTAGATACAAAACAATTACAGTTTGAAGTATGTGCCAGGTAAATGATAAACATTGTTACATACATCTCTATTTTTAGTTTAAAGAAGCTTCAGATGAGGTCAGAAATTATTTTGCAGTTAAAGAACGATTCTCTTTGTTGTGCTCTATTTAAAAGAAGTTTTGATCAAGTATCTTTTGGGAATGTAAGGTCACAATATATTGATATCATTGTAACACTTCATGATGTCAAAAAATATTTGATTGAAAAAATTCTTTAACTTTTAGTCCGTGATACAAAAACAGTTTTTAACATTATGTCTGTGCCATGAAATTATTTTCAGTAGCTTTTGGTCAATGTCACAAGAACAGGTTTTAACATTTGGTCATTTTTATATACCATGAAAATATGTTTCTTAGTTTGAAAAACATTTTCCTTAGCTTTTGGTTGATATAACAAGAACAGTTTTTAACATTTGGTCAATACAACAAATATATTTTTCTTAGTTTTGGTTTATGTCCCTTCATCAGTGATAAATTTTCCCTATTTACATTGGGTGCATTGTTTTGGGTAGACATTAGTATAATTGTTACTTAACATTTTCTTTAAAATGTCAGACTATAATTTGGTAATTCACCTAGATTATCAAACATTTAATTTATTAGTTGAAAAGATGATTAGTAAGAAAAAGTATTGACAGCTAGATCATTAAACTGGGTAATAAATAATTAAATTAATCTTCCTTTCGTCATATTTTATTTTATGTTTTCATGATGTTGAACCTTATTTTCATTAGGCACAATTTTTACTAAGAACTGTATTATATGTTTAGGTATACTTTTGGCAAGCCTGTGACAGGAAGTGTTAATGCTTCAGTATGCCTGGAGAACACAGAGACAAATTGGTTCTGTGAGAATCGTCTACGACCATGTGCTTACATCAAGTCAAAGGTAATTAAAACTTTCATTACTTTACTTACTGTTTCTAATGTTCTAAAACTTTCATTAATTTACTTATCACAATTTATAGAGGTAACACTTGTTTTGATTTCTGTAAACAAACTAAATGATCTTGCTCCTCATGCTGAGTGCAAATTACTGACCCAATTAGTTGTAACCCAGGCCTCAGCACTGCAAGGTCACAATGGTGGTTTTAATTTTGTCAAATAAATGTTCAGACAAATTGTTCTGCTGGAGCATAAAGCAAGGTTTTACCATTTGACTACCATCACAAAGTGGGTCTTAAATGGGGATTTAAGAATAAAAAAGTCAAAGTCTGTCTATTCACTTAAAAACTAGGACTGTTGTTACAATTGACTGGTGCATAATGAAATCTTAGATACTAGTAGACTTTATTTAGCAGGAAACAGAGTCTTGCATTAGGCTATTTGTGCACTTTATACAGCAAACTTATTTGTCCAGCCCTTACCACTAAGGTTAATTAGTGTCATAAGAAATAAATCATAAAACTATTTTACATGAGTATTTCTCTTCTAGATAATTCAGTTAAAAGTGCATCATTACTTGTCATTGGCATGTACAATAAATAGAATTTGTTTGCTATCATGGCAAAAATGTTACATCGTATTCTTTTAATTACTTACAACTCTTGATCAATCTTTGATATATCTTCACAGATGGATGGTTGTCACAATTTTACAGTGGAGACAAAGACATTGAAGATAAAAGAAAGACAGTTCTCTTTGTTATGTAAACCAAAACTAGTGGTTCATGCCAATGTTACAGAAAAGGAAACAGGTATTAGCATGGTGAAAACTTTCCCTCTTTCTTACAATTATTGTACTTTAACCACTTGCCCTTCACCCCTGTGGGTTTGAATCCCAACAGGGACTTTGAATTCTTTCATGTGAGGAAGCTATCCATTACTCACCTGGGTGCCCCTTCCTGCCTGAAATAATTCACAGAAGAAAACCTGAGGTATTCCTTCACCAGTAAAGCTGGAAAGTCGCCTGGAGATCTTATAATACTGTGCCAATGCAACATAAACCCCATCCAATAAAAACAACAAATAAACATTATTTTACCAACGGTTATTTTTTTACTAGGTTTTTGGACATAAAAAATAAATAAATAGAATTGTTCATGTGTTATGCATTCCAGAATTTACCTTTTTTTCACCCATCAGTACTCGTCCCACACTCTAGTAACTTATAAATCTTGAATTTATATTAATTATTTCTATAGAAAAGTGTAACTGTATTATATTTGGTATTTTTTATAGGAACTGTTGTAGAAGAGAGTCAACAAGGTGTTGGTGTCTGGGAGGAAAGAGTAAAACTAAAGTTTATCTCCCAGAAATATTTCAAACCATATTTTCCATACATAGGGAAGGTATGTACATGTATTTGAGTGATGATTAACATTTTTAATGGTTTCTGATAGCCTATTGGAAACTTTAAAAATGAGAATCTTAGAGAAACATACATTAGGTTTTGCCTATCATGACAGCACAATATTTCCCAAAGATGAGGTTTCTTAATTCATTCATTGTACAATCTTGAAATATGTTGAAATTCATTCCAGTGTGAAAGTTGACAGTTATGTGTGTGGGGCATTAGTTATTACTGCTGCAGAAATTGTCTTTCAGCTTCGACTCATTTCATTCAATCATGCAGTTTTGTTTATAACTATTATGTGGTGAACACAGTGAATATTAGATGTCCTTATCAAATGAAATGATAAGCATCTGTTTCACTGTGTAAATTTTCCCTTTTTATATTCAAAAAGGAATAAACAAAAGATTCTCAAGACAACATACAGTTTTGCTTGTTAAGCATTCAAGGTGAAAATGTTTAGCTTGACTATTCAAAGAATAGTGAGAACTGTTGTACTCACCCAAGTGTTTGCGTCACACTTTGGTTAAGTTTTCCATGCAAGTTGGTATCTCTGAAACTACTGAAGGAAAAGGGTTGAAATTTCACACCCTTATTTGAGAGCATAATAAGAGGTCACTATCTAAGGCACATAACTCTTACACAGATTTTGAGACAATTATAGCCCTTTTTGAACACTGATATTCTACCACTTGTTATACTATCAGGCACTGAGACTAGTCTAGCATGCTGTCCTACCGACAGCTCTTGTTATATTTTGATCTGTCAAATTGACTAATACTGATAATTTTAGATTTAATTAGCTTGAATTGTAATAGTAGGACTACTATTTTGAAATAGAACTATACCAGGTACTTTTTCCTCTGTATATGTAGATATATGCCTGGAATCCAGACGGTTCCCCTGCTGAAGGAGAAACATTAACATTGACAGTAGGCAAGCTGGGAATCATCGCCACCCTGTACACAGATAAAACAGGTCATGCTGAATTCAACATACAGAATCTCACACATTCAACGCCTTATTTTGTACTTAATGTAAGTCATTACACCTTATCTTATACTTAATGTAAGTCAGTACACCTTATTTTGTACTTAATGTAAGTCATTACACCTTATTTTATACTTAATGTAAGTCATTACACCTTATTTTATACTTAATGTAAGTCATTACACCTTGTTTTATACTTAATGTAAGTCCTTACACCTTGTTTTATACTTAACGTAAGTCCTTACACCTTGTTTTATACTTAACACAAGTCCTTACACCTTGTTTTATACTTAACGCAAGTCATTACACCTTGTTTTATACTTAACACAAGTCCTTACACCTTATCTTATACTAAAAGTAAGTCATTACACCTTATTTTATACTTAACGTAAGTCCTTACACCTTGTTTTATACTTAACGTAAGTCCTTACACCTTGTTTTATACTTAACATAAGTCCTTACACCTTGTTTTATACTTAACGTAAGTCCTTACTCCTTGTTTTATACTTAACACAAGTCATTACACCTTGTTTTATACTAAACGCAAGTCATTTCATTAATGTAAGATACTACATCTTATTTTATACTTAATGTAAGTCAGTACACCATATTTTATACTTAATGTAAGTAAGTAAGTAAGTATTAGTAAGTAAGTAATGTCTTTATTTACTGAGGCAACACATTTGGTTACCCAATCTTCCATGTGGGCCTCAAAAACATAAATATACATAAAATATACATAATTTACATCATGGTTATACAGTGAAATTTTCAAGATACATATACACTGTACATGAAAACACAAAATATAATGATATATTACTTTATAAAAACAATGCATAAATAATTAAAAACACAATACATATTCATATAATGTAAGTCATTACACCTTGTTTTATACTTAATGTAAGTCAGTCAGAGGTTTTATGCTCTTTTTTTAAATTTTTAATTGAATAATATACAAGTTACAACTCATGTAAAATTTTCTTCTCAGGGAGATTTAGAATGTTATATTTCATGACATTTCTGTTTCGTAATTTATTCAGGCAAAGACTGAAGACAGTGACTATACAAATAAGAAATACTACACTATATTCCCAGCAACAGCAAAGAAACATGTGAAACAGTGGTATTCCCCATCCTCCAGTTATGTTAGACTGTCAACTGGAGATCAAGGAGAGAGACGATGTGGCGAGACAATTACCATCGACGTGGTCCACTCCCTCATGTCTGATGTTGACATACACAGTGTCACTGCCCAGGTTTGCTGCAAACTTTTTTATTAGTGCCAAATGAAACTGTTTTACTTGCTTTTTTAAGTTGACAACCAGATTCTATTCTGGAACAGATTATATAATGAAGAAAGAAAGCTATTTAAGAGATATTCAGACTGGAGAATATAGAGATTACTTACCGGTAATATGAAAAAGATAATTGTATGAAAAATTAATGTTTAAGTTTCATTTGATCAATTTATATTCAATTGAGGTTATTTGATTCACAGTGTATTTTTGAACTATTGAGTGTTAGTTTTAAAAAGGAAATATGGTCAAGTCCCAAGTTAAAAAGTTAGTTGATATAAACTTGAAATACTAAGTTCCAGTACAAAGTTGCATAACTCTCTCTTTATAATACAGTACAGCCATGTCAATCTATCAAAATTACGGCCACATGAATTAAAAAAATCTTTACTGCTTTTCACATGCATAGTGTAATAAAATTGTGTCCATTGGGCTGTAAGCCTAATAATTTGGTAACTGTTAGGTGTGCTGTTTTCATAATTAGTAGGGAAGACAATTATGGACAGACCACAGACTGACACTTTTGATATATAAAATCTGACCTATCAATAACTTGACAAACAGTAAGCTAAGGTTTGTGCAACTTGGTGTTGATTTTGTTCTAATTGTGTCAAAGGTCATGGTCACAGTCTAAAATCATTTTCCAATCAGGAACTCAAGGAGAACTAGGTTTGTGCAACTTGGTTAAGACTAAGAGCATTGCCTATGACCAGTAGATGACCACTATTGATTTTATAGTTTTTACCTCAAAAGTCATGGTTACAAAAATACTTTGTGTAAAATCTTCTTGAGAATGAGTAAATCAGAGTCTCTGACTATGCAAGTAAATGACCTCTATTGATTTTGAGGTCATTATGTCTAAAGTTCAGGTCACAGTGACATTTTGTGTAAAAATCCTTGTCTAATCATTTATTTATTCAGGTTGTTTTCTTGTCCTTCTTTTATATTTTTCCATTAAGTTCTAATGCTTTGACTTACAAGTCTCTTTTTCTTGATTTCATTGCTATAAATTATAAAGTTTTCTCCTTAACCATATTAACGTAGTGTCTTGTCTGTCTTAACTTAGGTAATGTCTAAAGGAAATATCATAGAAAGCAATGATATAACAGAAGACATGAGGCGAAGTTCTCCATATTTACCCTACTTTAACGGTCCTGTGTTTACACCAAGAATTAACCAAGGAAGTCCTCGAATACTTGATGATGATGATGAAGATAACGTGATCCAACCTGGGGCTTTATCAGATATTGAAGGATATGTGGCAGGACCTCCAGGTGGTGGGAACCTCATTAGGGGACCTCCTGGTTTTGGGAGCCAGGCAGCCGGGTCCCCAGGATCCGGGAGTCAGGCAGCAGGGCCTCCAGGTTCAAAAAGAGATAGTAATCCTGCAGTTCCAGAATCTATTGGTAATGCAGATGAAACCATATATCTTTATATGCATAATTAGATTTTGTGCATTTACATTTGTAAAACATAATACTAAGAAAGTAAGGCTAAAACTTATAGCCCTGTCTCTGATATGATTTATAAATGCATAATTTAATTATTAAGTACAATGTACATAATTTACAAAGTTTGCTTTGTTTTGCTTGAAAAATTGTAAGCTGATATAGGCACATTTTCAAAGTTTAACATCTTTTTTTATATTCAAAATGTTTGTATGTAAATTTGGATTCTTGATTGGAAAAAGATTTTCATCTTTGATTGGGATTAGACATCCATATTTGGTACTGACATCCATATATGATACTGACATCCATATTTGATACTGACATTCATATCTGATACTGACATCCATATTTGATACTGACATCCATATATGATACTGACATCCATATTTGATACTGACATCCATATTTGATACTGACATCCATATATGATACTGACATCCATATTTGGTACTGACATTCATATTTGATACTGACATTCATATTTGATACTGACATCCATATTTGGTACTGACATCCATATTTGGTACTGCGGATGGGTTTGAAAACAATTATTTGATCGATAGATAAACTGTCTGACTTGGGGTTAGATATAATACCATAAGTATACATGCATTTTCGAGGACTCAGAAAAATGTCTTGACTTGTCTTCCAGATAATACTTTAATGAAGTCAGTTATGATAAAAAAATCATATTGCACCAAAACCTTATATCATGGTTTTCTTGAACAGGGATGAAAAAGTATGTTTATCAAGATTTGTCAACTGTATAGGTTTGTTTTAGGAGATGTGGCCCATGATTTGGTTGCTACGGCTATCAAGGGTACTCCGAGCTCAGTTTACCTAAAATGGAAACCACCTCAGAAGGTAGATAGAGGTAAGAGGTTGTTATTCAGACACTCATGTACAGATACAGTAAAATATTTTAAACATACTCATTTATATCTGACTTGTTTACACTTTCGTTGTTATTATAGAAAAGATCATAGCAGCTAGTTCACATTAAGTCATAAAGGGTAATTGTTATGGTGTCTGCCTCTCAAGGATTTAATGTTCAAGCCTTACATGGGTAATGGCCATGTCTCTTCAAATAGCATCAGTACTCAGGTCAGCTTAGCTTGAGTTCTTTAACCTTTACCTCTCTAAATATCTTAAATGGACATGTCCATCTTTCAATCTGGACAAAACCATTCATTGTTCGTGCCACTTTTTCTAGAAAATGTTATATGTCTTCTTTCTGTCTCAGGTTATTTAGTATTTTACACAACTGACCCAAGCCAAGTGGACTTGTATTGGACGGTAGATGCTGTCTTGGCAAATAAAACATCTATAACAATATCAAAACTGATGGTGGACACAACTTATTACTTTAAAGTTCAGGCCTTGGATAAGAGTGGCTATGGACCCATGTCATCTACACTGACTTTCAAAACTCCTATAGGTGGGTACAATATAATGCTCATAATAATAAAATATTTTTTTAGAGAAGGTAATATGCAACAAGATTACACAAGAAGAGAACATGTATACTTATTTTCAGTACAGCCTTCTGATTTAACAATAACAAAGAAAAATGTATATGTATGTGCTGATACAAGTCTGGCTGGACTTTAATCCTTCTTTATATTATATAGCTTTAATCTTTAATTTGTTTTGCACTATTAGTTATCAATAATTCTTTAATTATGCTCTGCTATATAAATACACCCAAGCGTTATCTCATCTCAGCAGCATGCATTCAGATGAGTAAACAAGTTATCATTCCCAAAAAATAAGATAATTTTAAACTCAAGATAGTTATAAAATACGTTTTAGAAATTGAATTAGTTTCTTAAGAATTAAGGGCTAACTTTAAGCATTGCTTTTGCTAATTTAGGGTGATATACATACTGCTGTTCCACAGAGGCCAAAAAGATCAAAGATCAGTTTGGGCACTTAAAACAGAAAGATATGCAAAAGAAAATAAAAAATCTAGTCAGAAATGAATTTAATATTGTATTTTTGTGCTAATCTTAGCTTAATTTGAGTGAATAGCATTGAAATGCTTTTTAATTTTTGGTTATTTTTCACAATTAGAATAATTATTCTGGAAAAATGGTGTGAACGAATTATCTGAATTCCTGGTTTAGGCCTACATCGAATGGAACATCAATATCTAAAAATAATTTCCAGTTCAGTTTTGTCAAAAAAACCTCAGTGGTGTCCCTTTAAGGAAATTAAGATTTGAGCAATCTGTGTCGTTAATCTTCTGTTCATTATTTTACATATGCTTTTGCTTTAAAAATTTTGATTGTGAATCTTGTTTGTTTAAATGTATTTTATTTTAAGATAAATGTTACATTATTCTTGTTTATTCATAAACGTTATAATTTTTTAGGCAAAGAAAATGGCGATTCTTCAACAGTTCCAGAGATGTCCCCACCCACATTACGTCACTTCAGTTTTCGTCAGTATATATCTGGAGACATGGCCCCTAAATTGAGAATTCTGGTGTATATGATAACTAGTAACAGAGAGACTGTAGCTGATACTATAGATATTAATGTCGCCCAGTGCTATAACAACCAGGTAATCATGGTATAATCTTGTCAGATACTATAGATATCAATGTCGCCCAGTGCTATAACAACCAGGTAATCATGGTATAATCTTGTCAGATACTATAGATATTAATGTCGCCCAGTGCTATAACAACCAGGTAATCATGGTTTAATCTTGTCAGATACTATAGATATCAATGTCGCCCAGTGCTATAACAACCAGGTAATCATGGTTTAATCTGGTCAGATACTATAGATATCAATGTCGCCCAGTGCTATAACAACCAGGTAATCATGGTATAATCTTGTCAGATACTATAGATATCAATGTCGCCCAGTGCTATAACAACCAGGTAATCATGGTATAATCTGGTCATATACTATAGATATCAATGTCGCCCAGTGCTATAACAACCAGGTAATCATGTTATAATCTTGTCAGAGACTATAGATATTAATGTCGCCCAGTGATATAACAACCAGGTAATCATGGTATAATCCTGTCAGATACTATAGATATTAATGTCGCCCAGTGCTATAACAACCAGGTAATCATGTTATAATCTTGTCAGATACTATAGATATTAATGTCGCCCAGTGCTATAACAACCAGGTAATCATGGTATAATCCTGTCAGATACTATAGATATTAATGTCGCCCAGTGCTATAACAACCAGGTAATCATGTTATAATCTTGTCAGATACTATAGATATTAATGTCGCCCAGTGCTATAACAACCAGGTAATCATGGTATAATCCTGTCAGATACTATAGATATTAATGTCGCCCAGTGCTATAACAACCAGGTAATCATGTTATAATCTTGTCAGATACTATAGATATCAATGTCGCCCAGTGCTATAACAACCAGGTAATCATGGTTTAATCTTGTCAGATACTATAGATATCAATGTGGCCCAGTGCTATAACAACCAGGTAATCATGGTATAATCTTGTCAGATACTATAGATATCAATGTCGCCCAGTGCTATAACAACCAGGTAATCATGGTATAATCTTGTCAGATACTATAGATATCAATGTCGCCCAGTGCTATAACAACCAGGTAATCATGTTATAATCTTGTCAGATACTATAGATATTAATGTCGCCCAGTGCTATAACAACCAGGTAATCATGTTATAATCTTGTCAGATACTATAGATATTAATGTCGCCCAGTGCTATAACAACCAGGTAATCATGTTATAATCTTGTCAGATACTATAGATATCAATGTCGCCCAGTGCTATAACAACCAGGTAATCATGGTTTAATCTTGTCAGATACTATAGATATCACTGTCGCCCAGTGCTATAACAACCAGGTAATCATGGTTTAATCTTGTCAGATACTATAGATATCACTGTCGCCCAGTGCTATAACAACCAGGTAATCATGGTATAATCTTGTCAGATACTATAGATATCACTGTCGCCCAGTGCTATAACAACCAGGTAATCATGGTATAATCTTGTCAGATACTATAGATATCAATGTGGCCCAGTGCTATAACAACCAGGTAATCATGGTATAATCTTGTCAGATACTATAGATATCAATGTCGCCCAGTGCTATAACAACCAGGTAATCATGGTATAATCCTGTCAGATACTATAGATATCAATGTCGCCCAGTGCTATAACAACCAGGTAATCATGGTTTAATCTTGTCAGATACTATAGATATCAATGTGGCCCAGTGCTATAACAACCAGGTAATCATGGTATAATCTTGTCAGATACTATAGATATCAATGTCGCCCAGTGCTATAACAACCAGGTAATCATGGTATAATCTTGTCAGATACTATAGATATCAATGTCGCCCAGTGCTATAACAACCAGGTAATCATGTTATAATCTTGTCAGATACTATAGATATTAATGTCGCCCAGTGCTATAACAACCAGGTAATCATGTTATAATCTTGTCAGATACTATAGATATTAATGTCGCCCAGTGCTATAACAACCAGGTAATCATGTTATAATCTTGTCAGATACTATAGATATTAATGTCGCCCAGTGCTATAACAACCAGGTAATCATGTTATAATCTTGTCAGATACTATAGATATTAATGTCGCCCAGTGCTATAACAACCAGGTAATCATGTTATAATCTTGTCAGATACTATAGATATCAATGTCGCCCCAGTGCTATAACAACCAGGTAATCATGGTTTAATCTTGTCAGATACTATAGATATCACTGTCGCCCAGTGCTATAACAACCAGGTAATCATGGTTTAATCTTGTCAGATACTATAGATATCACTGTCGCCCAGTGCTATAACAACCAGGTAATCATGGTATAATCTTGTCAGATACTATAGATATCACTGTCGCCCAGTGCTATAACAACCAGGTAATAATGGTATAATCTTGTCAGATACTATAGATATCAATGTGGCCCAGTGCTATAACAACCAGGTAATCATGGTATAATCTTGTCAGATACTATAGATATCAATGTCGCCCAGTGCTATAACAACCAGGTAATCATGGTATAATCCTGTCAGATACTATAGATATCAATGTCGCCCAGTGCTATAACAACCAGGTAATCATGGTTTAATCTTGTCAGATACTATAGATATCAATGTGGCCCAGTGCTATAACAACCAGGTAATCATGGTATAATCTTGTCAGATACTATAGATATCAATGTCGCCCAGTGCTATAACAACCAGGTAATCATGGTATAATCTTGTCAGATACTATAGATATCAATGTCGCCCAGTGCTATAACAACCAGGTAATCATGTTATAATCTTGTCAGATACTATAGATATTAATGTCGCCCAGTGCTATAACAACCAGGTAATCATGTTATAATCTTGTCAGAAACTATAGATATTAATGTCGCCCAGTGCTATAACAACCAGGTAATCATGTTATAATCTTGTCAGATACTATAGATATCAATGTCGCCCAGTGCTATAACAACCAGGTAATCATGGTTTAATCTTGTCAGATACTATAGATATCACTGTCGCCCAGTGCTATAACAACCAGGTAATCATGGTTTAATCTTGTCAGATACTATAGATATCACTGTCGCCCAGTGCTATAACAACCAGGTAATCATGGTATAATCTTGTCAGATACTATAGATATCACTGTCGCCCAGTGCTATAACAACCAGGTAATCATGGTATAATCTTGTCAGATACTATAGATATCACTGTCGCCCAGTGCTATAACAACCAGGTAATCATGGTATAATCTTGTCAGATACTATAGATATCAATGTCGCCCAGTGCTATAACAACCAGGTAATAATGGTATAATCTTGTCAGATACTATAGATATCAATGTGGCCCAGTGCTATAACAACCAGGTAATCATGGTATAATCTTGTCAGATACTATAGATATCAATGTCGCCCAGTGCTATAACAACAAGGTAATCATGGTTTAATCTTGTCAGATACTATAGATATCAATGTCGCCCAGTGCTATAACAACCAGGTAATCATGGTATAATCTTGTCAGATACTATAGATATCAATGTGGCCCAGTGCTATAACAACCAGGTAATCATGGTATAATCTTGTCAGATACTATAGATATCAATGTGGCCCAGTGCTATAACAACCAGGTAATCATGGTATAATCTTGTCAGATACTATAGATATCAATGTGGCCCAGTGCTATAACAACCAGGTAATCATGTTATAATCTTGTCAGATACTATAGATATTCAATGTGGCCCAGTGCTATAACAACCAGGTAATCATGGTATAATCTTGTCAAGATACTATAGATATCAATGTCGCCCAGTGCTATAACAACCAGGTAATAATGGTTTAATCTTGTCAAGATACTATAGATATTAATGTCGCTCAGTGCTATAACAACCAGGTAATAATGTTATAATCTGGTCAAATAGAAACGGATTTTCCACGAGGTTACCCGAAACTCAACGAACAGTCACAGAGCCTCGCTTTTATTATACCATTTCCGATTGAAAACAACAGTTTTGACACTCATTGATATAGTTTATTGCATGATGAGTGAATTTCCATGTACAGATGAAGTCTGACAGCATCAAAGAAATGTGCTGTACGCAAGTTATAATGATAAATGGTATCAAATTTTCAACATTTAGCATCTTTGCCTCGATTTCAATTAAATAATGTGACTTGTTGGTCACATGCTAATCGGTCTATTAATATGATTATCATTAGTTGATAATTACATCGGTAACCTGCAGGTTTCCCCTGGCATTGATATAATGAAAACACAAACGAGTATGAAATAGCGTATATGTTATGAATAAGCAAAAAATATCAACGCCTGAATCCCAGGCTACTAAAATGGCTAAATATTCAGGTATTTGAATAAGGAAATCAATTTTAGGTGTATTTCTGAACCTTCTCATAACCTAGTTATGAAGTCAATAGTAAGTGAACATTAAAATCACTTGTCTATGTATTGTTAAGAGTAATGTCAAAAGAAAAGCACCATATGAAATTGTTTGTGAAATTCCGCATTTACTATTTTTCTTTCAGGTCAATGTAACATTTGGAGAGAAGACTGTTCGGCCCGGTGACAAGGTGGAAATGACTTTGAAAGCAAGTCCTGGCTCTCTGTGTTCAGCTGGTATGGTGGACAAGAGTGTATACCTACATGGCGGTTTAAACCTACTGCAAACCTCTGATGTAGATAAAAAACTGAAGGAGTATGATCTAACATCAGATTTTATCAGTGATTGGCAGTACTGTTCTATTCTCTCAGAACTTCCACCTGATATGACATTTCCAGGTAAATAGCTATAGATATAAAACACCTGATATGACCTGATATGACATTTCCAGGTAAATAGCTAAAGATAATATCATACCTGATATGACATTTCCAGGTAAAAAGCTATATATAATGTCATACGTACCTGATTGGCATTTCCAGGTAAATAGCTATAGATAAAACACCTGATATGACATTTCCAGGTAAATAGCTATAGATATAAAACACCTGATATGACATTTCCAGGTAAATAGCTATAGATATAAAACACCTGATATGACATTTCCAGGTAAATAGCTATAGATAATATCATACCTGATATGACATTTCCAGGTAAATAGCTAAAGATAATATCATACCTGATATGACATTTCCAGGTAAATAGCTAAAGATAATATCATACCTGATATGACATTTCCAGGTAAATAGCTATAGATATAAAACACCTGATATGACATTTCCAGGTAAATAGCTAAAGATAATATCATACCTGATATGACATTTCCAGGTAAAAAGCTATATATAATGTCATACGTACCTGATTGGCATTTCAAGGTAAATAGCTATAGATATTATCACACCTGAAATGACATTTCCAGGTAAAAAGTAAAGATAATGTTACATTTGATATGACATTTCATGTAAATAGCTATAGATAATGTCTTTTAAAATGTGTTGTTTTTTGTAATGATATCTTGCCAAGTCTTCAAGAGTTTTATTGGTCATAGGCTATTCCACTGATAGAATTTGATCATCAGTTAGTGAATTTTGCAAGCTTTGCCTAAGAGCAGCTGAAAGGCTTTTGTTTGAGGCAGATATTTTACTAGTTCGGCACACACTTCTTTGTGAAAATGAAGGTGCATCTTCAACTTGTATTATTGTTATGTTTTAGGTGCAGAGAACATTCCAATAGGGCATCCAGGTTATGATGATTCCACAGACTTTATTCAAGGACCATTCAGAAGGAAGAAGAGATCCATTATGCAATATTACAGTAATATGTATGATGCTCTCCTAGCATTCAAGGTAATATTATATACTTACCGCCTTGTCTTGTATTTATGACATCGACAAATTCCTTGCATTCAAGGTAATATTTCATGCTTTTGCTCCTTTCAGTACAGTAGCACTAGAATTGAGAAACCAGCAGTCTTTAATCTCAGATCAGACAACATTACTTGAACAACTTATAAATGCTACATAGTGTTAACTAAATATGAGCCGCATCACGACAAAACCAACATAGTGCATTTGCGACCAGCATGGATCCAGACCAGGTTTTGTTGTGACACGGCTCAAATAATGTTACTAAATACTGTATTCCGGTATTTAACAGACAAGGCGCTTGAATGCTCAGATGCTAAAATCTCCTCTTTTCACTTGCCGAAATGCACTCAAAGATGTCTAATTCATGTGTTCAAACCAGTAATGAATGAAAAGTGTAAGAATTGGCTAAAACATATTTTTTTCTACTTTATGATCATGATTTCTGCAAGCGTCTAGAGGTACTGCTCCAATATTGTAGTGAGTTAATTCCATTTTCAATACATATTGATATCAGATCGATACATTGACTATCAATATTATTTAAGAAAAGGTATCTTTTGTGTTATCTTCATTTGTGGAAGAGTAACTTCCCTTGGTTAGATATCTTCTTGATTTTTAATAAAATTATTGGTAATATTTTTGCCACCACTGTAAAATGGCAAAAATTATATGCACATAAATAAAGCTACTACATTTAGGGCTTAAAAGGCAAAATATAGTGACATGACACAAAGTATCCCAAATTATTTGAACCAAATTATTTTAGAAATGTATGATTATAAGCAAAAAGCTACATGTATAAAATTAACTACAAGTAATATTATTTAATGAAAAAACACGCAGGTTGCTGGGTTAGAGGTGATGACCAACCTTGATCTACAGACCAGACCTTGTTTACATGATGGAGATATTCTAGGACCACCGTATCAACCCGGAGATCCCCGGGGACCAATTCCAGGTCCGGGGGGAAAACTAGAAGGATTTGAGCCTACAGAAGGTAAGGTGTACTTAATGTGCTTAGAGAAGTATAATTTGTTTGTTTTTTATTATTATTGAAATAAACTTTGCTGTTTATTTGGGTGCTTTGTGAGCAAACACTGTATATGGAGGACTAAATATTAACTAAGTGGTATATGTTGTGGAATAAAACTCTAAGCTGTGTTTAATCCTGTAAGAAATGGCTGCAAAGTTTGAAAATCACCATTTTACTCTAGCAGTTACAATGATTTATATTCCACAAAGAAAGAACGAGAAGAGAACAGTTTCATGAAAAATGTAAATGAAACATCTTTGCATTTACTTACATGATTTTGTCTTCATTTGCAGGTGACTTTTGAGCTTATGTTACTGTGTTTCTTAAACTGTCCTGTTTTGATAATCAGCTCAGCTAGATCATTGTAATTTAGTTTCAAACAACAAATGTATAATCATTGATATGCAAGTGGTTTATTATTTATACTTGTTTTTCCATACCACTGTTTATTCAGTTGGCAAGTTTAAACAAATCAAATATGTAATACATTTGTATATATATGATAATAATTAAATATTTTGTAGAACCGGAGGATAATAAAGACCTGGTTTCCAGTATACGTAAAAACTTCCCTGATACCTGGCTATGGGATATGTACGAGGTTCCGTAAGTATACATCATTGTCATTATCAAATAAATTTAAACACCATTGTACCGCATTGTTGCCATGGATATACAATATTCTTTTTATTAACATTACATTAAAGGTTCTAAGAAAGGCAATGATAGCCAACCAAATTAGAATTGTAACAGAATAATTTTGCATTCTGTGTGTTGTATTAATTAAATGTAAGTTTTAATGTATTGAAAAGTTCAAAAGTAAAATAAGTTGTGCAACTGACATATGCTTAGGTGATTGCTATATGTCATAGGTACAAATGTAACTGTTTACCCCTTTTAGGGAGAGCATTGAATTGTAATCTAGATTTGCTTGTTCAATCCTAAATTTCTCCATGACTTGATCTCACACATTGAATCTTATGTGTCATTTGTCTCTCACCACTGATTCAGAGCATGTAGGATAAGAACTTGGTCACTTGCAGAGAAATTGGTAATTTCTGGTCATTTAAGCTGGACTGACGGCCAAAATTACAAATACTTTGAAATCAGCTTCTAAACCAAAAAGAAACAAACAAATATAGGTCATGTGGTAAATGTATCATTACCGGTCATAAGTTAAAAATTTAGATCAAAGGTGAATATTACTTCAGTATTGTTATATTTTTCGGTTCCTTTGGGATCATTGATTCCAACACTTGAAGTGTTGAAAAGTGAATACCGCTCAAGTTGGTGCTAGGGGGTGGGAGGGATGTTGCTCATCGTCATTTATAATCCCTCATGACATGTACAGACTTAATAAAAATAAGTCTGCAATTTTTATGTAATTTTGTTGTGACTTATGCTTCCAAGGGACACTTTGTCCACATTTTTATAGGTCATAGGTTGTAATGTATATCTACGGATCATATGTTAACATGTAATATTAAAGGTCATAGGTTAAAATGTATTATTGTTATAGGTCATATTTTAAATATTTGTATTGTTAAATCAAGTCATAGATTGTGATATATTTTATACTAGGTCAAGTGGCTCCATGGTAATTTCGGAGACAATCCCTGATACAATAACTGAGTGGATGGGAAATACTGTGTGTACAAATGAGAACACTGGTCTTGGTGTATCAGAGATTTCCAAGATAACAACTTTCCAACCATTCTTTATCAATGTAAAATTACCATACTCTGTTATACGTGGAGAAATTCTCAATGTGGATGTCATGGTGTTTAACTATCTACCACATTGTACTGCAGTAAGTGTTATTTTAAACTCTTAAATTACTACCTTAGCCATTTTAAGACAAAGATAGTAACCAATGAACATTTTTTATCATACATTAGTTTCAATGAAATCTCTGCTTTCTGAATTTATGAGATAAGATGAAAGAAATATGTTTGAAATCAAGTTTGTAATGTTGGGGAGCAATACAAGCAGCTGACAGGTTATTGTTGGTACTATAGAGGTACATACTTGAGTCTGAAAAAATGCTCACATTGTGATGGTTAACATATAATCTTAATAGTTTCAGTATTACTGAAAAACAATACCAAGTTGCTTTAAAACATTATCATACATTTTATTATTTAGAGTGGTTACAGAATTTTCCATTGATTTTACCTGACAACTTTGTTTTTGATCCCTGATAAACTGTTTACATATGTTCTAAATATAATTTAAGGAATATTCTGACTAAGTTTGAAAAAGATGATGACCTCAAGAGTATTGATGAGTTATGGAGTGGTCATATTTAAGCTATAAGTAACACATGTATAGGAGACGTTTTTATTATTATCTATTACAGATTCAAATAACAGTGGATGAGAGTGACAACTATAGTTTGCTAAATGAGAATGTAGGTCAGATGTGTATATGTAGTCAGCAGTCCAAATCTCACTCCTTCAAAATCAAGCCTACAGCTCTTGGTAAAATAAGCATTACATTCACTGTAAGTATAGAATTGAACCATTTATATTATTTTGTTTTAAACTTGCTGTGACTAATGTGCTTGCTACTATAAGAACATAATACTCAAGCCAGGCCTGACAGAACTTCTGTAAAGTTGAATTGTACTTTTCATTTGTCAACCCTCATTTGTAATAAATCTCTTCAATAAGTAAGTATATTGCTTTGCATATGTTGGTCTGTATGATCAATAACTTAAGAATGTCTGATCCTAGGCACTTCAAACTTGGTATAGAAATGGGTTATGACTAGTAAATGAACCGTATTGTTTTCTTTGTTTTGTTTTTTCAATGTCACATTGAACTTTTGTATCAGAATAAAACCCATGGGCTTTCACCCTCAAACTTCACAGGTGCATTGGTCTCAGCCAGTAGATGACGCCTTTTGATTTTTGGACCAGGGGGCAGAAGGTCAAGGTCACATTTACCCTGCTTTGAATCATATTGCATTAGAAATGACTATGATTGTTAAAATTGCTGTAAACCTACTACATGTAATTTTGAAAGATAATTGTTTACTGTTTTTGTTATTCATAAGGAAATACCATTACGTTTCTTTGAGACTTTCATAATGGATTCTTATTCTATCTACCTATGGAAAGTTAGAGAGAGGGGCATATGTGTTATTTTGACATTTTTTGTCAACTTATTAGAATTTGTTTCCATTTTTTTGTGTATAATGCAGCATTTTCACAAACATGATTTTAAGAAAAAAACATAAAAATAGACAGTTTGTTAGTCATGTTATGAAAATTGTGCAATATATTAGAATAAGGGACCTACGCAATTCTGATATTTGATATTTTTTCAGCAATTTTTATTTGAAGTTAAGGGAGTATGAAGTTGTTAACTCCGAGAATTAGCATTTTGTATACACACACACTGTTGTTAAATACTGTTTGTTTCCTTTGAACCATTATTCCATTTTCATGAATAGAATGATCAAAATGTTGTTTTATTAAACAAACATGAAAAACTACAAAACTACAAAAGCTACAATTTTTCTGAAATATCTGGCATAGCAAGGAGCTGTGTACTACTGCAAAGGCCTTTAGAAAACTGCTGTGAAAAGTACTTGTTTTGACCAGGGCAGCTTTAGCTGACACACTAAAGAAGTTGAAACAGTTGTTATTGTTCAAGAAAATTGTTCATCTTGTTTTAAATTGTCTTTATAACAGGTAATGTAAAAAAATAAATAAGATATTGATAATTTTGGTGACAAAAAGGTACATTTCATGTTTTGTAATTTTTTGTTGATCAGGCATTCCTTAGAGAGCACAGGGTGTCTTGTTACAGAATAGAGAGACCGGCAAACTACAATAATAAGTTGGTGACAGAAACAGTTGTCAAACAGCTCCTAGTTCAGGTATATCTTATATTTGGTTGAAATTTTCATAAAAATAAAACCCGCAGCAATATTTAGACCTTAAAACTTTCTAAAAAAATATGTTTAACTTGGCGAACATACACAAAACTGATGTTTTTTTCTGTGTACATTACTGTTCCAGTCAATGTTCACCATCTATAAGCCATTAGATACAACAAGGTAGTAACATTTAAAGACAGTTGTTAAATATAATATGACATCAATTGGTTAATCATATAAATGTTGTTATATAATTAGAAAAGGTTAATGGTGTTAGCTTGAAAAGGGATTGGGATAGTGTGGAGAGGATGTTGAGTTATGAAAAATCTTTTTGCTGTGTTGGCTCTATTACATGGCTTCATGGCTATATGACATCTATTGGATTAAACAAGCTGTGGTCAAGCCATACCATAATTGTAATTAAATTGTTTTGATTTGGTTGGTAGCACTACTGTTATAACTGGATCTGTAAATAAGTTGAAAAAGTATTCCATTGTATATATATATATAAACATTGAAGGCACTTTATTATCTTTCAGGCAGAGGGCATACAAGAGGAATCAACCAGATCACAGTTTGTATGTCCACAAGGTAATCTTTTAATTATAAAGGTTGATTCACCATACCTACTGTTTGTACAATTGAAGCTCAAAATGTTTATATTACATCATCATTCTTTTTCTAAAAACACTACTGTGGGTATTAATTGAAATTTTACAATATAAATAAAGATAGTATCTAAATGACATGTATGCAAGGAAGTACAAACAAGTTAATAAAACACTACAATTCTTTTCTTTCTTCATTGTATATCAGAATTATTCAAATATCTTTTAACTGTTTTATTTGTAGATTCTACAGATGGTTTTCAGAAGACTATAAAAGCAGACATACCTGATAGTGATATTCTGATACCTGGTTCTCTCCGAGGCTGGTTCAGTGTTATTGGTACATAATTATATAATTACTCCCTTTAATTCTATATTGTATATAATTGTGGTAACTAAAATACCATATCAGTTTCATAAATGTTTAAGTTTGCCAGTCTCAACTTGAGAAAGTTTAAATCCCTAATTTTTCTGTTAAGTTAGATACATTAATACCCAATGCTGCTTGTCCCTTACTGTTGCTTCAGGTAGTGTTGACAGAATGACAAATATCTAATAATGAATGTGATGTAAGACATTTAGGTAGGACATTTACATATTGTGTTTACACTGTACTAATATTACAGGAGATATAATGGGTCCTGTATTGAGTGGTTTAGAGGATTTAATCCTGATACCAACTGGCTGTGGTGAGCAGAACATGATTCGACTGGCACCAAATGTTGCTATACTCCGATATCTCTCTATGACCAACCAACTCACAGATGACCTTGAAATTAAAACAGTAGACCATCTCAATAAAGGTGAGTTATACAGTTGTCTTGTTATTATATTTCATCTAGAAAAATTTTTTTGGAATTAAATGAGATTGTGCCCCATGGATTAGTGTGCTTCCCCTAATGTAAGCAATATATTTTGGGTTAAATCAAAGATTAAAACAAGATTTCATTAAAAAATATCATAAAGTTTTGTGTTCAGTAAATGGTGTTTTCCATTCTTTTTGAAGTCCAGAGTTATTCCATTTTATTAAAGGATAAAAATTTATTAACTGTAAAATAGTTCTAAATTCTTTAACCCTTATCACACTAAGTACCTTAAAAGGAATTGTCAATCTTTCAGCCTGGTTAAAACTATTCATCAATTTTAATGAAAATTATAATATATGTATCTACTAAAATGCCAACACTGCAGACTATGACCAGATAACACAGATAAGCTGGCTGATCCTGGTCTGCACTGGGTACAAGGATATATCTAGTTGATGCTAGCAGACAAGGGGTTAAATAGTTACAGTTTAAGTTGTACAGACAACTTGCTTTGTCTTGTTGTGCTTCCAGATACCTTAGATACAATTTTTTTCTATACAAATTAGATTGATTGTCTATAATCAATAGTGAAAAGCATTTTATTTTTAGGGCTCATAATAAGAGGACACATCAACCTTGTATTTGAAATCCATTTCCACTGTAATACTTTTTATTTTGCCTACTTGGATGTTTATCAAATTGAGGAGATGACCTTTTTGCTTTTCATGTGATTGGTAAAAAGTTTTAATGCTAAGTTGACTCAGTCATTCTTCAAAATTCATAACAATATGAAAGAATTTTTATCAAGATAACCCCATATTTCTTTAGTCACTAGGTCAATAGTTGGGGCCACCCTGACTTAAATTTATCAATCAATAAAATGTTGAAGGGTTGAAACATGAGTTCTTGTAAAAAACTTCTAATAATGATCAATTTTTACACAATATTTATCATATTTGTTCAGGGTACCAGCAACAACTGACATTCATGCATAAAGATGGTTCCTACAGTGCATTTGGTGATGGTGATGATCATGGTAGCACATGGCTCAGTGCCTTTGTGTTCAAGACCTTACAGCAGGCAGTAGACTATATTTACATAGACAGAAAACAGATCCAAACTAAAACCTGGGAGTTTCTAATCAATAAACAGGGTGTGGACGGCTGCTTTATAGGTATGATATAACTTCTGCTAGAAACTTTTGTAAATATATAATTTGTAGTTAAACATTATTATCATGGTATCTTGTCACAATAGTATTGTTAATTAGGTTTTTCATAGAACTTTCCATATGACATACTAAATTATGAAATTAAGAGGCAGATAATGGTTAAGCATAAAGAATATTTTTCTTTTTTTTCAAAAGAATTGTATCGTGTTTGTGACATAAATGTTGAGATATTACTAGAACTGTGTTAAAATTGGCGTTAAACCAATACAGACAACTTTGACAAATTTTTATTGTCATATGTCTTGATAGTCTTCCAAATTTGCCATTTATGGCAAACCAAAACCAAAACAGACAACTTTGACAAATTTTTATTATCCCCCGCCGAAAATTTTCGGCGGAGGATATAGAAATAGTCTCCGTCCGTCCGACCTTCCGTCCTTCCGTCCTTCCGTCCGTCCTTCCGTCCGACAATTTTTGTCCGGAGCATATCTCTAAAAGTATTTGAGTTATCAACTTGAAACTTCATAGGTGGATAGACCTCCTTGAGGAGGAGTGCAGTGCACAAGAATGATAACCCTACCTTGCATGACTTTTGAGTTATTGCCCTTTGTTATTTTTCAAAATTGATTTTTGTCCAGAGCATAACTCCAAAAGCCTATGAGATATTAACATGAAACTTCATAGGTGCATAGATCTCACTCAGGAGGTGTGCAGTGCACAAGAATGATAACTCTACCTTTCATAATTTTTGAGTTATTGCCCTTTGTTATTTTTCATACCTAATTTTTCACCTGAGTGGAGCATAACTCAAAAAGTGTTTGAGATATCAACATGAAATGTCATAGGTGGATAGATCTTATTGAGGAGGAATGTTGTGCGCAAGAATGATAACTCTTCCCTATACAATTTTTGAGTTATTGCCCTTTGTTTTTTTTTCATGCTATTTTGTCCAGAGCTTATCTCAAAAAGTATTTGAGGTATCAACTTGAAACTTCAAAGGTGGATGGATCTCATTGAGGAGGAGTGCAGTGCTTAAGAATGATAACTCTACCCTGCATTATTTTTGAGTTATTGCCCTTTGTTATTTTTCAAAATTAATTTTTGTCCAGAGCATAACTCAAAAAGCTTTTGAGATATCAAAATGAAACTTCATAGGTGCATAGATCTCACTCAGGAGGTGTGCACTGCACAAGAATGATAACTCTACCTTTTATAATTTTTGAGTTATTGCCCTTTGTTCTTTTTCATACTTAATTTTTCAATTCAATTTTTTTCTCAAAAAGTATTTGAGGTATCAAAATGAAACTTCATAGGTGGATAGATTTTACTGAGGAGGGATGCAGCACACAAGAATGATAACCTACCCTGCATTATTTTTCAGTAATTGCCCTTTGTTATTTTCAGCCATCAGTATTCACATAGGTTTCAAATCTGTAATCACTATAGCCATCAGTTTTCATTACCAAAAGACCTCTTAAAATGGAATTATTCCGCTCTACTACATATACATTCTTCCAATGAGCAAACACATTCGGCGGGGGATGGCCATGTTGACATGGCTCTTGTTGTCATTTGTCTTGATAGTCTTCCAAATTTGCCATTTATGGCAAATTATTTTTGTGATGTTTTTTTTGTAAATTTGTAACTATTAATAAATCTAGATAAGAAAAGTATGTAAAGCGTTGTTTCACACACTTGTTCACGAAATACAAACACTACCATGTGACTTTAGCAAGGAAATACTTTATATAAGTGTAATGTAATTTCAGAGGAAGGGAAGGTACTCAGTAAATACATGATGGGTGGGGTAATAGGTAGTAAAAGTGATAAGAAGAGGGCTCTTACAGCTTATGTACTTGTCTCCATGCTGGAATCCTTCAAAATGATGAGAGAGAGAACACCGGTATGTAAACAATTTTATGACATGACATTACTTGTTTTCAAAGTTTTGTAAACATTTCTATTTCTTTATGCAATTCATAATACGAGGGTGGTCAATATGAAATGCAATATGAAGTATGTTTTTCTAATTTAGCTTGTGTTTCTTTTATTTTTCTTTATTTCACAGTTAAAAGTTTTGGAATGGCTTATATAAAAGCTTGAGCAAAACTTAGGGAAAATCTGCTATAATGTTTATAATGATATTTGTAATATTAATGGCAACAATGAAGTATTGAATTTTGCTACAATTCAGGTCATAACTTTGTTTATTTATGGATTTAATTTTTACTCACTAATGATAAAAGAATACTTATAATAAAACTGACATGTTAAGTACTCTAAATATGACCTTGATCATCAAGGTCAAGTATTGAATTTAGCTGAGATTGTCATAACTTTGTTATTTACTTACGAATTTGATTTGTTCTTGAAAGAGAGAACCCTTATGACAAAATCTGCATATTGAATTATTCAAATATATCCCTGACCTTTATTTGATCTTTGCCATTAAGGTCAAATTATTGAAATTTGCTAAGATTGCTATAACCTTAATATTTACTTATGTATTTGATTCATTCTTGGCAAAGGAACACTTAATAAGACAAAACTGACATGATTATTAATTCAAATGTGACCTATATTTGACATTCACCTTCAAATGACCTTGACCGTCAATATCAAATTTTAGTAGAAAATAATGTTTTCAGGGATTATTCTTTACTACAATATAAAAGTTGAGCGGGGTCTTTCGGGCATGGAAAATTTTTTGCCAAATTCCAACAGTCAGGAACGAATAGAAAAGTAATTTTTATTAATAAAAAACCAAATTTTTTCCGGTCAAGTTTACAAAAAAAATATTAGGTTTTTGTTTTGAATATTATTGGAGTATGCTATATAAATGTAATTTTATTTCAGCCATTTTTTTCCCTTTTCGTGGATGTAACAGGTAGAAAACCTGAAAACCCCTATACACACCCGGTTCCCTAGCTAGCCCGTAAAAAAACCCTAACAGTAATTACTGAAATTGGTGCAGAGACTCAGGATAAACCCTCAGAGGACAAACTTTTTCCCTTTTGAATTTTTTGTAACACCATGGGGTCCGTGAGTTTTCATATAAATAACCCTAATTGAAGTTTAATTTTTTCTACAAACCAACATATACTGAAGAGGGTTTAAACAAACTAAAATATTTTTTCCCAACCATTTTTAATCCTTTTTTTAAAAAATTTTTTTTTAAATTTTTTTTGTTTTTTGCCTACCTTTTAAATTAAAGGGAACACATGCAGGAAAAGGGGGAAAAAGATCCGCTTTTTGTCAGGTAAAGGGTTGAGCATCAGCAGAAATAAGATCACGTTATGCACCCCTGCATTGTTAACAAAGACAAAAATGTTCTTTTATGACTAAATGCCATAGTAGCTGGTTTACCAACAGAAAATTTTTTGGTGGTTTGCTTCAACACAGGATTTTTTTTCCCTAAACAATTAATCAATTGGTCTAAGCATGTTTTAGGATTTAAATTTTAATTCATTTTCCAAAGTTTTATTTTTAGATAAAATGATCAAGTTTCAGTAGATGACCTTGGTTTTTAAATAACCCTTTTAACTTTTGAATTAAAATTTTAGATTACTTCTGAAGACAGTGCAGAGCTTTGTATACTTCTCATATGCGGTTAATTTTTTGGGTCAATTTTTTTGTTTATAGTCATTTACATCAAAGTATTAAAGTCATTTATGAAATTTAAATTGATATTGCCCTTGATAATACTGTCTACCAACCTTTTACAGATCAAAAGGTCAAAAAAGATCACTTGGACCTTTCATAACAAAAGATAAAACTGAACATTTAATTAAAATGAATTGGTCTGGCAACTTCAAACTGCGTATGTTACACTGTATGTTGTACCTTGATTCTACCTGCCACACCAATTTTCAGGTCAAAATATCAAGGTGATTACAAAACATAAAACTGACCATTAAATCAATGTGCATTGACCTGGGAACTTCAAACTTTGATGAGCCCTATGTTCAATCCATCAGTATCAATTAATCAAATAATCTTCAACTCCTTTGCTTATATTAGTATCATACCATTAATTCAGTCTCTGGCTTCAGTCTGTTAAATGTTTGACTGATTGTTGGTACCTGTAGGTCAATTAGGATCTAGGAGGCCAATAGCACTGTGTACATTTACTTAAATAAAATGATTTGTGAAGTTTTATATGAAAATTTAGTACATTTTGTATTAGTTTTATATGAAAATTTATTACTTAAGTGATTTCTTTATTTTATTAGGACACAGTTGTAGCCCTGCAAGCATTGTCATTGTTTGCTGAGCGTATCTATGGTGGTGGACTTAATGTCAATGTTAACATTGTGGATGACAACATATACTCCAAGGATGTTAGTGTGACACATAAAAACAGTATTATCCTGCAACAATTTGACCTTGACAATCCAAGGTCAGATCTACATATCACTGCTAAAGGAGAGGGATGTGTACTACTACAGGTGAGGATACATTAGGTTCTGATAATGTTACAAAGGAAAGATAATAGAAAACAAACACTAAAAAGCTGCAACTACACAAAGCAAAATAATTAAAGAATTTAGTTTAACTCAGAGCAATTGCAGTGGCAATGCAAGAGTTTATGTCATCCATGTTTAGTAAATTAAAGGCATGTACAGACTGAATCACTCAATTTTAGCTTTATGATGTACTTATCTTTTAGAAGAATAAACAATCTCTATTTATTTTGTTTGAGCCAAACTGCTCAAAGCTTAACATGTTAATTTTTTTTTTTAAATTATCCACAAATCAAAGGCTGACATTTAAGCTTTCGTGTAATATCCAACTATGTTACAAAAATCAAAGACTAACACCACTTAGTAAAGATCCAAGCCAGTTTGCATTCTTCATCTGATTTGTACAGACTGTATACAGAAAGCTACAAAAGTACATGTAAATAATTTTGATGATGATATTCCCAAAAATTGGACTGTCCATTACATGGTTGGGGAAAGGTAATTTTTTGTCTCTGTAATTTCAAAGCATACAGAAGCAAATTAAAATCATCAGATGATAATTGTTGTGTTAAAAAAAATTTCTTACACTGAATTTCAGACAACCTATAGATATAATTTGGAAAGAAAGCAAAAAGCTGATGAGGTATTTAAGTTGTCAGTGTCAACACCAGTTAGAAGAGAAGCCATTGATAATAACTGTCGACAGAGAACTGTCAAAGTTTGTGCAAGGTGAGCAATGTTTGATTAACTATGATTAGAGTTATACAAAATCAGATTTATAGCTGAGAGACAATCCACAAATATAATTGGCAGATTTGATGGTTCTAAAATTCAAATAGAACTTTTATTTAAAGTTTTAAACATTTTTGCTGTGCATGCAGACAGAAATTATTGATACTGATAAAGCATCTACATGTCCAAAAGGCAGCAGCTTGCTTCATTATTTTGGGATCATGTTTCTTAAAGGGACTTAATTAATTCATTTATTATATTCCCATACAACAAAGTTGTAAGGGGGGTATACTGGAATCAGATTGTCTGGCCGTCCGGACGTCAGGCGTCCGTCAGTCTTTTCTTGTCCACCCAATAACTTAAGATTCCTTTGACCCACAGTCTTCATATTTGGCATGGAGATTAGTCATGATTAATAGATGACCCCTATTGATTTTGAGGTCACCAGGTCAAATGTCAAGGTCACAGGGGCCTTGAATTCAAAAAGCTTGGCCGCCCAATAACTTAAGATTCCTTTGACCCATAGTCTTCATATTTGGCATGAAGGTTAGTCATGATTATTAAATGACCCCTATTGATTTTGAGGTCACTGGGTCAAAGGTCAAGGTCACAGGGGCTTTTATTACAATAAGTTTGTCTGCTCAAATGCTTAAGAATGCCTGTCCACAGTGAATTGAGTTTTACATTTTCACATTTGAAGCATATAATTATGTTCTCATATATTCATCATAAAACTGCTCCAGGCAAAGCTGCATGAATGGGGGGAGGGTATTAAAGTCATTCAGTGGCAGTTTCAGTTTTGAGGTCAGTAGGTCAAAGGTTAAGGTCACATTGCCACTAAAAACATGTTGAATACATAACTTAGCAATGCACTGGCTTTCTTCCCTCATATTTAGCTGGGAGGTTGTCCTTAAGCTCTAAATTACTACTATTGATTCTGACGAAGTGGTATGCGGGGGTATTCACGCCATGACAGTGGCAGTTCTAGTTTATCCAGCACATATAAGATTTCTTGTGCTGCTAAAAATAAAGAAAGTAAATTGAGTAGTGGACCACTAAAGATGAGCATATAGTCATTGCCTCTGAGCAACAAGATTAGGTTTACAGGCCATGTAACAATAAAACAAAGAGCTGTAAAAGAAATCACTTCAGAGTCATTTTTTGTAGAATGTCTATCTGTCAGTCATATCAAATTCATTTTCATATCATAACTTTCATTCTTTCATGGATATTTTTCAACTTTTGTTATTAAAGTTCACAATTAGAAGATAATGTGTCCCAAGCAAATACATGTTGTATATAAGTATGTAGCACAAAATTCATGGGTTTTAGGTCTAGTCCATAATTTTGTCATTTCGGATTGATTTTGAATAGTTGATCTATAAAAATTGATCTGTAGCAATAAGTAACCCTTTTTCTCTGAATTTACAGTTACCATTGACTTATCATTAATATTTACAAAATTTCTGATTTTTACAGTTACCATGGAGAAGATGAAATGAGTAACATGGTTGTTATAGAAGTAAAACTGGCCAGTGGTTGGATACCTGAGTTAATATTGCAACAGTTGTTTTTTGAATATTTAAAAGTATAAATTTAAAAAAAGACCCCATTTTTATGGGATTTTATAGTTTCCATAAAATTTTTATCTAAATTTTTCCTTAATTGATTAATTTTGTAGTTTTTAAAGGATTTGGGGTTAACCCATGCAATGAAGTTTCCTCCTCGGTAATGAAACTGAAGTGGTAAAACTTATGTTCCTGGGTGCCTGAAATAAAACATATGAAGATAACTGAAGCTTTTACTATCTGTAAAGCTGGTATGCTTTACAATTATGACTTGAACTCAATATTTGATGCTTTTGTAAAGAAGTGTTAAAAAGCTGGTAAAAGAAGGTGGTAGCTACTTGTGGGCCATCTTGTGCAAGAAAGTGGCAATTTTGTTCTTAAATGTGAGTGTGAGATTATAATGTGGGTAAAAAATAGTTTATTACATAGATATATAAATGATGTATGTTGTTGTATTTACAGTTAATTAACTCAGCAGATATAGACTTGAAGAAATATGAGATGGATAAACGTTCCCCTGATACTGTCAACTTTTACTTCAATGAGGTAGGTAAAATTATCTCCCCTCTAATCAGCATTCAGATTATCTTCCATTGTCATATGAATTATCATTCCTTTATTGAACATTTGAAATAAAGTAAACTTCCTTTGACATGAATTGTCTCCCTTTTTATATGCCCGAAAGGGCATATTATGTTATACCCCCTGGCGTCCGTCTGTCTGTCCGTCCGTCCGTTAGCAATTTGGTTTCCGGAGCATAACTTAAGTTCCATTTGGCCCACAATGTTCAAACTTCATAGGATGATTGTCCATATTGGGTAGAAGACCCCTATTGATTTTGGGGTCAAAAGGTCAAAGGTCAAGGTCACTATGACCTTAAAACTGAAAACAGTTTCCGGAGCATACCTTAAGTTCCATTCGACCCACAATGTTCAAACTTCATAGGATGATTGTCCATATTGGGAAGAAGACCCCTATTGATTTTGGGGTCACAAGGTCAAAGGTCAAGGTCACTATTACCTTGATACTGAAAACAGTTTCCGGAGCATAACTTAAGTTCCAATTGACCCACAATGTTGAAACTTCATAGGATGATTGTCCATATTGGGTAGAAGACGCCTATTGATTTTGGGGTCAAAAGGTCAAATGTCAAGGTCACTATGACCTTAAAACTGAAAACAGTTTCCGGAGCATAACTTAAGTTCCATTCGACCCACAATGTTCAAACTTCATAGGATGATTGTCCATATTGGGTAAAAGACCCCTATTGATTTTGGGGTCACAAGGTCAAAGTCACTATTACCTTGATACTGAAAACAGTTTCCGGAGCATAACTTAAGTTCCAATTGACCCACAATGTTCAAACTTCATAGGATGATTGTCCATATTGGGTAGAAGACCCCTATTGATTTTGGGGTCACAAGGTCAAAGGTCAAGGTCACTATTACCTTGATACTGGAAACAGTTTCCGGAGCATAACTTAAGTTCCATTTGGCCCACAGTGTTCAAACTTCATAGGATGATTGTCCATATTGGGTAGAAGACCCCTATTGATTTTGGGGTCAAAAGGTCAAGGTCACTATATCCTTAAAACTGAAAACAGTTTCTGGAGCATAACTTAAGTTCCATTTGGCCCACAATATTCAAACTTCATAGGATGATTGTCCATATTGGGCAAAAGACCCCTATTGATTTTTGGGTCACTAGGTCAGGGGTCAAGGTCACAATTACCTTAAAACCAAAAACAGTTTCCGGAGCATAACGTAAGTTCCATTTGGCCCACAATATTCAAACTTCATAGGATGATTGTTATTGGGTAGAAGACCCCTATTGATTTTGGGGTCACAAGGTCAAGTCACTTTTACCTTAATACTGAAAACAGTTTCTAGAGCATAATTAAAGTTCCAATTGGCCCACAATATTCAAACTTCTTAGGATGATTGTCCATATAAGGTAGAAGACCCCTATTAATTTTGGGGTCACAAGGTCAAAGGTTAAGGTCATTATTAATAAATTAAGTATTAATCAACCTACAGCTGTAAAATTTTATAGGATGAACAGCGAATTCCCATGTCTTACAAATGCTTCATCCTTACTAAAAAAAAACAACACTTTCAGGCATATAATGCTCCGCCTAGCGGTGCTCTTGTTTGATCATTCAAATTATCTCCCTTTCTCACATAGATTATTTCTTAAGATGATCATACAAAAGACCTTCTCTTAACTGATTTAGATTTATATTATCTCCCCTTACATGATCACATAAATTATCACACCTCATCAACCTAAGAATACATATTAATCTTCCATTACTGATATAAGTTGTTTCCCCTTAAATGATCTTTCTTATAACTTGTTGTTATTCAAAATATTCTCTTTTGACATGCATTAATAGGTTTGACAATGATAAAGCAGATTATAAAGAAAAAAATAAATAAAGATACAAATAACATTAAATATATATATATAATTTTTCATTGAAATGATAAATTGTCTTAATAATATTTTACACAATGAAAGTAAAAACAAAATTAACTGGATTTCAAGAGACAGACATTTGACATTTTAGTTGTATGATGTTATTAGAAATTTTTCTCCATACAAGATTAATTAAAATCTTCTGAACACTGTGCTTGTTGACTCATTTTTTTTAGGGAAATGTACTGTATATGATAGATATTTGATTTGTTCCTTTTATGCTTCTTATAAATTTTATAAATTTTTAAATTTGATATGACAATCTAAAGTTTGCCAACATTCATTAAATTATATATTTTATCATGATTTGCTACTTTTGTATTAATATTATGATAATGAACTGTTATAAATGTGTACAAAAACAGCAGCAATAAAATATGTTTAAACAAATATTATATAATGATTTTCAGCTGTACACAAGTATGAGGGTGTGTTTTGAGTTTGGTATAGTTCTGGAAGTAGATGTAGTGGAACATAAACCATCAGCAGTTAAAGTGTTTGACTATTATGAAACTGGTAAATGCTCTTTTCATCTGAACAAGATGAAATTTATATAATCTCTCAGATATACTATGCTCATATTTGGGTAAACTATTTTTATTTTAGAAATGTATTGAAATCCATGAAATTCTTACTGAATATGTTTAATTTGAATAAAATAATGAATAAACTGTGTGTGGGAAGCTGCATTCCCTATTACGGGTCAAGTTAAGTTGGTCTTTTCTTAAAAAAACTGCCAGTTTTTTTAATGACACTATATATTCATATTGTAATGTGACCACGCATAGTGTGCAGAGTTCAAAACATAACATATCTACTTTAAATGAAGTTGAAGCATGTTTATTTTATACATACAAAGAGACTGTGTAGCAATAATTTACATTTTTAAAAATCAAATTTGAGCATAGTATATCTTTTATATCTTTTATCCAATAAAAAAAAGAAATACCAGCAATGGATCAGTATCATTCATTTAAAGCAACAAGCCATCAAAATCATGATATTTTTTAATCAAAATTTAGAAAGTGTTTTGAAAAGAAACTTTATCAAATGTATAAATAAGGTTACTAATACTAGCCATAAGGTTCTTGATATTATTGTTTTCCTTATAGTTCAGCCATGATTTATGTATTATAAAAAATCATAACAAATTTATGGTAATTGATCTTGATATTTTTAGTCATGTGATACATTTTTTGTCATGCAATTTATAGTTTTATTAAATTTATCCAAAAGAAAACTACATATAAAATGCTTGACATAGGCTTACTTTATATTAATTTCATGACATTATTAAATGAAATTCTGTATGATATGGTATGTTATGTCCTATATGTATGATTTTATTCTTATCTATATTCAATTTAGAATTAGAGACTACAATATTTTATGATATGACCAAATGTTCTGAAGCAAATATAGAGTATGTAGATGTCAGTATAAACGGAGATACTGATTTATACCTGGAAGGTGACAGTAAACTGAATATAGAAGATGATAGTAAACTAAATATTGATGCTGACAGTCATTTACCAACAGGTAGGTGTCAAGTGTTGAAAATTGTTAGGACTTCTGCATGGATAAATAGATTTGGAAAAATCAGTGTTTTGTTCTGTCTGTCTGAGGACAGCTATAACCTGCTGAATTTATTTAATTGGTTTACACAGTTTTGAATTTCAGAACAGTCTATTCAATGTTTATATGATTTCAATATCAAAATCATAAATTCAGCTAGCCTGGTCCAACTTCATTGAACTTGCTTTATACTGGTTGGCAAGTTAGCAGATATAGGGTTAACCTTTGACAGTTCATCGTTATTCTGTAAAGTAGAGCCTTCATATTTGGACTGTCTCAACTCTTTGATTAGTGCTCCATTTTTGTCACATTGTATGACCTTAAGCTGTAAATTACCTTGAAGGTCTTGGTTTTAAAAATCTAAGGTAATGTTTCTAGACATTGTAATTTATAACCATTTTATCACTATTATAGTAGCAAATACATTTTCAGAATTAATTGATTTCATGTCATTATTGAAACAATGTAGCTCTGATATGTTTGAAGATGTGTTATATAATTAAGATGGAGTCAAGGTGCCATTAAAATTGGAGGGAAAATGTCATTTTTTGCAAATGGGAATATAAATCTATTTTGAAGTCAAATGTTGTAAAAGGTGCATGACTTTGAAGTGAAATATATGTATAAAACACAACTGTTTTACTGTTAAAAATATATAGGTCTGTTTCAGATTTAATCAGTAAAGAATTATATCATTCTTTTTTAGATACTCTATCACATCCAGGAGGTAATGAGCAAGGAAACGCTGCTGCTCCATCGTCAGAGACGACAGACATAGAGGATGGTGTTGCAGCCCCTCCCACAGGGCCTCAATGTCCAAAATGTGTAACCACAGGGGTTGTCAATATTCTCCAAGATATCTGCAAGAAACAGGGTATGCTTAAACATATTGATAATATTGATTTACAAAAACAGACTATGCTTAGACTTATCAATAATATCATCTTATTACCTATGACAAGTAAAATTCAGTATTTCCATTCAATATGAACCTTTATTAATATAAAGAGAGAATATGATAGTGCAGGAATAATAAGTTTGCATTAGAATTATATCATTAATCAAATTGACCAGTGTATATTTGTATTTTTAGTGTGGTTGTTAGAGAGAAAAGAACAAATGTCTCTCAGGGTGATGACAGCTGATGGGGTCAGTCCGGACATAACAATAGATATTCCAGAGTCATTGGAGAACTGTGGACAATGTAGTAACTTATTTGAAAAGGGTAGGTCTTCTGTAGAATCTTATGAAGATGATGTGTAAGTGTCTGAGTCCAACAGACTTGAAAGGGTGTTCATTGAAATTTTTTTCTAACTGCATTAACTCGACTTAGTTGTTTTGTAGTTTGGGATTTGTAAAAATGATATTGATATCTCTCCCAAAATTTTAATCAGCACTTAAAAGTTTTGTAGATTTGTTTTCATTCATGAGGATCAGAAAAAGACAAGAAATATAATTACCCCTGCATTAAAGATCACCTCTAAACAAAGACCACATAAAATGTGTTACTTGAAATCAAGGCAAAAGTGGTCCTTTTTAACTGATCATAGTTTCACAAAATAAATGACAGTTTTGCTGTATCAATGTTCAAGTTAGAAGAAAATCTAGCTTTTTATTGACCAGGTTTTTAATTTTGCTTTCTTTAACAATTTTGTTTTTATACAAGATTATATTGTATGTGTAAATTGAATATTTTAATATTCTTTAAAAACTAAACATTTTGTATTATTTTACAGGAGACAAAAGTTTGATATTCCTGGAGCCATATGATTGGTCGAACCTTGGAGCAAATATTGCCCAGAAATCAACAATGATTATACCTTGGTCAGCTTCTCTCAATGAATCCATACTACAAGTGTTGGCATCTTGTTCCTATCTCTAAAACACAAGTTATTATATAACATGTAATATTATGTACAGAGTGACAATTACATTATTATAAGTCAGCTTCCTAAGTCTTGGAGATTGAGATTAGTGCTCATTCATAAGAATTATTCTATGAACAAGGTGCATACAATGAACAACATAAAATAATACTGCATATGTAGGCATACTATATACAAATGTAACTAAAAACAATGGAAACAAGACATACTTTTAGTACTGATTTTAGTCATTTATATACAAATGTATGTGTAAGTGCCATTAAATCATTCTACCAGCATGTTTCCTTTGCATGTTTTTCATTCAATTTATACATAATAGGTAAATTTTATTGATGACCTAGTTAAAAGTTTAATGTACCCTTCAAATCGAATACTAATGTAAAGTTTTGTCACTAATTGATAAATGATTCCTTAATGGGTAAAAATCAGCTGCACAAGTTCTGAGAATTAAATGTGTAAATAAGACTGTTTATTTCATATGTACATGGAACCATGGACACTAGTAAAGTTCAATTCATGTTGAAACTGAATCTATATCTACATGTATATACAATGTATGAGGAATTGTGTTTCTATGTCTTTATACATAAAATTTAAAAATGAAAAACAAATATTTTCAACATGTATAAAGTTTTAGTATGCTGTGGAGATATAAATATTTTATGATAAATTTAGTTCTTTGTTCAATGAAATGATTATATGTTTAACGAGTGTTGGAAAATCATAAAAGCATTAACATTTACAATTGCTTGTGAAATAATTTAGGTGAAAGGTCATGGATGCAGTGATCTGCTTTGAAAGCGATGTTATTAAAATAATTGGAGAAAGTTGAGTGAAAGGTTGAACAAGAGTCATACAAAATTTAGAAGACCCAGGTTGAGACTTCCATCATATTGACAAATTAACCACTTTAGCTTAAAATCATAGCACGACTGTCTTGTCTCCAAGAGGTCATCAAGACCTGGTCAAGGTTGCAGAAGTCGGGACACTAAGCAAACCTTAACCTAAACTCAACAAATGTTATTTGATACATGTCTCTCCAATTAGACCAAGTCAATTCTTTTTACCTTATTATCTGATAAATATATCGTCTGCAATAAGATCAAGCATAATTATTCTTTTTATTCTTATCTGTATTTAATCATGCTTAAATTAATGATACAAAAAAGTGCTTTACCAAAAAATTAATTATCAGCAATTATACTTTTGTAATATATTTTATTCATGTAAATAAATATGATTATAAGTATTGATTCAGGATGTTTATTTCTAGCCCCGTTTGGAAAAAAGTTGTACCATCATCAAGTCAAAATAATATTGAATGTGAGAAAAATGAGTTGAAGGCCCTTGATTTCATTGTTCTTGATAGGAATGAAGAATGATTGTCTTTAAAGTAAACAACTTTAACATTGATATGGAAGTTCTGTTTGTTGAATGTTACAAAAAAATGTTTAGTTATGATTTTTTTCTGTGTAATATCAATAGAAGATAAGATTAAAATCATCATAATATAGAGACTTATTCCCTTAAATACATAGAATAGCAACTGTTTTTGGAAGGCAAAGATTAAAACCATATATGACTCGACTCCGAAGAATGTTAGATATTTTTCATTTTGATGTTGGAGATGAAACTTCAGCAATCTTGCATGTGAAAACTTTCCATTGCAAACCTACAAGTAAAGTTCAATTCTAAAATTAAATAACCACAATCCAGTCACAGTTAATTTATTTAAAAAGAATATTATCATTTCGACGTTGTCCACTATTCTCACTCATTACAGCCAAACATCCACCCTATTTCTAACGCCAATCAGTTATCTTTACTAATGTAAATTTGTGTAAAATCACCACAGTGAAGATTCTACACTTAATTGTTCACGTTTATCTCTTGTAAATCTCTGTCCAATTCGACCCCTTGTGTGTTATTTTCCACTCTTTTAAGCCACCGTTCATTGATTATTGTAAATCACTAATTTAACACTCCTTTTGTATATAAGTTTTAAAATACATGTATTGTAAGCCACTGTTGACTTTCTGTAATCTTTTAAATCACTGTCGACTTCATGCTCACATAAGCTGACTTTCTCTTGGAGTGTTATATTTAAATGATTACATGTAGATTTTCTTCTACAAGCTATGCATCGTCTAAAGCAATTTAAAAATGCCCATGTTAACACATTTTTTACCATTTCAAAGTGTCAGCACGTTTGTTTATCTTGAGAATGAGCACAGCTTAACTTTTTAATAAAAGATTTTCTCAGCAGAAAAACAGCTCCCAAGGTAGTCTTAACCAATAATCACTTAGATAATGTAAATCTTAAAGAAACAATTGGAAGCGCATTGTATGCTTCACCTTTAACTCGAGAACAGTTAACAACAGTGTTAAGAATTTTCCTATCCTAAGTGTCATATCCAGTTACAGTAACTTGGTTGTAGTTTCTATGGTGTTTCCTTTGATATAACACATCAAAAGACATACCATGATGTAGAAGTATCAGAAGTTTTGCTGACTAAGAATTGCATTTCTAACTGACCTTTACATCTTAAAAGGTCTGCGTTTATGTATACATAAAGCTCGTTTCATAATGTCAACTGAAAAGGTTCAATAAAAAAACAAGAATAAAGATCAACAAGCCAAAGGCAACGTTTCAAGAATGGGGTTTGCTTTTTCATCTTTTTTATTATTGTTGTTGCTCTCGAGGAATCTCCATTTCTTGATTTTTGAAGATTCACGAAAAAATGAAAAGTGAAAAGGAGTTTTTCGTATTTGAAATATTTAATCTACATATATTCTGCCTTAACAAATGTTTCTGATGTAAGACTAGACGATGTAAACTTTCAGTTTTTTAGTCATAAATCCTGCGAATTAAATTTGCTGTTTTTCAAATTCATTCTTTTAATCATCAAGTTACAGGCAATTTTAAAATATCCTCCAAAAGACAGTATAGTTCATCCACTATTTTACTACTGTATTTATGTATCGACAACGTTCTGAGATTTTCGATAAATTTCATATAATAACTCTCCTCGAGTTCTTTAATGGTTGAAGTTGCATGTCTAATATCTATCAACAAAGCAATACAAGTGGAATACTCAAACTTGTAGTTGGAGCAACCCACGTTTTTTTTAAAATTATTAATTCATTCTTATTCTTTTGTCCTTAGATTAACAGGGTGAATGACTCCAATGGGTCAACAGCCATACGTGTGCAATTGCTGAACCTCACGCGTATTGACTCCATATAATAATAAGATATGTTTGTAAAACATGTATGCCCCCAATCGGTAGCGAATAAGTAATGTGGTCAGGTTATTATGACTGAAATTTGACCTAGCTAGTGACCAAAAAATCAATAGGGGTTATCTACTGGTCATGACTAGTCACTAGGTAATTGTAACCGTTTATGACAAAGTTTGAAGTTCCTAGGCTTAAGCGTTTCGGAAACCGTTTTTACCTACAAGGTCAATTTGACCTTTCACCCCTTGACCCCAAAATCAATAAGGGTCGTCTACTGGTCATGAACAATCATTATACCAAGTTTGAAGTTCCTAGCCCTAAGCATTATTTAGTTATGGATCGGAAATCGTTTTTACCTACAGGGTCAATGTGACCTTGACCAAAATCAATAGAGGGCATCTACTGGTCATGAACAATCATTATACCAAGTTTTAAGTTCATAGCCCGAAGCATTCTATAGTTATTGATCGGAATGTTTTTTACCTACAAGGTCAATGTTACCTTGACCTTTGATCCCAAAATCAATAAGGGTCATCTACTGGTCATGAACAATCATCATACCAAGTTTGAAGTTCATAGGCCTTAGCGTTCTTAAGTTATTGATCGGAAACCGTTTTTACCTACAAGGTCGATCTAACCTTGACCTTTGATCCCAAAGTCAATAGGGGTCATCTCTTGGTCATGAACAATCATACCAAGTTTGAAGTTCCTAGGCCTAAGCGTGCTTTAGTTATTGATCGGAAACCGTTTTTACCTACAAGGTCAATGTGACATTGACCTTTGACCCCAAAATCATTAGGGACCATCTACTGGTCATGCACAATCATCATACAAAGTTTGAAGTTCCTAGGCCTAAGCGTGCTTTAGTTATTGATCGGAAACCGTTTTTACCTACAAGGTCAAGGTGACCTTTGACCCCAAAATCATTAGGGACCATCTACTGGTCATGCACAATCATCATACAAAGTTTTAAGTTCCTAGGCCTAAGCGTTCTTGTGTTATTGATCGGAAACCATTTGGTTTACGGACCAATCGACAGACAAATGCAAAGCAATATACCCCCACTTCTTTGAAGGGGGACATAATTAATAATAATACTTTATTAATACTAATGTATCACATTTCCTTTTGTACTATTATATGGTATAAGATTTTTTTCCAACTCTGTCATTCGATGTCCACTTAAGCAAATTCTGTCTTATTATTCTTTTTAGATGCATTATGTAATTGTTTCAGTTACAAAATTTGTAAATATAAATTCTTTGAATGTATGTGTGTGTGTGTGTGTGTCATCCCAAGTGATAACAAGAAAAGCATTGATGCAAAGCATCAAAGGGCGTCCAAACAGCAGGTGCAGATGAACTAGTAGATATATGATGACAAGATATTCTTATAATCTTTTCAATGGTTCATTGGGTTTTACCAGAATTGTATATCACTTTTGAATGAACGGACGAGACATTGTTCATTATTTATAACTTTGATCGGCATGCTAGAAATTAGAATATTACTTGTTATTTCTTTATGATCGTGGTTATTAATAGCAACAGATATACATGTATACAATCATTTATAATCCATATGTGTAACGCATGATCAACACCATACTTGTGTAATTGTCCCTTATTATGTTATCGCTATTAGCGAGGACCCCCTCTTAAGGTATCTGTTCACACTAAGTAACAATATGACACTTGTTATATTATTACCATGTTGATCATGTTGAGCATAATTGTTTATTATACAATAAATGTAATTTCTATTTTAATTTAAAAAAATACAGATTTTATGAACATTGTTTTCTTTTCTTTTTTTGTGTGTGTTTTATGCGCTATTTTAATACTGAGTTTTTACGTTTACTACTTTAAGAATTCAATTGTCATAATGATCGACGATTATAAGTCTAAACTTAACTGGAAAAAGTCAGTAAATCATGGTTAATCTTTCAATATATATTATTGTTTATTCTTAAACCATATACATGTACATTTGTATTTTTCTTTATCATTTTTTAAATTATCAATCAATTGAATAATTCATAAAATCTGATTTGTAACTTTGAATAATTCCTCGGAATCTTTACTAAACACGAATAACAAATTAAATAAAATGTTTTAAAGTTGATAGTGTCATATTAATGCCATAAAATGTACATTTTTTCTCAATTATTGTACATATTTATTGTTTTTATCTCATATAGATAAAATATAACATGCGATTTGTGTTGTTGGTTTTTTTTTCGAATTGTATGTTTATGTATAATAATAATCAATCAATTCGAGAGTTGATCTGTGTTTATTAATTATTGTAACCAAACTAAGTGACAAACATTCATTTTGAAAAAAAGCTTATTTATCTGTAAAATATTTGTTCTGTTCTGTAACGATATCAAACATCTACTCCAAAACCGGGAGAGACCGGACAATAAACGTGTGGTACTATTCGCCGGTCATAAGTAAATCCCGGGAGAGACCGGGAATTACCGATAGGAGTACATCCCTCTATAAATAGATTTTCGGAATATTTAGGTCATCAACTCATCATTCTATTAACAGCTTTCGGAATAACATACCATAATAACCCACTGTGTACTACAAAATGATAAGCAAAAATACCCCGAACAGCGCGATTTATTGACGGAAAATGTTATTTCATTTGAAAATGTTTGCATTGCGAAATTCTCCAGTTCGCCATTCATTGTACATATCGCGACTAATTAATAATCAAGCACCCTCATACCGATCGGAATGGTCGGCTTTTATTATTGGCAACTATAAAAGGCTCGAGAAGTTGCTGTCGCCCTTTCACAAAATCTCATTTCATTCCAATAGGCGCCGCGCTTCGGCGCGGACGCCAATCAGCTGTAGCTCCTGGCAGCAATGGTGCGCGACAAAATCGACGCTCCTGCAATTCTGAAACACAGTTAGACTATTCTGATATTTAAAATATCGTGAGTTAAATGATATGGAGAAAGGTCTTTTCTATGTCGGACACAATGCATACGGCACGAGATA